CCTCTTCTTTGTTTACATAGGCTTTTCAACCCTTTTACTCCAAAATGTAACATTTTCCCCTTCTTTTTAAATGGATTCTTCTTTCTCAAGGAAACAAGTTACATGCTATATATTAAAGTAACAAATTGATCAGAATGAGTGAAGTATGTTTCCTTGCTGCAGGATACAAAGAAGAGGAGGAAAAAGCAGCAAGAAAAAAATAAAATAAAACTATTTCTTATCCCTTTAGGAATTATAGAAATCATTCCATTCATCCTTAATTGCTTTGCTTAGGGCCAGCACTCCAGACTCTGAACTCCAAAGAAATAAGGGCACACTGTCTCTTTAAGAGACAAAGCAAGACAGATTTTTGCAGGCCCCTTTAAGAATATATTGATTTCCACAGTAAAGCAACAAGATAAAAGGAAGGGCTGTGCTGTAATCCCCCTTGCGGGGGATAAACCTCCCAGATTATTTTCTCAGACGTTTTTCCAAAGGGAAGTCTTCCGCCCCTACCACCCTTTAAAGGCAAAGCATACTTTGGGCCCAGAGGTGCAAGGAAAGGGTGGGGAGGGGGCAGTGTAGCAAGCAGTGGGTCAGCAAGAATGAGGGACTGAATGAGTGAAAGTGAGCGGATGGCAGCATTTGCTAAATTACAAGCCTGTCTCTTAGCAACCAACAACACATTCAACTCCACGTGACAACCAAAAGCCCAGAAAAGCAAGGAGACACAGGGGTATGTGTGTGTGTGAGAGAGGGGGGGAAGTGACAGCCATTTAACAGTCTCCCCTTTTAATTAACAGCCCTCGAGATCTGCAAATGAACCCCCCCTCCCTCCAAGACTGGAGCAAAAGGTAAGAAAACAGCGCAAGATGGAGGAGAGGATTGCAACCACGGGTTCCCACCTTTTGTATCCAGCTGCACGTGGATGATATTCCCCATGACGGAGGTATTGTGCAGGTGCTGGACGGCTTCCCGGGCGCCTTTGACGGTGGCAAAGATGACTTTGGCGATGCCCAGGTGCTTCCTGTTCTTGGGGTTGTACAAAATCTCCACTTCTTCCACCTCGCCGTATTTTTTGCACATGTCAGTCAGGAAGTTTTCACGGATGTTGTCGTTCAGCTTGGCAAAAGTGACTTGCTTGGGGGGCACGGGCCCCACATAAAACTCATCAATCTGGGGGTTTATTTCACCAGAGGGGGGGGGGAGGAGGAGGAGGAGGAGGAGGCAGGGCCCATAACATGGGGACGGGGAGGGAGGGGGGAAGAGGAAGGGGGAAAAAAATGACGGGAAGTCAGTCAACGGTTTGGTGGGAAAAACAAAAGTTTAAAGCGCTTCTCTTCAACGGGGGAGCATTTCCCGTCCTCTTATGCGAGCCTTCAATGAAAACTCCCACGTTGCTACCCCCTTGGGCATGCCTTGTTTACACAACAACTGACAATCTGGAAAGCAGCTCGGCTGCCTCAGTCCAGCCAACTTTTGACAAACAGCCGCTCAACTTCTACACCTGGCCGTCTTTGACTACGGCACTACTACACTAATTGCTCAGCAAACACGAAAGCCCAAAGAGTAGGTTACGCGCGACTTCAGCCAACAGTAGCAGCAGCACCGCTGAGCCTTTCTACCTTAAATTTTGGGACAGAGAGTTCCAGTTCTTTTGTTTTGGTCCAGATGCGTCCTATCCTGGGATCCTCCACGCACTCCACGGGAGCCAGACTGGGATTCTGCAAAAATAATAATAAAAATAAGTAGAAAAACAGCAAGGGGGATGTCACTCACCTCCAGAAAAGCCAGCAGGTAGCGATCCAATCCTTGACAGCAGGACAAAAAACTTTACCCTGCAGGACTGCAAAGCAAGGAAGCTGAAGGAAAGGCTGATTTTCTTTAAGGGGGGGGGGGAATTTTAGATGCCACTGGGGATAAAGGAGCTGGGGATCCCCCAGCCAGCAAAAGAAAGCTGCAGGTTTTTTTTCTTTTTCTCTGACAGGCTACATTAGGTCAGGGGGTGTAACTTCAAGCTTTGCAGGTTGTTTCCTAGCAAGCTTTCTCTCCCCCAGGACATCAAGAAAGCTTTTTGCTCTTCCCTAGAAAGAGGATCACTGAGGTTTCCAAGAAGATTTGGGGGGTGGCTGGAAGAAAAGGGGGGGAAGGCATGCATGCATGGGTAGCTTTTGGCTTTCTTTTTTTTTCCCTTGTCCCCCAGGGGATCCCCCTTACAGGAATGCTGAAGTGCTGCCCATCGTAGCGGTAGAGTTTGTGCTGGCCTTTCTTCAGCGCCGGGTCAATAATCAACTTGTAACTTTTCCAGTGGTGGTTTTTCTTCTCGGCCGAGGGACCCGCCGGGCCGCTCTCCATGCCGTTGATCCAACCTGGGGAGGGGGGGAGGAAGGGTGAGCCCCAGAGTCAGAAAGAAAAAAAAAGAAAGGAGAGGAAGAGGGAGAAAGGAGGGCAGAAGGAAGAGGAGGAAGGGAGCCGGGGCCCCCTCCGCCTCGCAGCCCCGGCCAGCCGGGGAGAAGCGGCGCTGCTGCTGCTGCCCCATCGGGGCCACCGGGGGAAGGCAGGCAGGCAGGCAGGCAGGCAGCGGCGCTCACTTGAACTCAGTTTGCGGACCGGGTCCTCGCTCGGCTTGGCTCGGTCCGCCGCCGCCGCCGCCTTGCTCTCTTTGAAAGACATTGTCCGCCGGGCCGATCGTCCGTCCGTCCGCGGGCCGGGAGAGGCCGCCGCCGCCGCCGCCGCCGCGCCTCTGCCTCGGCCGCCGCTCCTCCTCCGCCTCCTCCTCCTTCACACGGGGCCGCGGGCTCCCTTCCGCGGGGCCGGGGCGCCTCCTGCCGCCTGGGCGCTTTTTCTCCTCTTGGCGAGCCAGCACATATTGTGTGTGCGCGCTGCCCGCCTGCCTCCTTCCTTCGGCGGCTGCTCAGGCATCCCACAATTCTCCGCCAGGGAGCTGGGCGAATGGCTAACCGCCCTCCGCCGAAGGCACATTCACGGCAGCTGCGCCGCGCCGCGCAGCCCCCCCCGGCCCCGCCGCCCCCGCGCGCCCCGCCCCGCCCATCAAGGCCCGGGCTTTCCCCGCCCCCCCGCGCGCCCCCCGCCCGCCCCGCGCCCGCCCCGGCCCGCGTGGAATCTGCCGACTAGCTTTACCTAAAGGAGGGGAAGCGGGGCCCGGGCTGCAGACGGACCGGGGACGGCGGGGGGGGGGTTGGTGGGAGAGAAAACGAGAAAAGGGGGGAGGGGGGCGAGAGGATGAGACGGTGTTAAGGGTGGGGGGCTACGTTGGAGACTGGGGGAGTCCCCCCCCAGCTTGGCAGGGACTCGCGGCGCCCGGAGGCCCCTTCCCTTCCCCGGCGGGCGGGGGAGGAGGAGGGGGAGGAAGAAGGGGCGCCCCCGTTTTGTTACAATGTGTCAATTTCACCATTCAAGGCAGGAGGGACGGAGCGGATGAAAGGCGCGCGGCAGCCAATCAAGAGGGCGCTTCCATTCTGCCGCGGCCCGAGCCAGGCCGGCGAGGCGGGCCGCCTTCGCCCCTTCCCTCCGCTGCCCTCCCCTCCCCTGCCTTCCCAGGGCGGCTTTGTCGGGCTCGGGGCGGTTTGGCCTCGGCGGGGGCTTTTGGGTGGGTAACGGGGAGCCGCGGTGAGGCAATTGGCTGGTCGGAGGGGCCCGGGCGGGCTCAGCCAATCGGGGCGCCGCTTGCATCGGGCTGGCGTTATTAGAGGCGGCGCGCGGGGCGAGCGGCGCAGACGGCCGAGGAGAGGCGGCCGGAGTGGAGCGGGTGCGCGCGCGCGCTCGGCCATGTTTTTCTGCAAAGGGAATGAAACTGGCCAGCTTGGGTTTGCCTTTGTTTGCGGGCGGGCGGGCCGGGGCAGGAGCGCTTCCCCGCTCGCGTGCAATGCTCGGCCGCCTTTAGAGGACCCCGAGGAAGGAGGAAGACGTGATAAAAAGCTGGATTGTTTTTTCTCCCCATCTTGACTCGGAGCCCGTCCTGCTCTCGTGTCTAACTAGGTCATGGCACGCCCTTACGCCAGCAAGTCCCAGTTTTGCATGACCAAACAAAGTCAATCACACGCGTCTTTTGATCTTTTTTGTTTTTGTTTTTGGAAAGCGCTGGCTTCTCTCGTCTGAAGTGTACATTCCGAGATAAGTCCGAAACACTCTTAAAAAAAAAAAAGTACCTTGGCCATCTTTTAAAAAGTTTAAATCCTTCCGTGCTAACCAGGTAACGTGGTAAAGCTATAGAGGTAGGCACCGTGAGAGTCTTGCAAAGCAGGCAGGATCTTTTCTTTTTGTCCTTTTACATTGTAAGTACCCAATCCATTCTGTCCTTCTTAATAAGTGTAGTTTTCATGTTAATGTTAACTGCAGTTCTCCTGGTTTTGTTTCTTTCAGGCTTCATCTGCATGTCATGATATATCTATTTGTCTTGTTATCTAAACCAATTGCTTCTGGAGGCTTAGAGGGATGCTTGAGATGTAACTTAACCAGGCGTAGCCACACTAACATGGACAGATCGGGCAGGATTTGATCATGTTTTTTTTTTTTTTTTTTTAAAGATGGTAGGGTGTGGGGGGCAGGAAAGACCACGCCGTTGTCTCGAGGTGCGGCGTAAATCGCGAAACGCAGCAGCTTAAGGCAGCCCAAGTTGGCCGGAGTCAAAATCCGTAAGATGTCTTAACCCCCCCCCCCTTGTTTCTAATTATTTGGGTTTGGTTCTGTTGTTTTTAGCCATAGCCATGGCTGGAGATTTGATTTGCAAATTCGCGGCAGATCAGGGAGTGCGTAAGCCATATGAAGCAATAATGGGCTTTTTTCCGCCCTTTTATATGCCCCAACCGGCCCCCAACTTCACCTCCAGACCTGCGTCAGGAATGGCGTGCGGGTAAGTAAAGCTTTCGCCCTGGCAGTGGAAGGAGAGAGCAGGCCTCGCTCTCCCTCCCTCCCTCCCTCCCTCTGCGACAAAAGGGCTTCCTCCAGACGGATAGCAGAGCTAGGTTCAGTTCGGGGAGAGGGCAACTATAGCTAACGATCGGGGGCTCGGAGGGGGGGGGGAGATCGGCCGCCAGAAGCCGAGTCCTTCCTTGGCTTCCATCTTGCCCAAACAAAGCGCTGCGCTTGAGCTGGAGGGGCCGCTCTGCGGATCCAGGCGGGTCTCAGAGAAGCTGCCAAACGGCTGCCCTTGAAAATCGGGGGGGGGGAGAGCTTTTTTTCCTCATTGCAAGCTGCGAGGTTGGCTTCCTGCAGAAAGGTGGTTTTTGTGTGTGTGTGTGATTTTGCTGAATGCTTTTCCTTTTCCAAGCAAGAGATCCGGTGATCCGCAGTAATGGAAGCAACTTGGTGTAGCTCAGCTACCCCCCCCCGCCTCCCACCACCCAGTGCAGGATGCGAGGAAGAGAAGCAAAATGGAGTTTGGCTGTTCTCTGTGCAGAGACGGGCAGGCTGGAGCGGTGCGCGAGGCTGGCTCCCAGTGGGATTCTTTGTCTGCCTTCTCTCCTTTTCTGCCTTGCAGGAGCTACTCCGAGGGGCTTTTCTGGGAGCCCGGACAGACCCCTGATCGGGCCCTGCCTCTCCCCTCGGACGGAGCTGGGAGGAAGCAGAGATGCCTGGCCTTTCCCTCGCTGACTTGCAGGGGGGGGAACGGGGAAAGATGGTGGCCATTTTGAACCCAGCCAGGCTCCCCCCTGCCTGCTCTTCTGCTGAGCACTCCGGGGCGAGAGGCGAGAATAGCCGGGTTCTTTAGGCAGCAGGCTGTGCCCATCTATGTCTCTCCAGCAGCAGCACTCCGTGGCACGGTTGGGCAGGCAGCCTCTCCCCCCCTTGCTTGCAGCCGAGGGAGAGGGTTGCTCAGTCATGGCGGCGCTGCCTGCCTTCCTCTGCTTCTGCAGGCGGCTGGGTGAGGGGTGGGGAGGACTCGCCCTGAGCTCCTGCCCTGGAAGCTCCAAGCTGGGTGTTGGCGGAGTTGCTCAGCCTCTCCTCCCCCAGCCCTGACCCCTAGGAAGGGTGAGCTCAGCCATGTTGGAGCAGCAGCAGGAAGAGGAACAGCAGCTGCAGCAGCAGCGAAGGCAGACGTGCCCTCTTGTCAGACCAGAGCGGGCTTCTGCCTGCTGGCATCTGCCCACTTGGCAGCGGGAAGCCTGTGCCAGGCGTAGCCCGGCTGAAGCCCCTCGCTTCCCTTGGTTTGCAGGGCCGAGATCCAGAGTAAGGACAGGAGAGCCACGCGGGCTCTTCCTTCTCTTTCCTCCAGCCAAGATGGCTCTCTCTCCAGCACTGGATCACGGGTTGCTGGGTTGCTTCACTGTGCTCGGCCGCTCCCAAATGGGGGCATTTTTGAAAGAGCAGGGCGACGCCTCGGGCCTTGACTGCACGCCAGACTCTTCCATGCAGCCTTTTCCAGAGGCTCGGCCAGGATCTTTGGGCTTTTTTTAACCGATGCAGAAATGAGTAGAGGAGCCACCAGCTCTGGCTTGGGGCTTAGGAAAAGATTAGCTGGCCTCAGAGCAGCCGGATTGGCAAAGTAGGCACGGATCGGCAAGCCTAAATCCATCTGACCTTTCTCTTCCCTATCAATCTCTCGGGAGGGGTGAGGGTTGAAGCCTTTCTCTTCCACATCCCTCCTGCTGCTGCTGCTGCTGGCTGCTGATAAAATATTCAGAGGGAGGCCCTGGGTGTTGCCTCTCGGATGCCATTTTATTTACCACCTCTACCCGGGGATTTGCTCAAGCGGCTAAACCGGTTTTTAAGCAACAGCTCCGAGGAACGGACTCTGCCTGCCTGTTAAACATTAAGCCACGTCATCCTTTGTGGGAAGAGAGAAGGTAAAGCAATTGGTTAAGTCGAAAGCATACAAGCGGGACATAATCCTGGTGAATTATGCCAACTGCTTCAGAGTCAACCTGCTTAGTCTGACATCGTACACCTGGCAGCCTTTTAAGTGGGGTTGGGAGAACTGGCTTTCATTTCTGCCACCAGGCTGAAGGAGGAGGCGTCCTGGCGCATTGTTTTTTCCATGTGAACAATCCTGCTGAGAGAGAGAGAGAGAGAGCGGTTGTGTTCAATGTGTGCGTCTTCTACCCATTTACCACTTCCTCTCCCTCAGTAGGTGACCCACTTGCTTGGAGTGAGAACAGCGAGCCCAGTCCCCAGATGATGGTTAGCAAGGCATCTGCCCCAAGATTGCTTATGTTGCTGGCAGAGAAATGGCGGCTTGATGGCTTCTCAGATTCCTTTCAGATGAGTCGGAGCCAGGCGCAAGCAGCAGCCCAGCACAAGCTTGATCCTGCAGCCCAGATCTTTGTGCTTTTGTGCGTCTTCCTTGGGTTTTTCCTTCCCTCCCCATTGCACTGAGCCTAATGTAGGTCACTGTGCAACGGTTACTCTTTAGGTTCCAGTCTTTTGCAACTGGGCTAGAGTATTGCAGGTTAGAATTTTCCAAACAATCCATATATATATTTCTTTCACCATTGTTCTATACAGATGCATCCCGTAATTTTATTTCTGTGCTGTAGATAGGTGTGAAGCAGGGCTGGAACACATGGAGAATTATATGTAGAACTTAATCCCATGATTTCAAGGCTGGAGTATGATGTAAACTAATTTTTTTGCAGCTTGTGTGATACTGACTTAGACACAGTGGAATGAATGCCTGGTCCTCCTCCTTGACTGAAGTGCCTGGATTAAGTACTACATTGCTGTATCCTAATTTGGGATTTCTGGATACTAGACTGTTTATTTTAAAATTTCAACAGGGTGGCTGTGTCCAAGGCTGTAAGACAGAGTCTTTGGGTTGATCAAAACAGACTTTTGGAATTTGTTCAGTACGTTTTTGCTTTTAGCGAAGACTGTGTTACCTGTCGGGTTTGTTAAATTGTCCCAAGAGGATGATTTCCAATGAGCTTGTGGAGAGATGGCTTGCCTGCTTCATCAGTTTAGCCAGTAAGCATTGATATTTTTATATGTTTCAGTTTACCTCCGTTTCAAGGGTATTTCACTTCAGTCCCTTTGAACTGTTCTTGGAGAATGCTTGATGTGCAAACTTCCCAGCGTTTCTAAAGATTTTCAAGTTAAATTAAGAGGTAGAAGTTCTATGGCTTTCTAAACCAAGTGGTTCAATGTCTGTGTAGGACGAAAAAGTCTGAATTGAGGCCAGCATGGAAATCTGAACTAACTTCACTCAGACGTTGGGAATAAGCTGAGGGATAGCAAGTTCTTACAAACAAGCCTCCTGGCCCGCTTCCTGTTTCGTTGTATATTTAGACAGCCAAGACTCCACCTATTTTTGTGAGCCAGAAGACTTGAGTACAGAGGAGCAGTTTTATGAAATGTTTGCACTATCTGAATGGTTCTTTGTCCGGAGCAAGGTCTAATTGAATGAGTTTTTCCCCCTTTAAACTTTAAACCTTTCTCCAGCAGAGGAAGAAAGGGGCTGAAGGGGGGGGCTGTTTAGGCAATTATAAGGGGATCTTGAAGTGGGCAGAAAGAGATGAAGCAAAAGAAACAGGAGTCCTAGTGTGAAGTGAATGCATATGGTAGGGAAAAGAAATGGAGGAATATAGTAGGAGCTTAGGTAAAAGAAGGATACTCTATGAAGTAAGGTTAAGCTGCTCTTGACCATAAAGAACAAAGCAGAATCTCCACATTCATCATGTGATTGGTTCAGTTTCGGTCTTACAGTGTTTACAAAGTCACTGCTGGGTGGTGTGCAACTCAGTTTGTCTTATCATCTTGTATAAGCAGCCAGTTGTCTATTCAGCAGGCCGTAGCAACCCAAGGTTAATGTGTTATTTGAAGCCGGTCTTGTTCACATATTGTGCTATGCCATAATTTGATCTGTCTGGTCTTGATTAAATATTATATATCATCTGGTCTGCTGTGGCTCGCTCAGCCAATCATGGCTGAGGTGCAGATCTTGTCATCGCATCCCATTAAGGAGCAGTTGCTAGGTTGCACTGGCCTGTATTTCACCTCCTTTTTTGAACTGCTTTCAAGAGCCCGATGCCGGGCTAGGCAGCTCTTGGCAATCTAACCCAGGAACCTTTTGCACGGATATCCTACTGAGAATTTGGACTTGGGCAAGGCATATGGTATTGTTGGAGCTTGGCAAAAGGGCTGCATTAGTTTTAGCTTTGGTAATGCTGCTAAATTGGGTAGCTTTGGTAAGCCTGAGCATGCAGACATGACATTATCCCAATAAGAGTCAGCCAATTCTTTAACTGTATACTTCTGGCAAATTGTTAGACAAAATAAAATTGTATGTCCATCCTCCAGAGTCCTTCCAGTTGGTATATTAATGGCAACGGTAATCTGAGAGCAGCAAGTGCCATTTGGATCATATTACCTTTGAATAAGTGCCTTGGTGATGAATGCTGCCCCTTTGAGGCAAAAATATTAGGACATTTTGCATAAACACGTGCCTACTGGTTAAAGTTCTGTATAAGACTGCAAAACATCACATCCCGAAGCAGGCTGTGCTCTTTCTCAAAAGGGCAACTTCTGTTACCTGTTGTCTTACACCACTAAGAGACGTTTGAAGTAGCATAATTCAAGTAGTATGAGACTCTGCTCCTACTTTATGACAGACAACGATAATCTCTTATTATGCCTTGGAGTAGCTGGGTGACATGTGCTCTGAATAATATTGAAAATGACATGGTGCAGTGTATTTTGTGCATATGTGATTTCAGGACTGTTCTAATGTATCCCTGTTAGTAGAAGTGAGGTTTGACTTTTATGGGAAATCAGATGGCTTCCCATTGTGCGAAGTTCCAAATCACACACATGGATTGATGCGATGTGTGAACTTAGAAATCTTTGCTAGGCCAAAATAAACTCATTCCGTTCATGGAGCAATCTGACGTTCAACCCACCTACTGACTCCTCTGATAAAATGGTTATTTTCAAGTATTCAAAATGCAGCTGCTAGCAATGCAATTCTCTGTCAAATAGTGTGGATGGGCTCTCAGTAGGATTATTGGCTATTAGGATATTCAAGGACATTGGCTTGGCCATTGAAAAAGAAGTCTCCTACATGATAGTCGTTAAAGGCTAGATTTGCTGTAGACACTTGATTACTGAATGAACCCATTTTCTTGATTCACGTAACATGCTGATAAAATAAATGATTTGAACGAGCAAAACCTTGTTCTTCGTTGCTTAGCCCTAGTTAATCACTAAGCAAGCTTGGAATGTTGTACAAATGCTGCTTTTAAGTCTAAGTGACCTGGTTAAAGTGTCATACGTTTGTAATGTTAGCAAATTTCCTTAAGCTTGCTTAATATTTGAATGTATCTTTAACTGAAATCTTTTTTATCAACTTAAACAAGGAACTTTTTATCTGATCTTTTGAGTGAATTGCCAGCAAGTGTTAAATAAGCAATTAGTCTCATGTTTATTTCAATGTTTTTCCACTAGCTAGATAAAAAGGAGTCAACATGTTCAAGCAGCAGCTCTATAAATGCTTTAAAGCTACAGTGCTAGTGTACTGCCACCTCCGTCATTTTTGGGTATACTTCATTGGATTACAAATTTTGAACAAATGTCAGTATGCCATAGAGGAAACAGATAATACTGTAACATGAAACCTGGAAGATAGAGCTATGAATCTGTGGAGCACCACATGAACCAATTTATACAAAAATAAGGTTTATTGTACTTACTGTTTCTGTAAATTGACTTCATCCAATATCATGCTTTGGAAGATGCTAAATTAAAGGGAGAATGTAAAACATAGTTAAAAGAGGGCAGTTTTGCTATTAGTCGCAGTATTAACTCGTGCTAGGCTTAGAGAAAAAGGAAGTATGTTTCTCATTTTACAGATGTGGTTTGTTCCTTTTTCCATGTTTACTACCGGTGGACAACTTGTATATTACACATAGAGTAGAACTCCACCCACCCACCAGTGGAGTACAAAACTAGCATGCTCATGGCTGAGAGATTTTGTAATTAGTGGTCAAAGTATAAAAGCCAGAAATGTATGCTGTACTAATTATTTAAAAATCATGCAAAACTACTCCCTAACTTCCTTTTAGAAAGAGGATAGAAAACAAAGGCCACATTTAAGAACCAGAAGTTAGCTTAGCACACAAGGTAATTATGCAGATAAAACAAAGGCAGAGAACATATTGTTCCCAATCCCTGAAAGGAAAAAAAAAGGGGGGGGGGATTAAAGTACAGTGACTTGTAGTACTTTTGCAAGAAGTCAAGTTACAAGCATTGCATCAACAATGGTAAATATCAGTCAGCAGTTACTTCTGCCTTTTGTCTTCCATGAACTTGATCCCACCTCCCAATTGTAGCTAGCGTGCATGAGCTGAATGGATTTTTCATAAATACTTCGAGCTTTGTGAAATTACCCAGCTTTCAGAGGTGATTTTCCCGGCGAGGCTCATTCAAAGAACACGGGTCCAAAACCCTGTGGAAGAGAAGACATTGCTTGCTTGTGCTTTCGGGTCAGCTGACGTCTTCCTCCGCCATCCGCCTTTTGCTTTTTGGACTGGCAGTAATTTCCCCTTCCGTTTACTGTCACAGCAAACTTCCACGGGTGGTGTTTTTTTAGGCCTAGAGGGCCATCTAGTGGTGACACGAAGTACCTACAGGGATAAAAATGGCCTCCCCCAGTTAATGGTGACTTCATGGACATCCAAGCCAACGTCCACGGATGTTGCCAGGCAAGGTGCTGCCATCTGTTGACAGCTTTAAAAAGAATGTTTAAAACTGCTAAATTGTATAGTGGGACACAGCTCCCAGTTTTTCTGCTGAGCCAGCTCGCAAAACACGGACTTAAAAATGTAAGATCTGTATTGAAATGCTATAAGCACAGATAGCGTGAGACAAAAATAAAAAGGTATTTGCTGAAAATGACTTTGCCATCTGTACTGTAATTCTTTTTAGCGTGGGTGTTTATTTCTTAATCCCAAACTGAGACTTCAAAAGGCAGGCCAAAGATTCATAGATACTTCCCCCCTCCTGCATGCGTGCAAAAAATAATCTTAAGCTGCTTGGAGGAAGAATAAAAATACAGGGAGCATTGTTTACATGCACAAGACGCTTGCACTGGTACTCCAAATCCTATTTAAAACCCAAAGACCATCCTTTATTTTGCATGTTTTCTTGCTGGAAAGGAGCAAGAAACAACTTCCTGGTAAGCATAAAGTACCCCAGGAGATGAAACACAAGTGTGGCAGCAACAAAATCTTAGCCATTACGGCAACCTCAACATTTGCCATAAATTCCAAGATGGGTTGCTGCATTTATTAAAACAGCCTTAAACTTGGGATCCACCAGGACAAAGTAAAAAAAAAACCCATACGCAAACTGATAATGCTAAATACAAGTAATGGCACTGAAGTGTCTTACGAATGTTTTTCACACTTATGACTGTTCCAGCGTCCCTACGGTCCCTGATCAAAATTCAGACACTTGGCAACTGACTCATATTTATGCCAGTTGCAGTTACTTAGGGTCATCTACTCACCTTTTGTGACCCTTTGACAGGCAAAGTCAATGGGGGATCCAGATTCACTTAAGAACTGTTACTAAGCAACTGCAGTGAGTCACTCACTTAACAAGTATAGCAAAAGTCAGTAAAATGGGGCAAGACTCACTTAGTAACAGAAATTTTGGGCTCCATGATACTTATAAGTCGAGGATTACCTGTAATTATCATGTCCTTAACTAGTTAGGGCTGCTCCCCAAGCCAGGATTACAACTCCCATCAACCCCAACCAGCTGCCCATGATATAGCATGCAATGGTGGTGTGTACATGGGAGGGGGAAATAAACTAAATTGCAGAAACCTATACATCCTAATTTATCCTGGCAACCTCTTTGGGGGATGATGTAACTTGGAGGGCACCCAGTTGAAGAATCTTTCATATCTATAGATTTTTATGTCATTTTATAACTCAAGGTGACCAGTATACTCCCTATTTCCCCAACAATCCTGCAAGGTGGGCTGGGCTGAGAGTGATTGACCCACAGGTGATTTTCCTGCCTGAATCAGAACTAGAACTCGCAGCTTCCTGCTTTCTAGGCCAGCACCTGAACCACAAACTGGCTCTAACTGATCCGTCCCGACAATTGGGGCAAAAGCATAACCCGCGTTAGGGCATCTAAGCGCCCGGGCTAGGTTGATGCAGAGGCGGCGAGGGCGGGTTCGACCCTCCCTCGCCACTGTAACTTCAGCCGGCGGCGGCGGCGACTCGCCGCCTTCCGAAGCCGCAGCTCGAGGAGGGAGGGAGGGAGGAAAGAGGCGAGGCTTCTGCCGCCTCTTCTCCACTCCCGCCCGAAGAGCGGGTCTTTCGAGGCGGCGGCAGCAGCAGCGTACTACTATGGCCGAGAGGAATAGCTCCGGCCCCAGCAGCCGGGAAGGCAGCGAGCCGGGGAAGGGCTCAAAGACGGAGCTAAAGGTAGTGGTGGTGGGCGACGGCGGCTGCGGGAAGACTTCACTCCTTTTGGTGCACGCCAAAGGCGCCTTTCCCGAGGTAAGCGCCGGCTTTTATAGACCCTCTCAGCCAATCAGGACTCGCCCGGCCCCCTCCTCAGCTGTCGCCGCGCGGGAAGCTTCTAGAGGGTCTGGAAGCCTCTTTCGGGGGAGACTTCTGGAATCCCGAGGCAAAAAGGGCGACATTTCCTTCTGTTGGCAGTGGGCATCGCTCAGAAAGGGATTCCCCGCATGGCAGATCGCAGAATCCCCTGCCTTCCTCATTCTGGCACCTCTGGAGGGTTCCTGCTTGGCAAAGGTGCCATTTGTAGCACCTTCCTCAGGCAATATTCCCCTCAGGAGATTCTTGCCTAGTAGCTAACATCAAATCAGTCCAGATGTGCAAGACCAACTCAGCTGGGGATGATGGGTTTGATAGCGTTACCGCCTGTGTCCTTCCCAAGTGCCAGGATGGCCCATGAGTTCAGTGCACTGAAAATGGCAACACTGTCTTGACTCCACCTCAATACGAATCAAAACAAACAATAAAGATGGCATATAAACAAATAAACTTATGTCAGGAAATGAAGCCTCTGGATTTATTTTTATTTTTTTAAAAAAAGCATCAGAGTCATCTGGGTCTCACTTTGAGGGGTTCCATCTTTGTCCCATTAGAAATAGGCAAACAGCAAACCCTCCCTGATTGGAATGGGAAAATCAGAAAATCTTGCCTTATTGCTACAAACGACACATGCAAACTTTGTGGAAATTACTAAAATGGGGCAAAAGTGTTTCGCTTGGTGGTTCATCTTAGGAAACATCTCAACATCTACGTAGACAAGGCAACAGGATGCATGAGTGATGGACTTCCCGTTAACTAATTTACTTATTGCAGATTTAGAAGTTGGGAGATTGCATATCACTGATGGCCTCAGAAGTCATCAGTTTTTCTGCACATGGCTCTAGATTAAAGACAACTTGCTATCTCCATGAATAAATGTTTCTGCAATCAATGTGGGCCCCTATTTGATATAACAATTAATGCAAGTCTAGTTCCAATGAGTTCAGGAATGCATAGGTATAAATGGGACTGAAATCCAGGGCAGAATCCAGTTCTAGCAGAAATCCACCTTTACTTCCAGGATTGATTGAAACAATTGCAGAAATCCGTGTACATGTATTCTATTTGAAGGAGCTTCTGGATGAAGAGGCAGAAGTCAGACAGGATATCTGGAGCTCTGTGGTGTGCCACATCCTAGATGCAGCTCAAATCAAGAGAAAAAAAGGCTTAGGTTTTGTGCAGGTCTACAGATCTTAGTCTTAGTCCAACATAATGTCTGCTTCAGGCATTTGGATTTGTTGAGTATTTTTGGACCACTAGTTAGTTCTTTTGCTGCCCATCAGTTTTCTATGTTTTTATGTATTTGCTACTCTTCCTCAGGATGGCAGGCAAAGAAACAAGCTATCCACAGTCAAGGCTCAGTCTGCTATCTTTTAAAAGTCCTTATAACATTTTTAACCGTTTTTAAAAGTTTACAAGAATTTTAGGAGTTTTTTAAAAAAGTTGAAAAAACGATTTTAAAAAAGGTTTAAAAAGAGTTTAAAAACATGTGGCTGCCATCACTTAAGCATTTGGAAATTTTTGTGGCTATTTTTGCAGAAGGGAAATATAAAGTTGTAAAACACTCTGGGAGGAGCTGTGAAACTTGACAATGTATACTAATAACACACTTATTTTCCACTTCCGGACAGCAATACGCCCCTTCGGTCTTTGAAAAATACACAACCAATGTCGCTGTGGGGAAAAAAGAAGTACTCTTACATTTGTATGATACTGCAGGTAAAGTTCATCTTGATTTTTTTTTTTTTAAAGATGTTAGCTCATCAAAAGGTAGACAAGTTAGATGTTCCTCTAAAAGTATAGGTAATCCATGTGGTGCAAATTAGGAATATTATCAGAACATATCTTGCTTGGCATAATGAAAACACTGTCCATTTGGAGTTTTCCTGCTCTACATTATTGTAAAAAACAGAGCAAGCAAGAAGTCAGCTAGACATACACGCACGCACACACGTAGAAATGTACTTAAATTTATTTGGTAATTTCTTCATTTTAGGACAAGATGATTATGATCGCTTACGGCCACTCTCGTATCAAAACACTCATGTGGTTTTGATTTGCTACGATGTCATGAACCCTTTTAGCTTTGATAATGTATTAATCAAGGTAAGAGGTTTTAGAACTAAAACATGAAAGAATCATGATTTTCTTCTCTATACAGTCACCGTTTTGTGAAGCAGCTATTTAGAAGTCCTTTAGTGCACATATAATTTGGAGCTTTCTCCCAGTTGATTTGGTGACAACTTAAGTGTGCTGTCATTGTAGCTTGTAAGCCATGATTTAGTGATTTGCATAAACTATGAGCCAAACCAGTTGCAGCTTACTGAACAAACTATCATTTAGCATATGTAATTCCGGTATTTCCAAAGCTAGCCCATCAGCATTTATCTAACTCTCAGCCTTCAAGGCAAGCAAGGAGAATCCAGGAAAGTTAGGAGATGGCTTCTAACAAGCCAGTTATTGCAAACCACAGCTTAGTACCCCATAGACCCCATTTCCATTTGAGCTCATCTAGCAAAGTTCACCCTTTGTTCCCCAACAGTGGATCCATGAAGTCAACCACTTCTGCTGTGGAATCCCTATCCTGTTGGTGGGTTGCAAAACTGATCTCCGGAAAGACAAAGAACACCTCAAAAAGCTCCGCTCTGCTCAACAGGAGCCGATCACTTACAAGCAGGTAAAGAGAGCAACCAACCTCTTTCTTCAGATATGATCCACCAAATTCAGGTCACCTGTCCTTTTGAGCGACAGCAAGTTGAAGACCTGCTCCGTTGAGGCATCACCCATAACCAAAGCTTCAGGTCTGCCTACATTCACGTGGAGACCATTTCCCACCAGGAGAGCAATTTGATTGAAGGTGTAAGATGAAGAGCTGAATTTGCTGCCCGACTCAGGGTAGAAAAAGTATTTAATGATCGAGTTACACAAAATGCAGTGAGCCACAAAATGATTTGGTTTAGACTTAGGAGGCTATCCCAAAGGTGCTTTTCAAAAAGGCAACTGGACTTTCTTGGTTTGTTCCTTGAAAATGTTTCACTTCTCATCCAAGAAGCTTCTTCAGTTCTGCTTCTTTCAAGGTTTTTTTTTCCTTGAAAAACGAAAACATTTTCACGGAAAAAACCCAGAAAATCCAGTTGCCTTTTGGAAAAGTATCTTTGGTACCACTTGGATGATTGAGACTTTGCATAGACACTTAGGAGGCCAGGCAGCTCTGTTTGCCCATCTTGTGCAATGAGATCAAAGCAGACATATGCTAGCCTTTCGGTTTGCTCGTACAATGCTCAGCTTTTAAGATGGGGCACAGTAGGGCACACAGCTCCCTGCCTCCTGGGACCCCCATGTCCTCCCAGTCAGTAGCCCTCCTCACCATCAGCTTCCCCAAAGCAGCATGAAAAATTCATAAGCCATCAACCAGTTTATCTTGTTGTTTGCTGTTGGTGCCAATCACACAAGGCTTCTGTGGGTATTCTTCTCTTGCAGGGTGAAGAAGCCTGTTGCCAGATTGGTGCCAGCATGTACCTCGAGTGTTCAGCTAAGTTTCGGGAGAACGTCGAATCCATTTTCAGCGAAGCAGCTAGCATAGCGTTGAACGCCATCAAGAAGGCCAAACGCCAGAAGAAATCAAGGCCTTGTGTTCTTTTATGACGTGAAATCGGACAGAGGAAGACAGTTGTTCTTCTTCCTTTTCTGTGATATGCAGGGAAGCATTTGTAGTTTTCTATCTGGATTTGAAAAGGTACTTTTCATTTGGATTGTAACAGGAGAAGAAACTTGGTTTGTATTAATTTCTGCTTTTACTGGACTTTTGCATCCAATGACGACACGTTTCACTAGGAAGGAGCTCTTCCTTTCCCAGGTCTTTACTTCTAGAAGATCACTTTGCTACTTCCCATTTTTTAAATAACAATTTTTAAAAAGCCTTTTTACGTCATAGCAGTATTACCAAAATGAAGTGGTCCTTTTCAATAAACTTTCCAAGTAAACCATAGAGTTTGTTCTATTTTGATTTAATGCAATATTTCTCAACTGCGGCAATGTGAAGATCTGTGGAACTCCCAAAATTCTCATCAGCACACTGGGAGTTGAAATCTCCACATCTTCATATTGCCATGGTTGAGAAATACTGATTCAATGCATCATTTATAGCTTGCAGATGTAGTTTATGACATACAGTGGTCATTAACTTAGCTGAGTGTGCTTTTTCAGCCAACTTTAGTTAAAAAAAACCGTCATTCAATATGATATATGAATATAAAGGTTGTCATCCTTCCTTCTGTAGTAAGCTGGGGACATTTTAATAGATTAAAAAAAGAGAGTCCAATAGGTTAGTAGTTAAACTACAGTATGGCTGAGATTCATTACTTAGGTACAGTAAGCCCTGATTCAATTGGGAGATTCAATCACCAACTCCTGAAGAAATGACTTGAAGGACCTCACAATTTGCGCTGCTTGTGTCTATATAGATTTCTTTAGGTCATTTCCTACTATTTCATAAGGAATAGCTACCTCGAAATATGCCTTTATACCTGGTGCTGTGCCTTTAAACTATTTCTAGTTGAAAGTTCACTCTTTGTGCCAATTCTTTATGTTTCTGTCTTTGTAATACTCTGAACTGTACTTTAAAATATTTTTTATTTTAATAGAAAAATAAAAATCTTCACTAAAGGGATAAATATTTGTAATAATAAGAGAAGGGAGTGAATATTTCATTAAGTTACAATACTGATAATAAGTAAGAGGACAGGACTGTTAAGGGATTATCATTTTTAAATCTAAGGTTATTGGATCAGTTAATTTACCCAGGGGAGAAATCAGTTGATATCATACACCAAACAATTCAGATTTTAATCAGCAGAATTTACCTGGATACGCAGAGCATGCCTCAAAGCAGAGAAGAGGTTTGCCTTGGATCCCAGCTTGCACCTGTCATTTCCAGAGCTCTCTTCCATGATCCACGTTCTCCCAAAAATCTTCCCAACTAATCCTAAAAGGCCTGGCAATAAACACATCCTACAGGTTAAAGTTACGTTATAGACTTGCAGGGAGGGGGAAGAAACCTCTGGAGCTGTTCTTTGCCATCTTCTGCCCCTGGAAGAGCCAAGAAATTTCAAGGGAAAAAAAACATGGAAAACATCACTGCAATCTTTGGGTCAACAAAACCAGGAACAAATTGTGATTCTCCCCTCCCCCCAACCCAGCAAGTCAAAGAGCAGTGTAATTAAAGCTCGCTTTATTCCAGAATAATTCTATCTCCGTATCCCGCCCAGAGAGGACCAACATTATGTCTCCCCAAAGTTTGGGATCTTGCATTCAGTATAAATATATAAACAGGTCACTCATTGGTGGGAAGACAGCAGCATTGACCAATCAGTCAGTTTTGGAGGAGACAACGGGACGTTGAGTGGCATTTCCTCCAGGGCTTTGCTTAGCGGCAGGCCAGTCAGGAAGCTGGAGAACTAGCTGGAACACATGCAGAGAAGGCCACCATGAACCACAACTCCATCCCACGTTGACTTGTCCTGCCTGCCAGTTCAGTCCTCCTCTTTCACAACTTCTTGGTTTTGTTTTTCTGGAATTTTGTATGGACCACTTTCAACGTGGTGAGGAAGTTTCCGAGGAAGAGAATCAGAAATGTCAGAGCCAGAACTGAAACCTAAAGAAGACAGGAAGACAAGACCCACATAGAGAGATGTGACAACGGGAAAAAAGATCACGCTGGAAAAGTATGAGGAGCAACGTTGGCCCACTGGTTAAGTTGTCCTCTTGATGTGTCAGAATTGACAATCATTAACTCCTAGCAAGAGACCTTCACGGGATTGGGAAAGCATTTTGAGAGATCATTTATAACTAACAAACAGGAGTTGGCCGTTGTTCATTTACAGTGGATCAAAGAAGATTTCTCTTTGTTCTCTGTGCCGCAATTTCTATCTGATTATGGTGGATTAATTTCATAAAGCAAGCACGCCTCTTGGATATTGAAAAGCAACTGAGCTGCTTAAATACTGATTACCTCTAAGTGCCTAGGGCCCGGCTGTTGGCTCAATCCTACTGCTCAAAAATACTGTAAATTGGAGAAGAAGGGAAGAGCAGCATAATATTCAAGTTTACCGGATCTCTGACTTCAGTTTGGGTGAAAAATGACTTCCCCACTAGAGTAAAAATTATTTTGAACCAAAAAATACTTACTTGCCATTCTTTACACTTCTTGTGCCTGGACAGTTCGAAAAGGGTGATCGCATTGTAGAGTTGCCAAAACTTAAGCAGAGGGAGGGAGAGGGGGGGGAAAAAGAGGAGATTTAGGAACAGGGTTCTGCTCACAGAGTTCTGAGCCATGATTGTAAAAAGCAGAGAAGAACTTTAAGAACTGTATTTATCACAAGATAATTATTGACAATTCTAATCCTAAATCGAGGACCGGCTGTATACTAAACAAGAATATCAGCAAACACGTGGCATCCAACTTACCTGCCCAAAGAACAAAAAAGGGAGGAGAAATGTCAGACCTCGCCACATCCAGGACTGAAACCCCTCTATCGAGAGATCAAAATAATCACAGTCAAATTAAGCAAATTAAAAGACCATCTTTTATCCAATCTCGTTACAAGGGAAACAGTTTCCAATGGACAGGATAGATTCAGTCCACCAAAGAGCTAACAAAATTACGAATTTATTTCAAAATCAATGGAAACAGGTCATTGGTAGGAGATTTAGGTTCAAAGCCCTGATCCAAATACTGGAGAACTAAAAGTCTTCAAACAAATCGGAGTGCCTAATACTTACCCACTGTGAGATCTAAGTGGTTTCTTTTTCCGAGTGCACGGAGTCGATAAAGGCACCCACTCTGATAATAATATTGAAGGAACTGGACACAGCCTGGAAAGAAAAAAGGGAAATAGGCTTAAATTTTTTTAAAAAAGGGATTGGAGCTGCAATTTATTAACCTTCCGTAATTTACACCTAGACCTACAACAGTCCTTGACTTACAAGCATTTGAAGTTACAACAGTCTGAAAAAAGTGACTTAAGGCCGGTCCTCGCACATATAACCACTGCAGTCATGTGACCAAAATTTGAGTGCTCGGCAACCACTTGTATTTATCATGGGATCATGTGACTGTCATTTGCGACCTTCCCAGAGAACTTCTGATGAGCAAAGTCCATGAGGGAAACTCGATTCGCTTAATGACCACGATTCATTTAACAACCGCAGCAAAAAAGGTCATGAAATCAGGCGCTTAGTTCCAGTCCCAAATTATGGGTTATCAGTCGAGGTCCACTTACATTCAACCACAAGATAAATAAATGAACTTTCCCGATTAACTGTGCTCTTTCTGATCCAATTTTGCTATGCTGCACGCCCTTGGCTTCCTTCAAAATTCCACTTTTCATGTGGATCCGGTATGTATGTTTACTTACTCTGAAAAATGGAGAAAGATAAAAACTGGTTCCGGAACATTTGGTACATGAGACCCTCTGGCCTGTGGAAAGAGGAAAGAAAAAAACAACACAGGAGTCATTGAAGAGACACAGCACAGCTGTGACTGTCATATCCTATTGCATCAGAGGCCATGAGGTGCAGAGAGGAAATTTAAAAAGCGAAAACATCATCTGAAGAAGAAAAAAAGGTAGCATCTGGGTTGAGGAAATTCGCCTTAGACCAGGGGTGTTCAACCTTGGCAACTTTAAGACTTGTGAACTTCAACTCCCAGAATTCCCTAGCCAGCCGTGCATGGCTGGCTGGTGAATTCTGGGAGTTGAAGTCCACAAATCTTAAAGTTGCTGAAGTTGAACATCCCCGGCCTAGGCTAACCCAGATGGAGGGAATTATGACGTTCAGCCAAAACCAGGAGAACACAGCGAACAGTTCTGTTTTTACGATCAAAGAATCTTTAAGGCTGGTCTGCCGTTCAGAGGATGAAAAAAGGGGGGGAAAACTGCTTACCAAGTTAGCATCACCCCAGATAAGAACGTAGAAATGTAATGATGAGACACCCACCAGCCTTTAATCCTGAAATCAAAGAAGACACCTTTTTAAGCCACTTTAGGCTTTGCAGTGCAGCACAGAGCAGTATTTTGCAACCGTGGCAACTGGAAGATGGGTGGACGTCAGAGCCCAGAATTCCCCAACCATCTTGAGGACTAGTACCTCGATCCATTGCTGATGAGGATGCTTTCTCTTATCGTCAGTGTGCAATAATACCAAACCAAGAGGAAATTGAACACTTCATCAGTGACCCTGCGGGAAAAATTGGGGATTATTTCCCACCTTCCAAAAACTAGAATACCCAGAATAGTATTTATATATGTACACGTAGGTACATACTTTTTAAAAATAATAAAAAAAACTGGGGTCAGTGCAGATACTGTGCAGGTTCAAAATCCAGGGCTGCGGTTCAAACCGTTTGCTGAGTCGCCAAGCTGCCAACTTACCGATAATGGAGAACAAACCGGCAGGCAACCGCTCCGAGCAACAAGATGATGGTTAAGTAGAGTTTGAACTTTTCATATTCGTCTTTGTAGGCAAACCTAGGACAAAAGAAAAGAGACATGCCATTGCAAAGCCAGAGCTGGCATTCTGTGCCTTTTGTCCTTGCACCCATTCCTTGGCCTGCACACACTGCAGCCTTGTTCTGACAGACCACGATTCCTGGTTTATACAATCCAGGATTGACACCTATAGGCTGGTGCAGCCCGTTTGGACAGACAAGATGTAAACTATTCAAGAGTTCAGAAAGAAATTCTTAGTGAACCAGACTTCTCAACAGACATCAGTCCGGAGCACCCATCATCCTAGCTCATTCTGGCTGAGGAAACTAGTCCCTGTAGTCTCCTATTCAGCGGAGCCAGGTCCTTTGCGTGCAAGCCCTCCCAAATTCTCCTAAAATAGCACAGAATTCACTTACTTGGCCTGGTCGCTTAGCAGAGTAACATTGACGTTCCCCAACACCAGATTTAAGTACAGACTGAAAGGAAAAACAACAACAGTCCCATCAGTACAAAGCATCAGATAGTTGGGGTTTCTGGCAAAAATTATCCATTCGGAGATTTGCTGTTTCTTAACTTGCTTAACGACTGTGGCATTTGTTTAATGACTGCCACGAAAAAAGTCATAAAACCAGTCATGGTCCCGTGAAGACCCGCGTAACGACTGGCATGAGTTACAATCGCAGTTTTGGGCTCAGACCTGGTCTCAAATTAAGGTCAGCGAGAACTGTAGTCCCGACACATCGGGCTGATATTTATAATGCCCTTTGATCCACCCAATAAACAAGCATTTTTAATTCATTTTTGAACTCAATTTACAGGGCTGCCCATCTCAAATACATGTTATGGAACAGCATAGGAACTCCATAAAACTTTGGCTATGGGTGCCAAATGGTGAAGAATCTCTTCTACAAAGAGGCCCTCAACTCTCCCTCTTAGCCCCTCTGTGGCTTAGCTTGCCGGGGTCTCCTGTCCTCCACGGATGCCCTGGCCAGGTCTGTATGGGGTTGATCCTCCGCTAGGATCGTTTCAAGTAAACGTGGACGTGAAGACAACCTCAAGAAGGAGATTCAACAACACAAACCATCGTCCAGAAGCTCTTTGAGACTTGCCAACACCCTTCCATTGCCAAACATCTCCTGTTCCTCTCCAGCTGTGCCAACTCTGGATTTAGAGATCGCTCTAAAGGCGGTTCTGGAAAGCCTTTCCAACATGTTGCTTTCAGCTCCCCTGATGGCAGGACTCTAGGTCCCATGGGCGAGTTTGAAAAACACCTGTTTCTCTTTTAATAACATCCCTCTGCCTAACCTCCATGTGTGCACGCCTACCTGTTCCTCTTCGGCAAATAGGCCTCCATGTCGAAGAAAACATTCTGGCGGTCACGGATCTGGTTGTTGATCTGCAGGATGAGCTCCGTTTCTGAGCTGCCCTGGCCGTCACACCTGGACACCGGGGAGGAACACAAGCACAGGAGTGCCAAAATAAGAGCCTGGCAGCCAATTACGGCAGCGGAAAACAGTTAAGCAAGGATTCGCTTTTACACGCAGTTGTGAAGTTAGCAACCAGGTTGTTAAGTGAATCTGGCTTCCCCATTGACTTTGCTTGTCAGAAGGTCACAAAAGGGGGTCACGTGACCCCAGGACATTGCAACCGTCATAAATATGAGACAGTTGCCAAGTGTCTGAATTTCGATCACGTGACCATCGGGATGCTGCAATGGTCGTGTGAAAAGCAAGCATAAATCACTTTTTCCTTAGTGCCGTTGTAAGGTCAAACTGTCACTAAACAAATGATTGTAAGCCAAGGACTGCCTGTATTAGGCATTGGAGAAGCCATTACCTTTTAAAGTTATCCTGCAACTCCTTCAGCCTCTGTTTTTGCTTCTTTATGGAACTGCTGCAAGCCACCTGCAAGCTTGTGAGTTCCTCCAATTTCTGCTTGTAAATTTTGTGGGTTTCCTATAAATATTTAAAAAGTGCATTAGATTCAGAGGAACGGGAAATTACTTGTAGAGGCCTACAATATTACATTTGCTTATTATGTTTAAGCAACTTTGGTTGCTGCAAATTCCACATGAGCTGGAAAAAGAATGACTTCAGGACTCTGGTTACATGGGAAGATCACAGGGCACAATTATGCCATTTCTGGAGCAGCATCGCAAGTCACAAAACACTAACCAGTCAAAACAACAAGAGGTCTTGAAAACAGATTCAGAAAAGACACAATGGGGAAAATACCTGGAGGACACATTTTCAATTCTTACTTCCCACCTTTGAATATAAAATCACTGGTAATCTTTTCCCAAAGCAGCTGATAAGCATAAATAAAACCCAGCACCACAAATGTGATCGCCATTTGTGACTTTCCCAGCCAGCTTCTGACAAGCAAAGGGGAGAAGCCGGATTCGCTTAACGGCCAATGTTTCACTGAACGACTGCAGGGATTGGCTTAAAAAGCTGCAATAAAACAGTTGTACAATCAGGCAAAACTCATTTAACCGCCTTGTTTACTAAGAGAACTTCTAGTGCCACTATCGCCACAAGTCAAGGACCAGGAAGGTCTCTCAATTCAAACCAGATCCCCAGACCCTGACTCTTCAAATCTATCCCCGTGTCCTTGAAACAAGAGTCCTTTTTTAGAGAGTTGGTGACAGAAGCTTTTGTCAATCAGGGAACGGACTCAGCTGCTGGGCAACCAGGGATTTCTCCTCAAGAGGTCACTTTGTGAAGGACAAGTACCAGGTGGAACCCAGTTCCAGCAAGCTGAGGCGCAAAGACCAGCTGCCAGCCCCCATCATCCCTTCCAATTTCAAAGGCCGTATCAAGTGTTCTAGGGCATTGTGGGAAATTCTTTAAGGACGAGTGACCCAGGGACATCCTGCTATGCCCTGAAGTCCATCCCTAGCCAGACAGCAGCTCAGAAAGCTGGATTCTGATGAATCCCCAGCTGCAGTTCTGGATCCCTCCAGATCTGTGGCTTCTTTGGGGCTAATGATGATTAGGGATCCAGCTGCAAGGAAGGAACCAAACAAGACCTGCCTGCTACGACCTGCCCTTTATCAGCCCCAATTAAGGACGACATTGTCAAGAGATTAAAGGCCGCATCTTGTAGAAAAGTGGGGCCTGTGATTCTCCTGCAACCTGCGGCCTTTCTGGAAATCTGTAGGGGGAAGCTCACCCTTTGGCCTATTAGCCACCCACCCACTCCAGCAACTCACAAACTCTGTTTGGCTGGAGATCAATCTTGGCACAGATGCCCGAGATTGAAGATTAATCATTTCTAAAAAAGTTCCTCCAGGAACCGATAAAGAAAGAATGAGTGCAGAGAGTTCAGTGCTGCCCAGTGCAAAAATAGCTAATCCTCAACTTACAACAGTTTGTTTAGTGACCATTCAATTACAACAGTATTGGGGAAAAAAAAACTCGTGACTGTTTTTCACCCTTACGACCGTTGCAGCATCCCCGTGGTCACGTGATCAGAATTTAGATGCTTGGCAACGGGGTCACGTTTATGACGGTTGCGGTTGCAGAGTCCCGGGGTCGTTGTGATCCGCTTTTGCGACCTTCTGACAATTAGAGTCCAGATTCATTTCACAACCGTGTTCCTAACTGAACAACAACTGCAGCGATTCGCTTAAGTGTGACTAGAAAGGTCGTAAAAACTCACTTAACAAATTTTAGGCTCCACTGTTAGACTGCCTGTAGGCAAAACCCACCACAAAAGTTTCATGTTCTTTCCTGGGACTCTAAATCAGCTTTTTAGGAGAAAGCAGCACTCCAGCAACACCCTCTTCCCCAAGTGCCAAAGGTGCTTTTTCTGGAGGCAAGTGGACTTTCTTGTTTTTCTTTGAAGACATTTTCGCTTCTCATCCAAGAAGCTTCTTCCGCTCTTGACTGGATGGGCGGAAACTTGGATGAGAAGCGAAACATCTTCAAAGGAAAACAAGTCCAGTTGCCTCCTGAAAAAAGCGCCTCTGGGCAACCGTGACCTCTTCCCCAAGCTTATCCTTCATTCGTGGGCATTAAGTGGCCCCTCCTGCTCCCTCCAATATTTTGCAAGGGTTAGTCAGCAATTAACCTGGTTGTTCTCCTTTGCTTCATTTCCAGGCCAAATGTCCCTAAACGCTTTTTTCCCCCCTGTTCCCCCTTCCAACGAGGCCACATCTGGCTGCAGCTGTATCAGTGGCCCCTCCTCAGCCTATCAAGGCAGCGCCCGGGGGAGGGGAAACGACTCAGTCTCCCCCTCCCCTAAATGTCTGCAAGGACCCCTTAAAAAAATCCCCCCTCCACTCAAGCAACTCAACGACTGCTTCCCCCCCCCCCGTCGAGCTTCGCTTAAAGCCCGCACCAACCCAGGCGGGGCTGGGCTTCATCTGCCGGCTGCGGATGATGGGTCTGGAAGTCATCTGAACTCCTGCTGGTTTCCCAAGAGGAATCGGGCAAATCTCAGCCTTTTCACTTGTTCCGCAGCAGTCAAACGGGCCCGGAGCTGCTGACCCCCGCAGCTTTATTATAGGGGGGGGGATCGGGGGAGGAGAGACCCCAAGCACCTTTCACCCGCCCCCCCCCCGCCGCTTTTCTGCCAAGGCTGCTTTGCCCTGCTTCCTCCCTACGGGCGCCCGCAAGCTCAGGAGCCCCCGGGCAAAAATGACGCAGGGCAGGATTGTGTCTGCGTCGCGGGAGAAGACTCGGGCGGAGTTGGGGGAGCCCCCTCCCCAACGAGGGTCAAGGGGCGCCCGTTGCAAGGAGAAGCCGGGGAGACGGGGCGACCCCACCCCCACCCCGCGACCGGCCCCGTACCTGGAGCTGATGGAAGTCGGCCTGCAGCTCCGCCCAGGCGTCCAGGGCGTCCTGCATGGCGCGGGGCTCGGACCCCCGCGGGACCCACCGACCCCTCCACGTGCGGGACTGGCGGACCCCGCTTCGCGCCCCCCGCGGCCCGCAGCGCGATGAATGAGCAGGCCCCGCCCCGGCCCCGGCCCCGCCCCCTCGCTGCGCCGCAAGGTTAATTCATCGCAGCCGCTTCTTCTCTCTCCTCCCACCCCGGGAGCGCCCGACGGCGCAAGCGCGTCTCCTCGGCCCCCGTCGACCCCGCCTTCTGGGCCCCGATTGGCTGAAGCTCAGAAAAGAGCTTCCCGTTGGCCGCGCCCCTCCGAGGAGGCCAGGCGCTCCTCCCACCCCGCTTAACCCTTACTTCGCCGTCCTTGCCCAGGGCGTGGGAATCGGAGAGCCGGTTCGGCGTCTTGCGTGGTTAAGGCATCCGGAAGAAAAGGGCTAAAAAGAAAAGAGGAAAGGAGGGGGGGGGGGAAAGGAAAAATGAAATGGGAAGAAGGAGAGGAGAGGAGAGATGAAACCGAAAGGAAAGCAAAATGAAAAGGAGAGGAGAGGAAAAGAAAGGAAACATGGAAAGAAAGGAAAAATGAAATGAAATGGAGAGGAGGGAAGGGAATTATTTGCAGCCCCCAGATGCCAGCGTTGCACATACGGTGTACGGAACTGCGGAGGGCTCGGAGATTCCCACCCTTTTGCTTGCAGCTTGAATCTCTGACCCGGATCACCCAGGAGCCCCTGTGGCCCTTGGGAAGTTGCCATTCGCCCGAAAGGCCTCTGGGCGGCAGGAAACGTTCAGAGCTGGCCGTATTGCGGCTCTGCTGTGTTGCTATGGCCACTTCCCTTGCCAAGCGGGCTTCTGTGTGGGGGTTGAGCCACCCAGGATGACCCCCCAGGATTGGCCCTGCGCTCCCCCTGGGGCAGAGCCAACCTGTGCCCCCCCTTGGAGCCCCCTGAGCTTACAATGGCAGAGACACGGTGGGTCTCCAGTTACATTTCTATGTTTGCTTATTTCTTTGCCGTCTTTTCCTCTTGTTTTTTTTTTGTCCCCCCAAGTTCCCAGAGGCTCCCTCTGGATTTCTAATGGAAAGACACAGGAATTGAGGAGAAAGCGATGGGGAGGGCAGAGGAAAGTTCAGACACCAGGTCTGAATGCAGCCAATTTGGGGGGGGGGGGCGATATAGTATGAAAGAGGGGAATAAAGATGCCTGCAAGTTTGCTTCCAGGAATATAAACATAGGGAGGAGTTTAGTCACCGCTTTTGGAGATCAGAAAAGCTTCATTTCTGGCTTTTCAAGGCCTTTTGTTAGTCTGAAGAAGGGTGCCAACCTCTTCCAGTTTTTGGCTATCCCGGTTCTTTTCCTGTGATATGATTGTGGGTAAGATTTTAAAGGGCTGAACCAGGGTTATCCTCTCTCGCCTGCAATATTCCAGAGCAGGGCTCCTCAACCATGGCCACTTTAAGATGTATGGACTTCAACTCCCAGAATTCCCTAGCCGTGCGGACTTCAACTCTCTGAATTCTATGGCCGCGTGGACTTCAGAATTTTCTGGCTGGAGAATTCTGGGTATTGAAGTGCACCCATCTCCAAGTTGCCCAGGTTGAGAAACACTGACCTAGAGGATCCTACGATCTTCTTTGTCCCGTCTAGGGCACCACATCAATAGAGAAGAGGTAGCTTGGGGGTCTCTGAGGTTCTGAAGACCCGTCCAAGAGTCCGGAAGAGTCTTCCAAGAAAGCCATGGAAGGGGGCGGAAGGATGGGCCGAGGGGTCTGCCTGGCTGGGCTCCCTCCCCCTGAGAGAGTCCCAGGGAAACTGGGCTGCCTCAGCTGCATCCATCCAGGTGTGCTGGAACTGGAAGATGCAGGCCCCGCCAGCGATGATCTCCTGGGAGATCAGCGCCTCGTCATAAGGGCAGGCTCTTGATGTCGTGATGACCTCAGGAGCTGGGCCAGGATCCCTCAGCCCTGCTCCACGGAAGGGCCACACCAGCAGGGCTGCTTCGGGGACGGTAGTGAAAAGGGAGGAGAAGCAGAAGGAACATCCCCTCGGAATCACCTCCACTCCCAGGTGTAAGAACAGAAACACGAGCCTGGACAGGTAACTCGGTTTGGGGGCTGAGCTGCTGATCTCCAACCAGATTCGCAGATGCTGCCAAGTTATCAAGAGGTTGGCTTGACGAGGTTGGCCTCAATGGGTTGGCATGTACCTGGGCGTTGTGGTTTATGAATCAAGGCTGATGAGGGCGTGGTACCATCGAGCCAAAGGTTCATTTCAGGCCCCATGGCTGAACAGCTCAGCACTTAGGGCAGAGGTCCCCAACCCCTGGTCCGTGGATCGCTACCGGGCTGAGGCATGCCAGCAACCGATCTGCACAAACAAGCCAAACCCATCTATGAGATGCAGACAACACACAAAACTACGCACTCTCTGCTTCATGGAAAAACCTTTCTCCATGGAACCGGTCCCTGGTGCCCAAAAGTTGGGGACCTTTTTTGTTATGCCGTAAGGCGTCCAGAGTGGCTGTCGCGGTGTGAGATGGGCAGCACATCAATTTAACAAATAACGCATCCATCAAGGGCTGGGCTCACTGGCTGCGTCTCTCTCCCCTTCTTTCTCTACTCCAGATGAGATGCCCATCATCAAATACCCCCGAAGAGTTGACCCCCTTTGGCACGAATGGGACAGGAAGGCGCAAAAGTGCGGGTTGAGGCACACGGTTTACGCTGTCAACGGAGACCGCTATGTAGGGGAATGGCTGGACAACATCAAACACGGTAAGAGGAGAAGGGAGGGCAGCTGCACCTGTTGGATGTTTGGCTGGCATCCACAGTGTCTCACCTGCAGTTTTTTTTCCTTTGGAACCTTGGCAGGCAAAGGAACACAAATATGGAAAAAATCCGGAGCGATCTACAGCGGGGATTGGAAATTCGGAAAACGAGACGGCTTCGGGACTTACAGTATTCCAGACCCTGTGACAAAAGATTATAAGAAAGTATATTCCGGCTGGTGGAAGAATGACAAAATGTGGGTGAGTTTATATGCTTTTTAATTGGGCCAGGGTTTTGCTTTGGAGTGGGGGGGAATGTGACAGGACAGTGGAATTATTTCACCGGACAGCCATATACAATTTAGAGTAATCGTGGGGAGGAAACCACAGTTTATTTGAAAAATGGGATTTCTGAATTAAATTTAACCAAGGCCACAATCATTAATCTCCTCCTGTGTCATTTCACACCCACAAAGAGTCAGTCATCCATTCCTCTCATCCAGATTCTTTCACCCTTTCAGGGCTACGGAGTTAAGTTCTACTCCGAGGGAGAGTATTACGAGGGCGAATGGGCCTGGGGAAAGCGAAACGGCTGGGGGCGGATGTACTACAAAGACGGGGCCATCTATGAAGGCCAGTGGTCCGAAGACAAGCCCGGTGGTCAAGGGATGTTTCGCTGTAGTAAGTGTCCAACTCAGCTGCACTGATGGCCAGATGTAATGGGATGTGAGAAAGACTTTGGGACAGGGAGCAAAGAAAGGCTGCCAAAGGAACTATTAGATAAGAGACTGCTTAGCCCTCAGTTAGCTAATGGATGGGACATGAGATTCAGGAGGGACCCTCCCTAGTTTCTCAGCCTTTAGAGGAAAGGGCTCTAAAGATTTGTGGGAAAGACTTTGGGAGATAAGAAGAGGTGTAATCAGACAGGTCTCCAACCTTGGCAACTTTAAGGCTTGTGGACTTCAGCTCCTAGAATTCCTCAGCCAGCCATGCTGCCTGGGGAATTCTGGGAGTTGAAGTCCACAAGTTTTAAAGTTGCCAAGGTTGGAGACTCCTTCAATAAGAGACTGCTTAAGCCCAGAGCTGCATCATGGCTGGAGAAAGACATTCAGACAGGACCCTCCCGAGTTTCTCAGGCTGTAAAACACAGCAGAAGAATTGTACTTCCAGACTTGCAAGAGTTTATTAAAAAAAACCAGGTTAATCCCATCTACCTCTCAGCTGTTGGCACCTCGCTAGAAACTAGAGTCTAATTTCCAAAGAAAGAATCCTTTGCCAAGTTTCAGGAAATTCTGGACAGGAACCCTTTGGTAAATCTGAAGGGTTTCAACCTTCCTAAAGGTTTTGCAAAGGTATTCCTAAACCGAGTGTCTCAACTGGATTTTTCCTTAGGCTAAAATTAGTCTGCGAGGTTAATTTTATCGGCCTCGGTGGCTGCCAATGTCTTCCAAGCCTCCAGTTGTGGCAGTCATGTGGTTGGCATGTCTCCTTTTAGGATTAGGACTAGGAGACGGCTGCCATAGACCATGCTGTTACATGCTCGCAACCTGACACTGGCCATTAATGTGGGTTTGACTCACTGTTACAGAAAGGCTGGAGAAGGGCAGATTTTTTCTCTCAATAAAAAACATTCTCCTGGACCCAAATTCTGGGTGAATCCATTTTACTTTCCTCCCAGGACAGCTCATTAATCTACTGTTCTTATAAGTCTCTTTGGCGTTGTGCTTTGGATTCTTAAACAACTTTATCTCAGGATAAGACCCTCTGCAAGAAAGCGGAAAGGGAATGGATTATTATTATTTTTTAATTTTGGCATTGACAAGTTCCCCATCAGTCACTTGCAAAAGGCAGCTTGATTCGGAGTAGCTGAAATCCTGCAGCGAGACCTTGAATATTGAATATCAACATCTACCTATCTCAGATCCTTGGGAAGGACTTGAAAGGTAGATAAAAATGCCAAATCCAGTCCGAACTAGGCAATGAACCACAAAAATTATGAGAGTTACATTTATTCTACATTTTAAAAATGGTGGATTCTCAACCAAGGCTACTTTGCCTTCAGTAGTAAGTTTTGGGCATCTGAGAGATACTTCCTGGTGTTTCTGGGTTCCATCCAGAACCCGCATGCTAACTAAAAAGGGATTTTTTGGCAACCAAAAGATCTCTCCTCCTTCAAATAAAAACAGGGCTGCTTCTCTCTCCGTGCCAGAAAATGAAAACCGCTACGAAGGTTCATGGAAAGACGGAAAGAAACACGGTCCGGGAAAGTTTATCTACCTAGACACCGGCCAGCTCTATGAAGGGTACTGGGTGGCAGACATACCGACGTGTGGCACCATGGTTGATTTTGGCAGGGATGAAGCTCCCGTGCCCACCCAATACCCCATCCCCAAGGTAAAGGGCAGTCCATGTGGGTCCGGATTCTTCCCATGAGTTTTGGTCATGAGGTTAAAGCATTGTTTCTCAACTTTGGCAACTTTAAGATAGGTGGACTTCAACTCCCAGAATTCCCCAACCAGCCATGCTTAGAACTTAGTTAATAAATCATTGTCAATAAATTAGTTAGTAAATAGCTTGGCTAATAAATCATTGCATAAAGCTGAAACTCCAATCGAAGAAGCGTGGGATTGACCTGTGGGGTGCTTGGTGCTCTCTGAGCTGGGTGGTTTTCTTGTAGACCTTTCATCACCCAACTAGGCAATCTCATCAGTGCTAGTAGGGAGTGGGGTTGGCTCCCTGTTTATATACAGGTAGCCATTGACTTACAACCATTTTTTTAGCGACTGTTCAAAGGTACTGTGGCGCTGGAAAAAAATGGCACACAATGACTGTTGTAGTGTCCCCAATTCACCTGATCAAAATTTGGGACGCTTAGCAACCGGCCTGTATTTCTGACAGAGGTAGCATCCCTGGATCGCGTGATCGCCTGTTGCAACCTTCCCAGCCACCTTCCAACAAGCGAAGTCAGTTAGGAAGCAGACAGGCTTAATAACCACCTGATTTGTTGAATCACTTAACCACCGTGGCTAAAAAGATTATAAAATTGGGCGTGACTCTCTTAACTACTGGAAATTCTGGTCCCGTGGTCGTAAGTTGAGGATTTCCTGCAGACAGTGGCCTCGCAGTGAGATGGGCTGCGTACATTAATAGAGTAGCTTGTCAGCAGAAACTACTCGTTTTAGCTGATCAACTAAGTTTTTTTTTTTCTTCCAGATCGAACTGGCGGATCCAGACGGAGTCTTAGAAGAAGCTGTTCTGATATTACAGAATGCCGAAATATTCAATTCTCAGCCTCAGAAAGAACGAGGATGATTATAATTCTGCAAACATTTCTCTGGTCAAGGCTGCTTTTTAACAGAAAGGTCTCTCTGATGGATGCCATTCCTTGGAATATATTATCCTGGCTGTCTTTTGAGCTTTTCCTTGTTTTTTTTCCTTTCAACCAATGTGCATGGCAGACTCTCCTGTTTCATTTACTTCGTTAAGTTTTCACCAAATGTGGGAGGAGGGCTGAAAGAATAAATCAACACCGTCTCACCAAATTTTGCCAAGGGAAAATAATAATAATGAAATTATTAGTCTAGAAGACCTCCAAGGTTTCTTCCAGCTCTATTCTGATTAGATGATTAATGAGGGGTCCTTGGTGCTCTTTGACCTTGGTTGTTTTCAACAGACATTTCATTACCCAACTAGGTAATATCATCAGTGCTATTCAAAATGACCTCTGCCAAAAGTACTGTTTCTCAGCCCTGACCACTTTAAGCAGGGTGGACTTCCACTCCCAGAATTCTCCAGCCAGCCTCTCTCCATTCCTTGTTCTCATCCAAGTTCAGAAGATTTTCCTATTTTACCGCCACTATGTGGGTTAAGGGTTTGATTTCTACAATTAGAAAATTTGGAGATTTTTTTAAAAACATTTTTTTGAGGATGCCCATAAAAATAAGATAAGCTGAAGTATTTTATAAAGGCAACAATGACTTCAAAGAACACAAAGGCTGGATTAAGCAAGTGTGCGCACGCGCGCGCGCGCACACACACACACACACACACACACAGAGTACAAATGTGTTTTCCTATCTGAACACACCCCGAAATAGCTCTCCAATTCAAACACACCCGCATTCCTGCAGGAAAATTTTGAAACCTACCATGTTTTGAGTCACTAAAAATAAAAAATGGAGCAAGGAAACAAATCTAAATAAAAAGGTCCATTTTAACTCTCCCTTCGATAAGCACTTACAGAAGTCAACCGTGCATCAATGACAGGATTTATCCTTCCAAAATGAGTACTCGTAAAATATATATTTTCGAGAACAGATTATATTTAAAAAGCCAGAGCCCCATTCTTTTTTAAAAAAAAATTGCAAACCAATCTTAGTACAGTACTTCTCTCTAATTTATTCTTATTGATAAATATATATTCACTCTTGTTTTTTTTATTAAGAACTATTTTTACATGATAGCCGTTTCCAAAGGAAAAAAATCAGTTGTTTTTTCCTTGTCTACCAGTCACTCAGTTAACATAAGGGTTAAAAATATTCTCTTTTGGAGCCCCCTGATTGGTTGAGGAACACCTGAGTTTGAATTTGCAACCTTGTGCTCTCCAGCAAGTATGACCCTGAAATCTTACCCAAAATGTTGGGGGGGGGAGTTAAATGAATAACTGGAAATATGTCTCTGGGGAGTCCTGTACAAAGTGCCAAAAAAATCTAATAAATGCAGTATTTTGTTTTCTTTTAAGGGTAGAGAATAGACCAGATGTGTCCAGCTTGGGTAACTTTTAAGGTTTGTGAACTTCAACTCCCAGAATTTCTGGCTGGTGTATTCTGGGAATTGAAGTTCCCAAGTACACCTGGGGTAGACAAAGCCTTGTGCACCCCATTTTTGCATGCCCCTATTTTTGCATGCAGAGAACCACTCCATTTCCAGAGAAGACACCTACTCTGGGCCGTGAGCAGAGCATCGGAGGTCCTTGCTTCACATTAACGCAGCAAAAAACCTTAAATCGAATTCAGCTGATCGGATGAGATAGAGAAGAGATTCAGTGATTTCCTCCATTGCATTAATAATTCAGTGCAACCATTGGCTCTAAACTACAACCAAACCCTTTGGGATGGGCAGCAGCTTGCTCCGGTCAGTTTCCCAGTCTTTTTGGAACTCCTGGCCCCGAATCCCACCTAGGCAGCAACTCCCCCTCCCCAACCTGTTTTTCTCACTGTTTTCTCAGGAAGGAAGTCTCTAACCCACACCCAACGGCTGCCGGAATGGGGGCAGCTTGTGGCTATCAAAGCTACTGTTTTGGTCCTTACAGTCTGTTGAAGAAGAAAGCTTGTTTTCTTTCATTTCTGATATAACATTCCAGGTCTCTCCTCTCTCGTGGACTTTGCAGTAGGTTAGGGTTAGAGTAAGAGACCTGCTAAACAAGTAAAAGCCCCCCATCTTTATTTTCAAGAGAGGATAAAGCCCAACGTTTTTGCGGGAAACCCAACAGTCAACCACCCCAGTGTCTCTGAATTGGATTAGCAGCCGAGATGTCTAAGCCCAGCATTCAAGAACCCCAGATTAAAAAAATGATAGGGTAAACCAGTGGTTAAACCACTCTGAGATGTTCCAGTAGTCATTTAAACAAAATGCAAACTCTGTCAAGGCAGCACTAGATACAGGAGGAACGTCTGCTTCTAAATGATCAGGAAGCCCACCGAACAAATAGCTCTTCCGTCTCTTTTCTGACCCTTGTCCAGCTTCACTGGGCAAGGGTTTTAGCACAGAAGCTTTCTTTCAAACAGAATTCTGCAAGGTGGGAATATAAATGACTCATGCCGAGCAATAATGCTTTCCTGATACATATGCACACATACATGCACACACAAACCCAGAGTTTTGTGCGCCTTTCCCTGGTAGATTCAGAGTTATTGTGCCTTCTGTTCCTAAAAGAAATTATGGAAGACTGGCAAAAAAATGTCCCCTCTTCTGCAAAAATGGAAACCAGATTCTGACAAAAGCCCTGGGGAAACACACACTGACTTTTCTGAACTCTCTTAAATCTGGGAGTGGTAGGAAAAATGAAGAGTATAAAAAAATCTCCCAGGCCTGATTGCGTGTTCACTCCCCACAAAACTGTAAAAAAATTCAACAGGCAGAATAGATGGGTCTTTAAATCTATCTCTGCCTCAATGAGGACTAGAAACCAGGGCTTTGGGTTTCTTTTTAAAAAGGAAAATCTGCTTCTTTAGAAGCTGGTTACGGGCTGACCTGTGGCTGGGGGCGGCTCTGAGTGTCTCTCTCTTGCCTGTTTTGCTTCAATCAGTGAACAAAACCAAACTTAGACCCTGGATGTTCTCAAGAACTTCTGCCTCCAGGCAGTGCACGACTCCAGCCAGCCTGTTATTTGACACAAAAGAGTCCAAGGTAAACTACTTCCCTTCAGATCTCTAATTACCCCACCCACCCAACGTCAATTTTTTTATTTATTTTTTTTGCATTTTCTCTGTTGATGAACCACTTCAAAGGAAACAAACCCGGATCACAGCAAGGGCCAGGAGAGCGGTGGGCGACAGGCAGGAATCCTAGATGTTCGTATTCCACAATTTGACAAGAACAATTCTTTTGCCTTTTATTGGTTTATTATTACTTCTTAAAAGCCCTAAGAAGTCACCGTCCAGTTTCTACTGTAACTTCTCTCCCTACGCGGAGATTGCAGCTCAAACAAATTCAGGCCCGGAAAGTTCAGAAGAACTTGGTTGGCTCCATCATCTTTGATCTTCCCAACCCAAGGGCACTTTTCTAGGCATAATGGCCGCCGGGAGATGGTAAGGAGTCCCCTCTGTGGTCCAGCTGGTCCTGCAAGCGGGCAAACTCGGCCAGCTCGTTCAGCTCCTGGAACTGACGATCCGTCTTGTGAGTCACCAGCGAACGATAAAAGTGGACGGCAAAGATGATGAAGACCACCCCGAAGGGGACCATGATGGTGGTGGAGGTGATTGCTGCAGCCTCACCGGCGGTGATGGTGCCGTTGCTGGCCTGCATGTCGGGGCCCGTCTTCTTCTTCAGCGGGTGGAATTTGACCCAACAGAGAAGCACCACCTCAGCCAAGAAGAGCAGAGTCCCGATGACGGTGGAGAAGGCCCAAGCCAGCTCAATGTGGCGGTGCATGCGCTCGTGGGGCGACTCCTTGACCGAGTTGAGGTTGTGGACATTGCTGACGGCCTCAATGTTGGGCAAGATGCAAGTGCTGATCATCAAGGCAAAGAGGTGGACGGCCACCAGGACGGTCGTGCAAGCGCTGAAGGCTATCAAGAGTCCTGGAGGATAGTCATGTTCCGCATCTAGCTGGACTTCCACCATGGCCACCTGGAAGGGGGTAGACAATGAAGAAAAGGCTCTCAAATAGCTTTTGAGGCTGAGGGACCTGAATAACGGGTCCCTTTATGGATATCCCCTTTATCCATGGAATTCTACTCCAATTGACATTCAGACATGCTCCAGTCTGAAATCAAGCTTTTTTTCAGAAGCCCCATTTTAATGAAAAACAAGATATGAACCTTGTGGTTGCTTACACAGAGTTGAAAATGTGTGGGCATTTCTTTAGAAGAGTTTCAGATGAGTGGCTGTTTTCCAGTAATTGTACATGGGTATTGCTTTAGTTTCTTACACCAAGGGGAATAAAAGGTAAAAAGAAAGTTACCCAAATGTGTTTACTATACAGGAAACTCCTTAACCGTGATTGAACCCTTGGTGTGGAAAAGAAACAACAATAAAAAAATCCCATCCCTCCAATATGACTCTGGTTAGCATACAGCATTGACAGCAAACCATCAATAAAACTAGCGGTTCATGTCCCATTTCTCTTCTCATGTCACGTCCAAGCTTTGTTTAACCATAGTTAGTCAAACCCACCATAGTTTGCAAAGAGCAATGGCTAGATTTGCACAAAACGTTGTGGCAAATCAAAAAAAAAAAGAGAGAGAGAGCAAAGACTCCAAAACTACATGGAGGAAACATACTGTAAGTTTTCAAATTCCGGATGGACAGACGGGAACTGGTTTTGGAGAAAGAGGAAGGAAACAGATGGCTGTCAAAGGGTAGAGAAGCAGAGGCCTTCTTGGGAACCCAAATGTCAAGCAAAGTTGAAAAACTCATCCTTTGCCAACGAATGGGAAGGGGTGGTTGACAGTTTCACCCCCTAAACTTTGAACATCCACCTTCATCAAAACTAGGTGAGGTTCTCAAAAGGTAGGTGGCATCAAAGGACCACAAAGCATTAAAACTTTCTATCCGTGTCACCTGTTTTGACCGCCCAGGATTTTTTTTTTTTTTTTAATTCTGAAAGGTGAATCCATTCAGGCTTCCAAACAGCGGAGGAAAAAGTCAATTTTGCTTTATGGAGAAAGAGAAACTCCTTGTTTTCTAGCATTACACAGTTGACACCCTGGGAGAAGAAAGGAGGCTAAGAAAAACAAAAAGAGAAAAGATCCATTGAGTTTTGGGCAGGCAGCCAGCACCACTTTGCTCAGCGATGCTGAGAGAATCGGCAGTGACGCATTTATGGAACGGCCAGCTCCTTTCCCCAGAAACGGAGAAAAACCACCTTGCAATCTGGCCTGAAGGGCTACAGAGGAAATTAAAAAAACCTGCCTCAAATCGAATGTTCGCTGTGCCAATTAAAAACAGCCAAACAAAAGAAAACACTTCCGGCTTTTATTCCGCTGCCAATATAAAAACACCGAGTTTTGCAGGGGAACCAAGATAGGATAAATAGATTACAATTCAGAAGAATACAAGTTGCTTTCTTCCTCCAGATGGAAATATATTTTTTTAAAATCCTAGTTTAAATGCTCGGTCACTAGCATTAGCGATATGCTAAAATACAACCTGGCCAATTAGAGGCGAAAAATTCATTGCCAAGATTGCTACCGAATCAGGTAGCTTCAGGTTTTGGAAAAGAACAAAACTCGTAAGCTTTAACTGATTAAAGCTGGACCTCAGCGCTTGTGCAAAGCTTATTTTTCGAGGATTTCTTTGGAGAAATTTCTTTGGTTTTTATTCTGCACAAAGGCAGTCCTTGACTTACGACTACAAGGGAGCCCAAAATTTCTGCTGCTACATGAAACACTTAGGCGAATTTTGCCCCCGTTTTACAACTTTCCTTGCCAAAGTTGTTAAGCGAATCGTGACAGTTGTTAGGTTAGGAACCTGGTCGTTAAATGGATCCATCTTCCCCCTTGCCTTTGCTAATCAGGTTGCAAAAAGGGGATCACGTGACCTCCGCCGGGACAGAGCAGCTGTCATAAATATGAGTCAGTTGCCATGCATCAAATTTTGATCATGTGACCCTGGGGATTCTTCAAAGGTCAGAATCTGTGAAAAACAGTTGTAAGTCACCTTTTCCAGTGCTGCTGTAACTTTGAATGGTCACTAAAGGAACTGTTGTTAAATCGAGGACTTCTTGGATTTCCATTGGAAAGAAACTGCCCAAGCAGGTTGTCATACGCTACATAAATAAATAAATAAATCCCTAAGCAGGTCAGATCTCTGAAAAGGTAAACAAGGAAGTGAAATCTCCGCCTTTTGCTGGTTCTGTCTCTCAACGAAGCTAGGAAGCCCCAAATCAATTTCAATAAAATCTGGTTAGCAATTAGAAGTTGAGGATGAGTTACTTATTTATTTTTTTTGGGGGGGGGGGGGGGAAACAAACTCTTTTGCCCCTAAATGTAAAACTCGAGAGTTTAACTGGAGCCGTTTTAATTTCTTATACAGGTAAACTTTGACTGACAATAGTTCATTTAGTGACCGTTTGAAGCTACAATGGCCCTTAAAAAAAAGTGATTCATCACCATTTTTCACACTTAGCACCATTTCAGCCTCTCCGTGGTCATGTGATCAAAATTTCAAGACACTTGGCAACTGTCTCATATTTATGACGGTTGCAGTGTCACGGGATCCCTTGTGTGACCAGGTTAAGAGAAAATCCTTAAAACCCTATTGTGCTTTGCTGAAACCTCATGTAGTTGACTGGAGAATTCTGGGAGTTGAAGTCCAGCCACCTTTTGCTCGTCAGAAGCCAGCTAATAAGGTCACAAAGGGTGATCTTGTCACCCCAGGATCCTGCGACTATCATAAATGCAAGCCCAGTTGCCAAATGCCCAAATTGCAATCACTTGGGGCAATCACTTGCGAGGACCAGGTCCTCAGTCACTTTATTTCAGCACCATCGTAACTCTGAATGGTCGCTAAACAAATGGACATAAGTCAAGGACTATCTGAAAAGAAATTCATGCTATGTTTCACACTTCATGTTAAGCCTTCATAATGGTTTTTTTTTGGGGGGGCGGCTTACAGCCTAAGGAAATTGACACACTCAAGCAGTGGTGTTTTATTCCAGCTTAGAGCAACGTACAAACTCAGCCTTTGAAGCGGAGCGGATCTTTTAAGCCAAGAAAGCTGTTCAGTTTTTACAACAGAAAGGAGGGTTTTTATTCTTAGGTCCTCCTGAGGTCAAAACTCTGCTAGAACAAACAGTCCTAAATATACAAAAAGGAAGAGAAGTTTTTGAACCATGGCTTCCCCTTTCTGTAAAGGCCTCATTCAGAAATCATATCCTGTTCCATTCGCCTGAAACCTGGCAATCCTACAGGAATCACAACAACTTTAAAAAAGAAAAGAGAAATTAAACTTCCAAGCAAAGTCAGCTGGCTAAGAGCAAAATAAATACTGCTGCACGCCAGAAAGCTTGGAAAAAGACGGCTGCATTTTTAAGACAATCCCTGGCTGCTCATGGATGGATGGATGGATGAGCTTCCCAGAGCAGGCTGGAATTTATCCTGTGTCATGTGAGAACCCTAACCCCAAATCAAATCAGATGTAAGGGGCTGAACTGTTCTGTAACTGAATAGTTTTGGCCAGGCCATTCTACGCCTCAAACCAACATCAGCAGCCCCTGCCTTCTCTCCTCAGACATTTTAACAGCAAGCCTACATCACTCTGAAAATGTCCACTTCAGTCTGAATCTATGCAGGCACCATAGATTGATCCTGTAACTGAGGATTCACACAGGACTCAGAACCTGACAGGTGTTATGCTGGCCTAGAAGCTAGGAGATGGTGAGTTCTAGTCCTGCCTAACTCAGGAAAGCCAGCTGAGTGACTTTGGACCAACCTCTCTTTTTTTCAGGCCAACCCACCTCACAGGATTGTTGTTCGGAGGGGATTTTAACAGGAGGAGGCAGGAGGGCCAGTTGCCACTTATAAATAACAAAATGATAATTTTAACATCCTAAGCAGCCCGGAGTCACCTCGCGGTTGAGATGGGCAGCAAGTCAATAAAGACATAAAAGTGGGATAGGGCCGGCAAGAAAGATTCAGGGGGACGTCTGCAACCCACTCAACCCTAAAAGAGAGGGACTCCGAAGCCCCTGGCCAGAGCCCCGATGCAAATGCCGGAAGACGCGTGCACTCTGCCCGTGCGAAAGAGCAAACACGCGGGGAGGCCAACAGGCACAATCAGAACCAGAGGGACGCCTGCGAGAAGCCGTGAGGAACCGGTGCAAAAAAAGGAGGCAAGCGGGACCCACCTAATTCCCGGTGCGGAGCTAAGTCTGCGCCCGGCCTGGACCCCCCCCTCCCTTCCCTTTGCACGCATTCACAGCCCCCTCCCCAAAGGCTCCTCCGGGGACCCCCAAGCGGAGTGCGCGTGGGGGGCTCTTCCGCCCTGGCCCCGCTGCAACCGCCTCCCCCGCGGGCCCCGCGCCCCGGCTCACCATGGCGAAGCCGGAGAGGAGCGCCGAGGTGCGGCTGGAGGCTTTGAGCTTGGCCCGGCTGAGGTAGAGCTTCCGCCAGGACAGCGCCTGCATCGAGTGCTCGTTGAGGCTCATCAGGCGCCCCCAGCCAGCCCCGCCGGGCCGTCGCCCCCTCCTCGCTCGCCGCTGCTGCTCCGCCTGCCCGCTGCCCGCCGCCCGCCTGCGCCCGCGCCGCCCCCGGGGCCGGGCCAGCGCCGGATGTCAGCCCCCGCCCCTCCGCGGGACTCCCGCCCAGGCCTCCGCCCGGCCCGGCCCGGGACGACCCCCTTGCGGAGCCCTCCCTCCCTCCTCCCGCCGCCAGCTGCGCGGACTCAACTCCCGGGAGGCTCGGCCTTAGCAGGGCTGCCTGCGGAAGTCTGGGAGTTGAAGTCCAGCCATCTGGAAGAGACCGACTCCTCCCCAGCTAATCGGTTGGCTTGGCGCAGATTGAAAGGAGGGGTCCCGGGTGGTTTTCCTGCAGACGTTTCATGGCCCGACTAGGGAACGTCATCAGCGCTCGGAGGGAGTGGGACTAAGGCAGTGTTTCTCAACCCTGACAATTTTAAGGCATGTGGACTTCAATTCCCAGAATTCCACAGCCAGCAATGCTGGCTGTGGAATTCTGGGAGTTGAAGTCCACATGCCTTAAAATGGTCAAGGTTGAGAAACACTGGACTAAGGCAAGGAGAACTGTGGAATTCTTGGAGCTCTCTGAGCTTGTTTCCTTGCTGACGTTTTGGTGTTAGAAGGGAGTGGAGACTGTGGAGAGGAGGAGGGGGACAAAAGAAGTCTGTGGGGTCCTTGGTTTCCTCTGAGCTGGGTGGTTTTCCTGCAGACATTTCATGACCCTAGGAGGAACATGATTGATGCGAGAAGGGAGTGGGGTTTGTGGAGTGGAGAAGGAAGACTGAGGTCCTCCGTGCTCTCTTAGCTTGGGTCTTTTCTTGCAGATGTTTCATGACCCAACTGGACGATAACCATCAATTGTAGAAGGGGCAAAACTCCCACCCCCTCTCCCCACTAGCACTGATAATGCTACCTAGTTGGGTCACGGAACGTCTGCAAGAAGCGACTCCACAGTGCAACCCTGAGCTACACATTTTCTCCTTTATTGGTAGCCTGAAATCTCCCCAGAGTAACCAGAGTGGGCTACAAGGTTTCCTCGTTGTAAACTTTGTGGCGGCCAAGGCAACTTAGGAGTTGGTGCCAAGCTGGAAATCATGGTTTATTATGCAATGGAATCGATCTCCCCCAGCTTGGGGTTTGTCAACCAGTCATGGGTTTCAGTACCAGGTGCTTTTTTAAATAATGATGATAATTTTATTATTTGCCATGCATCTCATTTCAAAGCTATCTGGGCAGTTTGACAATGGCTAAGCTGCCCTACATAGGAGAAATGGATGCACAAATGGTTTAGGAAGGTCATGAGGTCCAGGCAGGGGTCTCCAGAAAAGCTTAAATCGCAACACCCCCCCCCCTTTAACAGCCACCCCATTAGGAAGAGGTTAGTAGCCAGGTCACTCCGAATTTGGATAGTTTATCCCCCTGCCAGTGTTAGGAAACAGACAGCAAAAAGCCCAATTCTTTTATCTGAAGTTTTTATTTGCTGGGAAAATTGAAATGGAAGCAAATATCCCGTTTTTCTCCCGGGGGAGCCACAATCTCAAGTCTTTCCCCCAACCACCCTGCAAAGTAGGCTCAATTCATCTCTGTCGCGTGGCCCCCCTTCCACTCAGGAGATGAAACTTCCACGGGACACTCGATCCACGCCGGAAACCTCTCCACTCCCAATCCAGTTTTGAGCAGCCCCACTAAGGGGGACTGTCTCATCTGGCTCGGCCGAGGATGCCCACCATCTCCGGCCACGGCGGGCAGGAGCAGCCCTTCCTCCCGTGGCGAAGACGGCTTCCTCGCCCACCCAAACCCACCGCCGCGAGGGAGCGAAGTGGCTCCCGAAGGCCGCCCCACCCGCGCCTCTGGGCACCCGGGTAACGGACCGAGAGATGGCCGCGCTCCATCCTCCCCCCCCCCGCATCACCCCCGCAAGATGCAAGTCCCAACTCGGGTGGGCAAAGGCTTTCCCACGTGCGCCTGCCCCCTTCCGCGTCTGCAGTGGCTCCGAGGAGGAGGAGGAGGCGGCGGCGAGGCTCGCCAGCCCAGGAAGAGGCGGCGACGCTTGGCCCCCAGCCTCCGGCTTCCTCTTCCTGCGGCCTGCAGGGTCTCTCTGCCAGCCCGTCCCCCCATTAACCTCCCCCCCAACTCCACGCGCGGCAAGTCAAAGGCGGCCTGCAAGAGCCGCTTCTCCAGCGCTTCGGAGCGCAGCGCCCCCCCCCCGCGCGCGGAAAAAAAGAGCCACTCCCCCAGTCGTGCGTGCATGCAGGCGCGTGCACTCATTCCCCCCCCCCCTTCAAGGCCAGTTGCAGCGCCTGCGCGCTGGCGGAGACTCGTGATCCGACCACAACACCCGATCGCCCCCCTCCCCAATCCTCGCGCGCGCTTTCCCAGCCTGGGCGCCCCCGAGAAGGCAGCGATCCTGGGCGCCCAGATCCGGGATTTCCCTTTTCTCCTCTCCCCTCCCACCAACCCACTCCCTCCCTCCCTCCCTCCAGGCCCGGTCCCCTCCCCACTGTTTATGTTCCGGGGACTCGCGTGACGCCTGCGCGCCCCCTCCTCTCCTTCTCCTTGCACGCCGAAGGCTGCGAAAAGGATTGTTTGCGGGACTTTTTGCATAAGAAAACCTAGAGCCCCCCTCGCCCCGCAGGGGAAAGCAAAAGAACAAACAAACAACCACAAAAGCAGAAAAAAAAACATAAAGCATCGCCCACCCCCTCCTCCTCCTCCCCCCCACCCCTGCTGAGCGATCCTTTGCTTTCGGAGCTGCTCCGGCTTGCCCCCCCTCCCTCGCTCGCCTTCACGCCCCCCCGCCCCCCTCCCGCCTCCCAGCCTCCAAAAGAAAGTGCTGATCGCCCGGGGGGGGGGAGAGCAAAACTTTAGAGAGAGAGAGACCCGGATGGCCTTTTGCAACCCACGCGGGGGGGGCAGAGGCTGCTTTTTTTGTCCGGAGTTGGGTTATTTGGGAAGCCTCTAAATTGGGAGGGAGGGGGAGCTGGGGGAATTTTCCGGGGGTTTCCTCTCCCTCTCTCTCTCTCTCGGTTCCCCCCCCCCCGCCCCAGTTTTGGGGCCCAGCCCGGCAGGAACCCCCTCCGACCTTTGCAGCAGGACCCAAAGGAGGAACTGTTGACTCTTTTAAGAGATGAAAGTGCTCAGATCATGGAGGCAGAAAGAGGCTCGCCCAGGAGACTGGTGTGTACTTTCTCGGCTCGGCTGGCGGGTGGGGGGGAGGCGAGATCGAGGAGAGGAAAGACCCCCCCCCGGGAGGGGTTTGCCGCGGTGGGGGGGAGGGGGCGCGATCGGGACTGCCTGCAGGCCGGCTGGGCATTTAAACGAGCCGCGGGGAGACCCTGGATTTGCAACCGGCGGGGGTGGGGGTGGGAAAGAGAGAGAGAGAAAAAGAGAGAGGAGGGGAGGGGAGGCTCGTGCGTGGACCCCGTCCCCTCCCGCCGCTGCCGATCCTATGGCGGAGGGGCGCGCAAGTCGCGTCCCCACACACGCAGCCGCCTTGTTTTTTTGGGGGGGGGATCTGGGCCTCGCCTCTGCTGCTTTGGGGGGAGGGCGCGAGGAGGCTTAATTCTTCCCTAACTCCCCTGCTCTTCCCCCCCCGCCACCCCTCCTTTTCCCATCCCCAGATCTGGTCCCGGTGGGCAGAAAAGACCCCCCACCCCAAACTTGGGGTTTCCGCGTTGGGCGCCCGGGAAGCTGAGCCCGGCTTGGGAAGCCGCGATGCGCGCGTTGGGGGGGAGGCGGGTGGGAGAGATCCTGGGGGGCTGCGGGCGGGGACCCCCGTGTTACATAACGCCGTGTGCTTTTTAAAAGGCCGGCTTCCGGTATGACTCGGGCAGCCTGCGAGTCTTATGTAAATCGGGCTGGCTTGTTGCTGCTGACTCGCCCGGCGTGTGTTGGGCGAGCCGTTGCTAAGGGAAGCCCGCGATCGGGAGAGTGGTCGTGTGAACGGGGGCAGAAAAGGTGCCTGGGGTGGGAGGGAGGGTCTCTCGTAGGCAGAATGCAGGAGCAAACCCCGCAGCCTGGGGGCAATAGCGGGGATTTGTGGCCCCGAGTCGAGAAGCACCCGAGTCCCCGGGCAAGTTCACACGCGCGCCCCCGAAACACGGGTCCGGGCATGCAGGGCAGAGCGATGCCCGGACGGAGCAAGCGGGGCCGCCTGGCCTCTTGGCCTCACCTAGCGCAGAGAGGGTCCGAGGCCGGCCGTGCGGGGCCGCCCCCTGCCGCCCTCCTTGCCCAGCGCGGCGCCCGCGGGCCCGTGCCCCGTCTCCCCCACCGACGCGCCCCTCGCCTTGTCTGCCCCCGTGCAGCGCTGCATCGGCCGGCGCCTCTACGACGAGAACGAGGACCTGTCCGACGTGGAGGAGATCGTCAGCGTGCGCGGCTTCGACCTGGAGGAGAAGCTGAGGAGCCGCAGCTACCGCGGGGACTTCGTGAGGCCCATGGACGGCCAAGGTGAGCGCAGCGGCCCGACGGCTTCGCCGCCTCTGCCCACGTGCCGCCCGGCCCGGCTTCGTATTTCCCGCCAGCCGCGCCCGGGCCGGGGGAGCCGGTGACGCCGCCCAGGCGGGCCAGGGAAAGCGGCGGATGCGCGCTCCAAGGCGGCGGAGCGGCTCCCGGCCGGCCTGTCCCTGCCGCCGCCCCCTGCCCGCTTGGGCCCTTCGGAGGGGTCGCCTCAGGCACGGCTGGATTCCCACCTTCCCCTTGAGCCTGACTTTCCCAGCTGCCCCCAGCCCCAAACGTCTGAAGTGAGGCGGCTGAGGGGAGAAAGTGAGGGTCCCTTTTCCGGTGGGCAAAGAGAAAATGGAGGTCATTGAGACCCCTCCGAGGACCCACCTGAGAGAGGGCTGAGGTCTCCATGGCCCTGAATATTTTCCCTCAGACTTGAGGATTAGCCCTGACCTTGGGAGAGTGATGGGCTTTGTAGTCTGGGATCTGGTTGCTTTTAATGCTCAGGACCAGTTTCTGAGGCTCCAGATGTGCTGACTTGGGCTTGGCCGGGGATGGTGGGCTTGATCCTTGGGCCTGGCCGGGGATGGTGGGAGTTGTGGTGCCAAATAACTGGAGAAGCTAGAACTGGATGGATAATTTGTTCTCTGGCGTCTCTTAGCTTATTATAGGAACCGGTTTTCAGTGGACATTTTAAGTACATTTTCCCAGAAAGTAGTCCTCCATCTGTTTATTGGGTCTAACTCCCTGCTAAATGTTCCTAGGATTTGGGGGGGGTTTTCAACTCTTTAAAATGTTTAGCCTGGGTTTTCAATGATTGAGAGTTCATTAACTTTTCACTTTTGAACGATTGCCAATTAAACTGTAATTATCCATAGAGAGATGGTCAAGAGCAGTGTTTCTCAACCTTGACAATTTTAAGGCATGTGGACTTCAACTCCCAGAATTCCACAGCCAGCAATGCTGGCTGTGGGATTCTGGGAGTTGAAGTCCACATGCCTTAAAATTGTCAAGGTTGAGAAACACTGGTCAAGAGCTTAGTGGCATCTTGAAATCAAGACTTTGCTGGTTAAGCTGGAGTCTGTCACTTTTGCTGGCATCCTAAGCTGCCTCGCAGGGTTGTTGTGAAGAGGAAAAACTAGAGGCAGAGAGTTATTAGGACAAGGACAAAGCTAGCCCATGCTTGACCTCTTTTGGGAAGGAGAGGAAACAACGTGATACGTTAATGATTCTCAACATGGAGCCTGAAAGAAATGTAAAGTTACAGAACCAGCACCAAAAAAAAACCCCTTGTCTAAAGCATACCTGCATGTACCATTTGGTTAACTCTGCTGAACGACAGACGTAGGGCGAGGATGGAGGTTAGAAGAATTTCGCTTTGAAAAACTAAACTCGGCGTCTGAGTTCAGACTTGCTAAGTTAAAAGCAAAGTGAATTATGACTACCACTAAACAGCTACTCTTAAGAAATGTGGATTTCTTCCACAGGTGGTTTTTGACTTACAACCATTTGTTTAGCTACCATTTAGAGCTGCAGGGCACTGATAAAAGTCACTTAACGACCAGTTCTCACACTTATAACCGTTGCACCATCCCTGCAGTCATGTGATCAACGTTCGGGTTGTTTGGCAACTGTCTATTTACAATGGACGCAGCATCCCGAGGTCACGTGATCACAATTATGACCTTCCCAGCAGGCTTCCTACATGGAGGGATTTGCTTAAGGATTGCATGATTCGTTTAACGACTACAGCGCTTCACTTAGCAGCCAAGGAAAAAAGCTCATAAAACCTGGTGCAACTCCCTTAAGAACCGCCTTGCTTAGCAACCAAAATTCTAATCCCAATTTTGGTCATAAGTCGAGGCAACTTGTATTTGCCAAGCTTTTTTTTAATGGCTGAAATCTTACCACTGACCTGTCTCTGACCTTCTCTGCCTTTTCCCCCCCAGATTTCAATTTTGAATACGTGCAGCGGGAAGCGCTGAAAGTCCCTCTCATCTTCCGAAGTAAGGCTGGACTGGGAATTAAGTAAGACCACCCTATTCTTAATATATATCATCCTTTTGTCTTTATCTAGTCTTATAGCCAAGCTGGGATAAATGATAGGAACTGTGTGCTTGGTGGGTTTTCAGCTATGGCAAAGCCCCTTCTCTTGAGGAAAGATGCTACAGAAGAAAACACTCATTTATTGTTATTTGATAAACAAATTTATAGCGGAAACTAATCAAGGAGAGAAGCAACCTAGAACTAAGGAGAAATTTCCTGATAGTTAGAACAATTAACCAATGGAACAACCTGCCTCCAGAAGTTGTGAATTCTCCAACACTGGAAGCTTTTAAGAAGAGACTGGACAGCCATTTGTCTGAAATGATATAGAGTTTCCTGCCTGAGCAGGGGGTTGGACTAGATGGCCTCCAAGGTTCTATTCCATTCCATTTTTCTTATTCTATTCTATATTTCGTATTCTATTCTATTCTATTCAGCTGCCAAAGTCATACATATGTAACTTTTATTCTTCCTATGAAGAGAAGAAGCTACCCTGAGGTTCGCAATCTGGCTAGGAATTGGGGACCTTGGAAAACTGCTAATTCAACGAGCAGAACTGATGCTAAGTGCCTAGACGGGTTATGCAAAAAACCCTATCTTTCTAAAGATGATCCTTGGGATAAATCAAGGTCTCCGGTCTTCTGTTTTGTATCTTCAAATTGTCATATAGCAATGCTGAGATTGGCTTACAGGTCAAAGCTGTGATAAGGAGAATTGTCCTAACAGGGAAGTTTAAAACCATCAGTATCAAAAAGAACCATCCAATCACCAACTTCCTTTAAAAAAAAAAAATTGCACTGAGGGGGTCAGAGAAGTAGAAGGAAGTTTGGATGCTCAGGATGGTGGAGAACCTTGTGACTTCATTGCTCTAGCATAAAAGAGGTTTTTTTTTTAAAGAGGGAAAGAAAAAAAGGAGAGGAACATAGATAAGAGGATGGCTGCCAGCTGCAGAGGCAGAAGAGAAAACTTCAAATTCGGAGAAGAAATTCCCAAGAACTACAGTTGGCAAATGAGTGGGGAAAAAGGGAGGATTTTAAATTCTGTCCTTGTAACTGCTGCTTAGCCAGGGTTAGTGTGTTGTTGTTCTGATTTCGACTCTCTGTTTTGCATTTAATTTAATCCCTACGCCTTTCATCATTTCAGAATGCCTGATCCAGACTTCACTGCCCAAGATGCTAAAATGCTTGTGGGTAAGTTTATATGCATCTTTCCGTAATGCAAAAATGATGTGTTGATGTTCTGATTTGAGTTTTGGGGTTTTTTTTAAATAAAAGAACGAACAGGGTATTATGTGTAAATTAGGCAAGTGTGAAGCTAAACTGAGAACACATAACCGAGGTTGCAGGCTGCAGTTGCACCCAAATCTATATTTTGCAGAATAGAGCCATGTCTGAGAATTGAAAATTTGTGGTATAATTTCGGTATCTTCCTTCTTGTTTAGGGGAAAATACTGAGGATGATTAAAAGTTAATTTGAATATGAAAGTAAAGCTAGTATAATAATTATCAAGCTGGTCCTGGATATCTTGTAGGATGTACCAGATACCAGAAATATCAGCCAGCTTGAATGACTCTGATTCTCACTATACAGTATTTGGAATTTTCTTGTGTTTATTTTGAAAGTCTTTGCTAGGAATAAAATCTTTGCTGTATTTTCCCAACTCTTCCAGGGAGCCGACGGACCGTGGATGTAGTGGATGTGAACACCCAAAAAGGCATTGAAATGAGCATGGCTCAATTTGTGCGGTACTATGAAACCCCTGAGGTGGAGCGCGAGAAGCTGTACAACATGATCAGCCTGGAATTCAGCCACACTAAACTGGCCAATATTGTCAAGCGTCCCAATGTGGTAAGTGGAGATTCTGACTGAGCCTGGGGTCAATGGTTGCATCCCAGTTGAGCTTGGGGGTGAACTTAGCCAAGAGAACAGATCTTTCTCTATTATTTCCTACCTTAACTCTGATCTGGGTCTTTTCCAGGTGGATTTAGTAGACTGGGTGGACAACATGTGGCCGCGGCATTTAAAGGAAAGGCAGACCGAGTCCACAAATGCCATTTTGGAGATGAAATATCCCAAAGTGAAAAAGTAAGTGGATTTTTCTTCTAAATTTCCTTGCTAAATTATGATTAAAGCTAGGTGTGTTAAGAGTGTTGAGCCTAAATTCAGAGGAGCTTTGTGCATCTCCGTTGAAAGATTTGTATGGCCATGACAATTAATGGCTGGTTTTTTTTGGGGGGGAAACTATGATTTGGTGACAAGTGAAGGTGCTGTGATAGAGAAGGACATGGCTGCTTCTATGTCAGAGAAACGCCGACAAATAGAAAGGAACCTTGGCTGTGATTGGGCTGAATTGCTGTGATGTCAGCAGGGCAAGCCAAAGACTCGTGTTTATGGTTCAGCCTTCCTTGTTTTGTGTTTTTGTTGTTATAAGGAGGTTGGGCTGGATTCACAATGGCAACCGCAAAGGATGTCCCCCTATTTTGTGGTGGATTTAGGATTTCCTTCTTACAAGACAATTTTTCCTTCTTACAAACTGTTTTACCTCTGGCTTTGTGGTTTTTTGAATTGCTACGGCTGTGGGGATAAAGACATTTCTTTTTTGCTTGCTTGCTTATGCTTTGCCAAGTAGGTCACCCAGATCCTTTCTTAAACCTTGCAACAAAAATGCTTGCGTGTCAGAATTAGCTGTGAATTAGAGGCTCGTATATAACAGTGTTCAAAGAACTGTGCTGTACGTAGATGCTTATGCGTGGTGCTGTTTTTCGGATAGAGAGAGTAAAATGAGTAAAAGGATAGGGAGAAGTTATAGGTAGTCCTTTACTTACAACCATTTGTTTAGTGACTGTTTAAAGTTTCAGTGACATTGAAAAAAGTGATTTGTGAGCTTTTTTCACACTTACGAACATTGCGGCATCCCTGTGGTCATGTGATCAAAATTCGGATGCTTGGAAACTCGCATGGACTTACGATGGTTGCAATGTTCCATGGTCCTGTGATCCCCTTTTGTGACTTTCTGACAAGCAAAATCAATGGGGAAGCCAGATTCCCTTAACAACTGTATTTACCAACTTACCAGCTGCAGTGATTCATTTAACAACTATGGCAAGGAAGGTCGTAAAACAAGACAAATTCATTTAACAACTGTCTCGCTTAGCAACAGGAATTTTGGGTTCAGTTGTCGTAAGTGGAGGACCACCTATATTCAGATATTCCTCAAGCAAAGCAACTTTCCAAACAGAAGCTACAGTACAGTGTTTAAGGTTTTTCCGTGTTCTTTTTCGCTTGCAATTTTCATTTCAACAACTCTTGTGTCTCCCAGCCCCAAAATAGCTTCTGTGTTTGCAATATCTGAGGGAGTTTGTTATCTGTGCATATGAAAAAAGCTGGCTAGCACAGATGACTTTACCTAGTTTGGGTAATGCATAGAAACAACCCAAGTTCAGAGAGCACCAAAGTATCCCTGTCTCTTATATGCTTCTACCTCAGGTGAGAGGAGACAAATTAAAAAGGGGGGGGGGGAAGAGGATGGTTTAATTTGAAGCACACACACACACACACAGATTTAGATATTTAGCTGCACTTTGTTATGCTAACAAAGATCCCTGTGAGCATGGGTGCTTTTAGTGAAAAATGATCCCTGGAAAGTTTCGTGTTTTTTAAGTTTTGGCCAACTCCAGGCCTGTGTCCTGGTTCATAAGCGGCCTTGATGGCACCCAACTGGGGATGTGCTCAATGTTTGGCCCTTCATTCAAGGCTGGAAGAGGTTCGGCTGTTTTTTCCAATGGGCGATGGATGCCTAGGAAGCAGGAGGAGGATCTCCTGCTCAGAGCAAAATTGAGTGGGAGCAAGAGAGGAGAGAGATGGGCGGGAGAGTGAAGCAGCCGTCACTGTGATTTCTTTCTTCTGCCTCCTCTGATAATAAACAAATTTCCCACTAAATTCCCTCTGTGCGTTTTTGAGCAAAGAGAGGGGCTCACTGCCTCCACGGAAAACTCCCTACAATCCACCTGATCCGTGTGTTCGTGTACGCTGTTTTTTTCTCTGGTCATCTTTCTATCCTGGCCCACCATTTTACGCTATGGATTCTGTAGGGTTCTTTCCTAGCTTTGTTGGTTTTTCTCTGTTCAGCTTGGCCCTCCTGCTGTCCCCCCCCCCACACTTCAAAAAACAAAGCCAGGAGATAAGATTGGGAAGAGATTATTTTTCCCTGGGGGTAGCAGGTGGGAGGGGGTATGGAGGAGAATTCCTGTGCTACCTTTTTTGTGGTTTTGGGGCCTTAATTGCTTGGAATGCTTGCTGGAGGATGGGTGTCCTTTTGTATGGGGAACTCTTTGAGTCCTTGACTCACAGTAATGATAAGAGGGTGAAAGCTGAAGGAAACATCTGCAAAAGATTAGATGTTTGACCCTCAAAGCAATCTCAATTGCCTTTTTTTGGGTGGAGGGGAGTTTTGAATGAACAGGTGTGTCTCTTAGCTCCTGGTGATTTATGGACACAACTTTGTAGCTGGTAGAATAGAGTGGACATATTTGGTCTGCATTCGCACAGCAACGTCTCTGCAAGGGTGTGTGTGCGTTGGTGACAACTTGTGCAGTCGAATCTATTGGATACAGCCGATGGAGGTTGTTGGCTGTGTGTGCGTTGGTGACAACTTGTGCTAGTTGAATCTATTGGAGACAGCTGATGGAGGTTGTCGCTGACTATCAGGGGTCTCTTCTAAAAACAGCTTAACATCTGGGATGCTGCCCTGCACCATTTGGAAAAAGCCGCTGTAAAGAGAAAGGAGTTTTTCTATTTTGAAAACCTAAAATTCTGCGGTTTTGAATGGAGAAAAAAGGAGCAAGGAATCCTGTCGTTAGCCTCTTCATTGCCTCTCTGTTATTTTGTCTCCTTGTTTTAGCATAACATTCTGCAACCTGACCCAGACTCAGGTCTGTCTTTTGCATTGTTGCCACCGGCTGCTTGTTTACTCCATTGTGCAAATGTTTGCTGTACAGTAACATCCGAATGAAAACATTTTGGGGGATTTAAAAAATAGAAGGACAGTTTTTAGCAGAGGCTCCAGCTGGGAATTTCCTCCCCCCCCCTCATAAGAGACTAACCGCCCCCCCCCAAAACGTGACAGGTCCTGCCTTTCGTTGCCTTCTAATTTGGTAGCAATTAAAGAACCGAAAATGCAGGTCCAGTGCTGCCTCCGCCAGGCTGCAGCTTTGAAAATGCCACCATCACGCCTGCTTCTCGGCTCCTCATTCATTTCTTTATGGTTTCTTCCACCCTCCCAGCTCTCTATTATTTTCGGCATCTTTCAAATTTCTCTCCACCCATCGCTGGGGGGGACGCTGAAATAGTCCCCCCCCTTGTTTTAACAAATGAAATGGAGGTCGCTTGGCAAGCTCAGAACCCCCCTGAGCGAAACCCAAATTTCTGTTTATTCCAAGGATTGTGTCTACAAGGGGGGGAGGGTCAGGAAGCTGGAGCTGAAATCTCTTTAAGTTTTGTCCATCGTCCTCTTTTTCTCCCCTTTTCCGGTATTTTTTAACCAAAGGCATATAGGAAGAGGGGCCTCTGGGTGGGAGAGTGGGGTGGGGGCTGGAAAAGAAAGGGAAAGGGGGCCTCTTCCTTCCAAGATGGAGGCTTGAGCGCGTTTCAGGAGCAAGTCCCTTAGAAAAGTTAGGCATTCTGGGCTGTGCTGAACAAACCAGCCCACCCACTCGCTGTCTTTTGAAGAAGTGGGGTTATCCGTGCAGGAGAAGCCGGGCCGCCCCACGTGACTCCAGCCTTACACGGAGAGGAAGCTGTGGAGGTCAACACAAAGGCATCTCTCCAGAGTCTGCTTTGCGGAGAAAAGCTTTGCCCCCTCCCCAATTTCCAAAGCCTCCTTGCCAACCCTGGGGCTTTGGGAAGAGAGAACAGAATATCCTTGGTTAGACCCCAGGATGAAACCCTTTAGACCCAGAGGATCTCCCAAGACTCTTTCTAAAAAATATGAACTCATCCTGACTAAGGTTTCTTAGAGGCAGAGGTTGAGTTTTGGGGTTTACGTGTGGGAAAGAAATGGAGCCCTTAAAGAAGTCTCCGACTGTGTGGGGGGGGGTTCCTGGGGTAGGAAAACTTGCTGGGAGGGAGGGAGCAGAGAAGAGGGCTTGTTTCAGAAGGAAGATTGATTTGGAGAGGGACAAATAATTCCATCCATTCTGTAACGATGGAAATGAGGTTTAATGCCTGGAAGAGGGGCTTGCAAGGCTCAAGCCTTTTTGCTCAAGGCTTGAGCAAAAAGGAACCAGAAATCCGAATATTTGGAAACCTGATTTTTGCAGTGTGCAGAATGCTTCATATCTGAATAATAATGCTTCCTATTTGAGATGGGAATGGGGGTGGGTGGGTGTCTGCTTTCTGTACAATGCGGCTTAGCCTCCGTGCTGCAGGAGAAAAACCTTTTTGTGCATCAATTCATCCAGTTGAAACGACATTCAGCTCAGGCTAAGAACTCCAGTTCCAGTTGTAAGACTACAATATATGCAGATTGTTCATTTGTTTCCAGACTTGTCCTCAGGATAAGCTGAACTGTATTCTCACCTCCCCCCACACCTTCCAGTCTGCACACGATCAAAGGGGTTGTGCTACTAGCATTTTATTTTAAAGGAAAATATTTCATATAATCCCAAACCACCGAGGATCTTTCAGACGTCTGCCAACCTAGTGGCCGGTCACATTCAAAGTTGCTTTCTGCTTCCAAGTTTCTCGCAAGGGGGGGGGGGCTGAATCTCCCCAAACCAGCCCCTGAATGGGTGTCACTTTCGGCTGGACCTAGAGGAAGGGGGAGAAAGGGGGGAAAGAGGAGAGGACTTAGGAGCCTCGGAGGAGGGAAGAAGGACTCGTATTTTGAAAAGGGGCTCCTGCAGGACGTCTAGACTCCTCTGTTGGGGAGGTTGAAGCTTTCCTATGTGCTCCTTGGATATTTTGCCAGCTTTGAATCCGCTTCCCCAACAGGGAAGGTTTAATGGCGCGGCCAGGAAAATCCCGTGCCCAAAAGCCAGACAAGGTAGGCTGTTTTGCAAGGCAGGGCTTGAGTTGCAAAACAAAACGTTTGAGTTGGCTTCCCTTTCTCCTTCCCATTCTCCTTCCCAACTCCCTCCCTCCCTCCCTCCCCACACATTTGCCATTTTCCCCATAACAGCAGCATTGCGTATCCCTGTCAACTCAGAAGAGGTTGCTAGGCAGCTCGCCTTTTTCCCTAACCCGAGACTTTCGGCTCGCCAAGGGAAGACTCGCGAAGGGCACCGTTCTCTGCCCAGCCTGTCGCTGGGAGGATGCGGGCGTCCACCTGGATGGTGTCAGAGGGGAGGGGAAACCGCGGCTGATTGGCGGGAGAAGGGAACCGGGCCAGCGGGAACGCCTGGGGAGTGCAATCAGGGCACTCACGGTCTGGTAGGGGAGGCGAAGGACACACAGGGACACACACACACTGGCACGCTCGGATTGAGGTAGCCAGCAGCCGGAACCAGGAAAAGAGGTTAGTGTGTTGAGCTGTGCACATTTCCTGCGTCTCTTAAGGTGCCCGTGGTGGGCAGGAGGATGGATCGGCAGCGCTGGGTAGGAATGAGAACATCCAGCCAAAAAGGGATGGTGCAAAACTGATTTTAAAGTCTTCCCTATAAGAGTTCTCATAGGAAAAGGAGTGAATGGAGCACTTGAGCCTCCCGCTTTGCTGGAAGCTTGCGAGCGAGGAGTTTGGAAAAACATCGACCCATTAACAGTGTGAGATTCAAGCAGAACTGTTTGTAAACTTTGCCCGTGCAAGGATTGGGAAGAAAAAGCATCTTGTTTTGGGGCTCCAAGGTCCAGGGTTCAAAGTGAGCGCTGAGAACAGAGAAGCAGGCACAGCCCACATAGATGGCCAATTTAATTCGGGCAGCCTCGCTGTGGTGTGCTCCCTTCAAGGAGGAGGGGGAGGTTGCTTGCCTGGTTTGTGTTTTTTTTTTTCCCCTGCAGCAGAAATCCCTCGGCTGCTTCTAAAATCCCACCCAGAGGACGAACAGAGAAGCCTTAATTGGACCTGTTCGCCGATGATCTGCACATTAGAATCCTTCTCGGCGATTTTAAAGAGAGAATCTCTTTCGCAGGTACTGCTTGATGAGCGTGAAAGGATGCTTCACCGATTTCCACATTGATTTCGGAGGCACTTCGGTGTGGTATCACGTTTTCCGGGGAGGAAAGGTAAGCGATGTCTCCGCGGAAGGCAATCCTTTATAAAATCCTTGTCAAGAGCGGAGGCTCAATTTTTTTTCTTTTCAAAATAGGCTTTGGGGAAAGGGGAAATCACCCAGCTAGGAAAGAAAGGCACTCTTGCTGTGCCGTGAATTTAAGATAGAATATTGGACATGCTCATTTGCTTCTTTTTAAATGAGAGGTACCTTCGGGGTTTTCTCTCTGTTTCTAGATCTTTTGGCTGATTCCTCCAACATTGCAGAACCTAGAACTTTACGAGGAATGGGTTGTCTCTGGGAAGCAAAGTGATATTTTTCTGGGGGACCGCGTGGAGCTGTGCCAAAGAATCGAACTGAAACAAGGCTACACTTTCTTCATTCCTTCAGGTAATTCCCTCTTGGAAGAGGATCTGGTTTTTCAAGATCCACCCTTACTGTTGACACATTGGTGGGCAGCCATCGTTAGGTCCAGAGTGAGGAGAGAGATGGACTGGATAACGTACCTTGACACACTCACTGGGAGAAAAGGATTGCATAAAAGTTATGCCTCCCCCCCCTCCCCCCGTTGGTTCTGGACTTGCAGTGTCCTTTTTTTTTGCTAACTATAGGGATGATCCAGCCCAAGGATGTCCAACCATGGCAACTTTAAGACTTGTGGACTTCAACTCCCAGAATTCTCTGGCATGGCTGGCTGGAGAAGTCTGGGAGTTGAAGTGCTCAAGTCTTAATGTTGCCAAGGTTGGACATCCCTGATCCTAGCATTTTCTAGCTCTTTTGCTTATTTCATGTCTTATAGCCTATTCCCAATGCTCTGATCCAGGGTTTGTGCTGCCTCAGCAGCTGAAGCTGAATAGAAAGGCTTTTGAGGCAGATCCTGAAGAAAAACACAGTTTTGTAGGCCGGAGGAGAGCAGGACTTTATCCCCAACATGACTGACTTTTGTGATGTGAGTCCTTTCCTCTCTTCTCTATCTTTTTAGGGTGGATACATGCGGTTTACACCCCAGTTGATTCCTTGGTGTTTGGTGGAAATATCTTGCATAGCTTTAACGTTCCCATGCAGCTTCGCATTCATGAAATTGAGGACAGAACAAGGGTAAGGACTCCTTAGATTTTTGACTTGAGACATTGAATCCTTGTTCTGCAGAAGGTACCATGGCACCTGAATAGGGCACCTTGGTGGCTCTAAGGAAACTTTGTTGGTCTGTGAACTTTTCGGTTTAGGGGTTCAGATATTTGGAGCATTATGCTGAAATCTCAAAACCTAGAAGAGCAAAGGGTGAGGTTCAAAGCAGAGCAAACTGGTGGAGAATTGGTCTTCCCTGCCTAACTGGTCACCAGTTTGGATAAACTTTAATGGTTGGGTTCACCCATGGAATTTAGCAATGGCTTGTTGAGTGATCACAACTGACCACATTCTCGTTCATTCTGAGCCATACATTCTAGTAGAATCAACCAGAATGAGTGGCTTAATGCATCATGCTAAGCCATAAATTATGATTTACAAACCACGATGGCCGAGAACGTACTCTCCACCACATTGTCAGGGTGGAGAGGTTTGTTGCTTTAATGGTTTCTGCAATCTCAATTTGTTCCATCTTATTAGCCAACTAGGTTTAACACAATTATAGCTTATCACACATGGGCATCTAATTATCTTTTAAGTGCAACCTTTCAAGGCCTGATTTCTCTTGTGGGGAAAAATTGGAATTCTGACAAGTTCCTGGATTTCCAGGGAAATTCTAGTCTTTGTAGGGGGTGGGCTTTTGATAACTTAACAAGCACTTTTCTCGTTCCCCAGGAAAGTGGCCAGTTTGGGCATCACTCTGTAGAGCTAAAGAATGCTCTTGAAGAAGCTTTAGTGGTTTGCTTTGAGATGATGTAGAATTGAGATTTGATTTGGGGATGTGTCTCCGTCCTCTGGAATTCTGGTGGGTCTCTACTTCCAGGGTTACAGACCAGTTGCTCGTTTTTCCCAGCGCAGTCATCAAAGTTACGAGTCTGTTTGCTTTCAGCCTCTTCTTGTATATCCACGACAAACTTGCTGTGGTTAAGTCAACCAGGTTTACTCAAGTAAGGTGTTTGAATTCTCACTGCATGCTGAGTTCTTCAGTGATGGTTTGAGTTGGGTTTCCATAACAGACATTCGCTATAGTAGACTACGAGTCATGGTATTACAGAAAGAAGGATTTCAACCTGTGGGTGATTTAGACATGAGGATTTGCCACTCGGGAGCATCCTTCGTACAGGAGACAAAAAAAGTCAAGGGAGTGGCCACAACAGCTGGGTGCGAAGAGTGAGGAAACATTGCTCCGCCCCCTTCTTTCTGATTGGTTCCCCAGTGGTGGAAAAGGGTTTAGAATGTTGGGTTTTGTCATGGAAACTGATTGGCTCTCTAAAAGCTAGTAAATCACCACTCTGATCAACTATTTCTAGGGAATTCTGGGATTTTCCCCCCCCCCCCATGCATCATCACTATCCCTGCTGTTGGGCACATCTGTATCTTGCTGTTCCAGATGTGTTGGGCCTTTCCAACCCATTGTCAAGATTGATGCCCATGCCATTGTCCCCTGTCTTCAAAGGGCGCTTTTGGGACCGAATCTCTTTTAGAAGAAGATTGGAACAAATGCCTTGATTTTCTGATAGGTCCATCCCAGCTTGAGAGGATCAGGCTTCTCCACCTGGACATGTACACACATGCCAATCCCGAGATTGTGTAGGCTTCAGCTGTAATGCAGAGGACAGTTAAGAAGATGAGTTAGGACAGTTGGAATATCCACAGCCCATGTTGATTTTCAAAAGGCAAGTTGGGGACCACTGTAAAAATCTTGAGATATTGAGAGGCTGGATTCTTCTCCAAAGTGTGTGAGAAAGTGAGTCCCTATCTGAAACAATATCTAAGGCTCATCTTTATTGGTAGCCTTCAATCATGATTGTAGTCAGGTTTACTTAGAACAAAAGAGACCAACAAGCAAAAGAGAGGTGTAAAAATACATGCAAGATGGATCAGGGTGTACTGATGACCCTGGATGTGATTTCTCTCTTCTGGTTCTTCTTCTCAAACATTGTCTGCTAAAGGGCCTATCAGATGACTACACAAGGAAGACAACCTTAAGATCCTTTGTAGCCTACTTCTGCTCTCCTTGTCTTTCAAGGTGAATAGTTGTTACCTGTATTCCCTGACTGTCTAAATTCCTTTCCTAACAACTTGTCTTCTCCACCTGGACATGTACACACGCGTGCCAACCCCAAGCCAAAGTTGGATTCTTGCAAGAATCCCAGATTTTGTCTTCCTTTCAACGTAGAGTGAGGGCCAAATATGTCATGATTTGACCCACAACAAATATATAACTCGGCGCAAGACTGCCTGGGCATGTTGCAGGTGGTGGCTAGTTGCTGAGGGACATACTCTTAAACATCTCTAACCTTCTCATGAGAACAGCCACCTTCCTGGATCAGAGGAGAAGACTACTCTGAACAGAAAGTTGCTTCCAACTATCATAATTCAAAAACTGGTAAGAGAAAGTGTTAATTGAATTTATACCTGTCCAGCTCCCTGCAACATCTTGGCTTGCAAGGGAGAAGTCCTTGTTTTTTGGGGGGGTGCAAATGTTTTTTTGCAGATGTGCAAAAGGAAATGTAGAGACAGACAGCCATGGGACAGAGTCCAGAGAGGCGAAGTTATTAGGAACTCAAATTGATGCTTAGAGATTGACACACACCCCCAGCATGGGAGCACTGCATGCTTTTCACTGTCTTCAGTATTTTTTTTTTTTTTTCTTTTAAAAAAGCATTGGTTTCCCCCATTCGCCCCCCCCTCCCAAAAAAAGAGGCAGAACTAAATTTGGTGAATTGCAAAAAAAAAAAAAAAAAAAAGAAGAACCTGTCAGGAAAGCATTGAGCAAATGATGTCTTTAATATATTCCCCAGGCGTGTGGCTGAAAACCTTTTGAAGGCCGAGGGGTGGAAAGAGGCATCTTCCTATTTGTAAGTCAAATTCTTTTGCAAATTTTGTTTCCCGCAGTGCTCTCTTTGTTGTAAAATTAAATGGGGGGAGAAAAATGCAGGATTTGAGTTCCTTATATGAACGTCGCTCTTTTGACATTGGTGAGGTCCTTCCCAAATTTTGGAAGTCCCCTCTAAATAGGCAGGAATGACAGAATTCTTGGGAAGTCTGAGACTTGCAACTCTTGCTGCAGGTTAGGGAGGGGTCTCCAATACCCCAAATTTGAATGGCAATTATGCATATTTAGGAATGGCCGTTTGGAGAATGTAGAATGTTTCTCTGTCTTCCCAGCAAAGCATCCAAGGCTGAGTCTCTCGGATCTCCAGAGAAACAAATTATGGACCACCAGGTGATATAGACTTCCTGCTCCAGAATCTGAACCATCACCAACACAATAAATTATACCAATCCAGAAATAAGAGTGGGTCTAAAGATGGGGAAGAAACAGACATTTGCCAGGGCTCCGAGTCAGGGCTGAGGTCCTACCAGTCCTGTCATTTTGACTTGGCACATGTGGGCACTTTTGCAGGTTTCTAGGAGACCAGGATTGCAAGAGAATTTTGAGCAGACATCTTTTCCAATTTGCAAACTTGGCAGGACTGAAAAGGGATTGTCCTTTAGCCATGAACAAGCAGATATTGAATTTATTCCATGGTTGCCCAGATCTAAAGTTAAGATCTAACCTCTAAGATAATCAAAAGCACAAGCAGAGGTGTCTACTGAGGTGCATGATTGTGTATGTGTCAAAAAAAATATAGATCTTGACTTTTTAGACCCTGAGTATGGATGCTCCTGAGGGCAAGGGTTAGTCCTCAGCTGGCCTCTTGGTCACTCAGTTCTGATCAGAAGTTCTTTTAGATGTCCGAGGAATGAGAACATGAGGCAGAACAAATCATGTCGTTGGTTGGTTGGCTTGTGTTTGTGTTGTGTGAGCCGGTCACTGTGGTTTGGAAATCATGGTTAATGCCTTGGCCAGCCTATGGATCCAGCTGGTGTGGTGACTTCTTCAAGAGGAGCATGACTAATAGTGATTGATTGTGAAGTCAACTCATGCAAGATAAAGTTCTATGTTAAGCTGAAGGTCTGTCTAATAAATTACCTCTCACAGGAAGATGCAAATTGTTGATCCATTGGTCTGAGCAAATTGTGGGCTAATTGACCTGCATTCAGACACGTTCCTATGTTTCCCCCCCCCCAGGTACAAGCCAAGTTCCGCTACCCATTTTACTATGAGATGTGTTGGTATGTTTTGGAGAGATACATGTTCTGTCTAACCCAGCGCTCTCATTTCAGCAGGGAGTATCTACAAGAATCAATGTTAATTGGTAAGTAATTTGCCTGTACCTCAGTGTGTTTTTGGAGTAGCAAGGAGGAGAGATGGAAAGGTGCCCTTGGTTGCAGAAACTTTTTCAAGTAGACACTGGACTGGATAATTCAGTAACTCAAAGACATGCATGAAGACTCTCTCTCTATTTGTTTATAAGGGTTGGTGCCCCGCTTCAGATTGTATATTGAAAAGAGCAGAGATTTGGGGGATAAACCAGCGTTCTGAAAGATAGAAATAATTGAGGTTCAAGTTGAACTAAAACTTTGGTGCTTCTTGTGGAGGTCTCGGGGCACTTGATCTTCTGGAAGGTTTTAATTTGTCTTCTTCTCTGCTCCCAGATACCACGAGGAAACGTAGCTTGGACAGCTTCTCATCCGATTCCTGGGGAGACATGGATGAGGATTTGTGCGATGTTGGTTCCCAGGAAGACAAGGACAACAACCCAGAAAAAGTCCCCAAAATCTCATCTGACGTCCCCTCTTCTCCTAACAGCACACACTCGGAGGGGAAGGAGATGTTGGGGAAGAAACCAAAATCTCGCTTCTTCAAAAGGACTCTGTCCAACGAGTCGGAGGAAAGTATAAAGTCAGCCACGGTGGACTATTCCAAAACCCCCGCAGGGTCTCCTGCCACGGAGGTCCCCGCCAAGTGGACTCACTTGACCGAATTTGAGCTGAAAGGTTTGAAGGCCCTAGTGGAAAAACTAGAATCTCTTCCGGAGAACAAGAAATGCGTCCCCGAAGGCATTGAAGACCCTCAAGCTCTCCTGGAAGATATGAAGGTGGGTAATGGACAAACGTTTCCCTCTGTAGACCTGAGACGTGATTCGTTGGTTGGTGGCTTAGTGTGTCGATTAAGCCCAATCGGTGCCATTTACAAGTCATGGCTTATGGTTTAGTACATGTTCTTGTGCTGTTGGGTTGAGGTCTCATGGCATGTAGAAAGTACCAAGTTCAGGGACACACGTGACACGGCTTGGCTAGTGCTGTGAGGATAGTTGTAAGCTTTAACCATGCCCACTCATGCGGTTTCATTTGGGAATAAAGTCTATGGCTGGTGTCAACGGGTGGTCTTCAGAGGTGGTAGGAGAGAATAAATCTCCCATTTCTTTCGGGAAAGTGATGTTTGGGACTTAAGCAGCAATTAGCAACCGTCATTAATGCTTGATGCGCAACACAGATATTTAAAATTGTGGCTAGGGGTTGCAGACAGAAAGAAGAGGAGAGGAGAGACTCTATCACCCAAGGGTTTTAATCCTTTTTTTATTATGCATTTTTAAAATCTTATACGTGGTCATCCTTTTTGTTTCATTTCTTTCTTATCTTCTTTTGTATTTCAATTAAAAAAAGGATTATATGGTACAATAACCCACTCAAGAGTTTAAATTTAGTCTTTGGAAAATTGAAATCTGTAAGGCCCTTTTTTACTTTTCTTTCAGGAACAAAGGCGGGCTTTGCATTCTTTTATCTCTTTTGCCACCCAAGAAGGAAATTGACAAAATACCCATAAAATAACACAGTGCTTTGCCTTATTTCTAACAGTGATTTGTTTGCTGAGCCAAGCCAAGATTATTTTTGTTTTATGGGGGAAAGCCTCAAGGGCACCTTTTCACGCAGGAGCCTCTACCCAAAGCCAGAAGTTATAGTTTTGCCGCCGGCATCCTTGTAACTCGGATTCACACAATACGCCGAGCCCAAGTCCAATTAAACCATTTTTATTTGGTTTGCCTGGGATGACCAGCCGAAATAGGCTTTTATTATGGTTTACTGAATAAGTCAACATGGTTGGGTCCACGCACGTGCAAACTTAACGAGACCTGGTTTGTGAAGCCCAATGATTTTTTTAAATGAAGCCTAAAATGCAGGAGATGGTGTGAAATCAGCCCTTGCAAAAACCCTGATATTTCCTTTTCCTTCCTTTTGGAAACAGAACATCCTGAAGGAACATGCAGAGGATGACCAGAGTCTGGCCATTTCTGGGATCCCCGTGGTATCCTGGCCTAAGAAAAACGCAAAGGTAGGATTTGGGCCCATCCTGGTTTCTTTTGGTCGCAGGCCTCAATCCTTAAGTCACCACTGGTTTTTTTTCCTGAAAAGAGATTTTCACCACCACCCCTGCCCCCCCCCCAAAAGGAGTTTCCTCCACGGTGTGTTTCTGGCATAATTTTAGCTCTTTTGTTGAGCCCCGTTTGCGCTTCCTGGTGCATTTGCATGTCTGGAGAACCCAGCGTTATTCCCCCCCCCCCAAGGAATTGCTGCTCCATGTAGAGACATGTGGTTGCTTTAAGGGTGACTGTTGCTTTAAATGTTGTGCCTTTAAGGTCAGACAGCACACCAAAGCACGATTTGGTATATTCCTTTGGCACGTGTGGAGAAATATTTAATATTTTTAAGTCTGTAAAAATATATTTCCTGTCTCCCAGGGGCCTGGCAGGGCCGGTGCTTCTGCAGCCCCCCCCCCATGTCTCAGGGCTGCTTCCGCTGCCCTTTTGTGGGTGGACACAAAACGGGTCCCTTTGCAAGGACTCCCCACCCCGTCCCCGTGCAAGGGGGTTTAGCAAGGCAGGAGCCCCCTCCTCCAAAATGGGTCTGGCAGGCCTCCCTCCCCCTGGGGGCATCCTCCCCCAGCAAAGACCCTCCCTCTGCCTCCTCCCTCCTCCCCCCTCGGCTGGCTTCCTCCGCCCGGGCAGCCAATGGAGAGCTCGTCTTTTGTTCCACTCCGGTTTAGCTTGCCATTGGCAGCCGAGGAAGCTCAGCCTCTTCCTGGCTCCTCAGGGCTCATGCATATGGATGAGGGCCTTCTCCGCTCTTCCTCCTCCTCCTCCTCCTCCCGCTGGGGGTAAGGAGAGGCCAGGAGCACCACCGAGGCCGGACAGCTGGGTTACAGCCCCACTGCCAGCCATGCCAGCCCGGCCCCTGCTGGGCTCCCCGTGAGAGATGGCCATGTCCGCCAGCCCTGATGAGGAAGACTACGACTCAGAGCAGGACCAGGTGGGGTCCTCCTGGGTTTGTGCTTGTGTGTGTGTGCATGCAGGGGCTGCATGTCTGGGTGGGTGTGCAGGCTTGCTTGCATGCATGGCGGTGGGTGGGTCTGCCTGGGTTTTTTTTTTTTTCCTGGCAAGCAAAGTTTGCACCTGGAGCCTCTTCTGCTTTGCTAGGGGTTGCAAGAAGGCAGGAGGGGGTCCTCCTTCCAAAGGGGGGCAGGCCAAGGAAGTGGGGTTGGGGGGAGAAGACCTTCCAAAGCCAGCATCCGGCCTGGACTGCCGTCTTCCCCCTTCTTGGGGCTGGAACTCCGGCCTCAGTGGGAAGCAGGGTCTTTGGGCTGGAAGGAAGGAAGGAGAGGAAGGAGGGAGGGAGGAGAGAAAGAGGGAAGGAAGGCAAAAATAAGGAGGGAGGGAAGAAAGGGGAGAAAGAAAGAGAGGGAGGGAGAGGGAGAGGGTAAAGGGGTCTTCCCACTGTAGTTTTTTTGTCGTTTTTGTTTTATTCTTTTCAGAGAAAGATGCTGCTTTGACTTTGCTTTGCAGGAGATTTTTAACCGAAACAATCGGGTTTTTTTTTTTCTTTAATCAGAAGGGGCAGGAAGTTAGATCTTGGATGTGCTTTGGAGATCTGTGAAATACCTTCAGCTAGGAGTGAACGGAGGTGTGCCTTGTGTGTGTGCTGTGTGTGACAGTTTCCTTACAATTGTCTCCCTTCACACCCTCCCCCCCCATGGAAGACTTAATCCTATCAAGATAGGGAATGGATGCCTAGGACATCTTAACAGGGGTCCTATAATGTGGGCAGGGGGAGAAAGGACCACCTCCCAACTGACAGCAGAGCCAATTTTGGGAAGCTACTAGGATTTACCAATTTAAATTTGCAAGGATCGTTTAGTATTTAGAAGTGAAAAAGCAACCTTTTTTTTTTAATCTTTACCCTCAGAACTAAGGTGTAATTTTTTACCTGGCTCTCTTCATCTGTCTCAAGTTTGTTTAAGTATCCAACTGAAAATATATTTCTTAATTCCTTGATTTGTCGTTGGACCTCTGTGATGACTCTTTTGTAATATTCCTTCTCTATATTTCCTTATTCTGCCTTTTAACATTTATCAGCGCAATGAATTGGGTTGTTTATACTTAGTCTTGTAAGTTTATTACGTTTGTGGTTGGGTTAAAAATACCAAACAGTATTCATTATTTTTGTAAAAAAATGAACATTGTTTTTTTTAAAAAATGTTTTAATTGTTTTAGAATTGCTTGCCACCTGGGATCAGTGGGTTGAGATGGGTAGCTATAGAAATTATTTTTTAAAAAATAAAGTGGATCTAATTTAGGGTTCTGTAGCTACTAATGTAACTACTAGAATGTATTTTTTTTAAAAAAAGAATTATTTGTTTTGGTCATTGTTTTAAATTAAAAGCTGCACATGAAGCCAGACTCAGTTCTGTAGTTAATATTGGGCCCTCTCAAAGATTTTTAATTATTTTTTAATTGATCCCTTTGGTGTCTTGGCTTAGAACTGGGAATCCATCAAAGGATCCAATAAAAAAAAATCTTAGAAGTCAGTAAAAATGGCTGCTAAAAAACCTCTAAGTGTCCCTCAATAATTTCTTACTGTTGGTTTTCTGCAGCTGATCCATAGATGAAATTTCCAGGCTAATCTTCCAGTTATACTTATTTTATTTATTAGTTCAATTTGATGACATTCAACTCCAGACAATTCTGGGTGATTCACAACATACCAAACAGCATAGAAAAATGGAAACAACAGAGAAAGCAAAATCAAACGTTAGTTTTTAGAAAGGATTATAAAAATTCTCAATCTGCTAAAACTCACAAAGATTTTACAGGAATGGAAGTTTGCTGATGTGTGTTAACTCTCACGGAGGTCCATCACCATGATTTGGCACTTTCTCCAAAAGGAACATAAGAAATCAAATATACAAACTGCATTTTTTCCCTCGTGTTTCTTGGCCCAAAGTCACCCAGCCTGTTTTCACGGCCAGGGCGGAATTAGAACTCACAGTCCTAACCGACAGGATTCCTCCTCCTCTATTACAATCAATTTGCGAGGTCTTTTTAACCTTTCCTTTCGTGTTGATACTTTCCAAGCTGACTCTCTACGAATTCTTTAGGACAGTGTTTCTCAACCTTGACAATTTTAAGGCATGTGGACTTCAACTCCCAGAATTCCACAGCCAGCAATGCTGGCTGTGGAATTCTGGGAGTTGAAGTCCACATGCCTTAAAATTGTCAAGATTGAGAAACACTGCTTTAGGGCTACTTGGCCTGCATCTTCCGTGGTGTTAGACCCGGGTCCATCTGGCTAACTTTGTACAACGGCGAGGCCGAAAAGCTCTGTTGCTCCCCGGCCTCCGTTGCCTGCGCCTCTTTAATCTCATTTTGTGGTTTACCGGACCGTCCCCACTCAGAAAAGCTGCTCCTTGGGTTTGCAGAAAGAGGAACTTGTAACCAAAGTTGATCGCAAGCCGTAACGTCTTTGCCCCTACAAGGGTATCAGCCTTGTAGTCCTTGGGACCAGCTTTGCAACGGCCACCCGGATGGCAGGGCGTCCCCCTTCAAAAATCCCACCGTCCCTCTTTCTTTCCCAGAACCGGACTGTTGGGCGTCCCAAGGGGAAGCTGGGTCCTTCCTCGGCCGTGAAGCTTGCAGCGAATCGGACGACTGCAGGCGCGCGCCGGAGAAGGACGCGATGTCGCAAGTGCGAGGCCTGCTTGAGGACAGAGTGTGGCGAATGTCACTTCTGCAAGGACATGAAGAAGTTTGGGGGGCCTGGCCGGATGAAGCAGTCCTGCATTATGAGGCAGTGCATCGCGGTAAGCACCGTCGCGGTTCACCGGGGCGGGAAATCGGGGTCCACCTCAACTCCCAGAAGTCCTCGGTTTGTGGGCTGGCTGAGGAATTCTGGGAGTTGAAGTCCACGGCTCTAAAGCTGCCAGGCTCGGAGACCCCTGCTCCAAACGATCAAGCAGAGGCCTCGTCTGCTCCAATAGCTTTTGCGGCCGTTTCGGATCCCCTGACCTGTCCTTTATTCCTGCCTCCGTAGCCGGTGCTGCCTCACACCGCAGTGTGCTTGGTGTGTGGAGAAGCCGGCAAGGAAGACACAGTGGAGGAAGAAGAGAGCAAATTTAATCTGATGCTTATGGAGTGCTCAATCTGCAACGAAATCATCCACCCGGGGTGCCTCAAGGTAAGGACAGGGCTTTTGGGACTTGGGTCTACAGGTTGTCCACAACTTACGACACAGCTGAGCCCGAGATATCCGTTGCTAAACAAGACATTTTCTCTTTCTACCCATCTCTCTCTCTCCCCCCTCTTTTTCTTCTCTCTCTCTCTCTCTCCCTCCCTCCCTCCCTCCCTCCCTCCCTCCCTCAGGTCCGAGAATCGGATGGCGTGGTGAACGAGGAGCTTCCGAATTGCTGGGAATGTCCAAAGTGCAACCATGCTGGAAAAACGGGGAAAGTGAGTTTTACAGCAATGATTTCGTTGCCTGGAAAAGGAAACAAAAAGTATTTTTTATGTGTTTTGCCCACTGAGTCTTTGTCGGCCTCCAACGGTGACTTTTTACCGATTGGACGGGGGGGGGAGAGCCCCTTTCCCCCCCCCACACACAGATCTTTTAACAAGGTCGTAAAATGGGGCAAAACTCATTTAACAAATGTCTCGCATAGCAACGGAAATTTGGGACTCAATTGTGGTGGGAAGTCAAGGGCTTCCTGTATAAAAAGAGTAAAAACAATAATCTCCTCACACACACACAAGTCTTTTGCTTTTGAGATCCCAATCCTATTTCTGTTCTGCTTTGTTTGCAATAAAGCTCAGCTGATCTAATTTGTGGATCCCTTCAGGTTTCCTCCTGCAATGTAACAGCACCATGTTGCTCCCTAATTTAGTGAGAGAATGAGGGTTTCTGCAGCCCTTTCCGGGAGGGGAAAAAAAAGGCATAAGATATAAAGTTTGCTTGTGTGTTTTGTCTCTTTCTGGCGTACAAGCAAAAGCGGGGTCCTGGGTTCAAGTACGCCTCCAACCTGCCGGGCTCTTTGCTCAAGGAGCAGAAGATGAACCGGGAGAACAAGGAAGCCGTCCCCGAGGTCCCCAAGCGGAAAGTCGAGTGCGAGGAATCGCCCCGCAAGAAATCCGACGAGCGCCCTCCGAAGCCCCCGCTGGACCCTCTCCTGAGGAGGAAGTCGGAGGAAGCCCACCTGCGCCGCAAGCGGAAATTTGAGAAGCCCCAAGAGCCGGCGATGAGGAAGCGGGTAAGACGGGGAAATCGCCTCCCTTGGATGTTTTCAGCCGAAAGGCAGGAGAAGGTGCCTCCGTAGGAGAGGCGTAGTGGAGGGGGATCAGGAGCTGGGACCCCCAGTAAAAATGGCCACTGCCCTGGTGTATCTACCACCTCTCCAACTTCAAGCCTTGCAAACTTTATTCCCCAGAATTCCCCCAGCCAGCATGGGAGGAATGACTTCCAATCAATAAAATCCCTGTTTTCCCTCCTTCCTTCCCTCTCTGACCGTAGCTAAAACTGGGCAAAGAAGAGAAGCTGTTCAGGAAAAAGGTAATTTCTTCATTTGTATGGATTTCTCCCACCCCCAGGGATTATACAGGTAGTCCTCGACTTACAACCGTTCATTTAGTGACCGTTCAAAGGTACGAGGTACTGAAAAATAGGACTTCTGAATGTTTTTCACACTGATGACCGTTGCGGCATCCCTAGGGTCACGTGATCCAAATTCAAAATTGGCAACTGACTCATAAGTGTGACAGTTGCCGTGTCCCGGGGTCACGTGATCCCCTTTTGCGAACTCTGACAAGCAGAGTCAGTGGGGGAAGCCATTGGTACCATTGCTATTGGTATCCTCCCCCTTTCTAGAGGCGCTCCTGGAAGACCCCCGACGATCGGGTGGCCGCCCTCAAGCCCCTGCGGCGCTTCAAGCAAGAGCCGGGCGAGGCCTTCCCGGAGGAGCCTCCAAAAACCAAGGAGAGCGACCAGTCGCGTTCCAGCTCACCCACGGCGGGGCCCAGCTCGGAAGGGGCCGAGTCCCGGGAGAAGAAGAAATTCAAGATCCGCCGGAAAGCGCGCCTGCCGAACAAGGAGCTGAGCAAGGAGCTGAGCAAGGAGCTAAACCAGGAGATCCAGAAGACGGAGAACAGCCTGGCCAACGAGAACCACCAGCCGCCCATCAAGTCGGAGCCGGAGAGCGAGAACGAGGAGCCCAAGCACGGCCTCGGCCTGGAGCGGCCGCATCCGCTCAGCAAGGGCTTCAACGGGACGCCGCGGGAACTCCGCCACCAGCTCCTCTCCAGCCTCCGCAGCAACAGTACCCCTAGGGCCGTCGCCCGGCCCCCGCCTTCCCTCTCGCCTCCCAAGTGCATGCAGATGGAGCGGCACGTGGTCCGGCCGCCCCCCATCAGCCCCCCGCCGGACTCGCTCCTGCTGGATGATGGAGCGGCCCACGTGATGCAGAGGGAGGTGTGGATGGCCGTCTTTGGCTGCCTCAGCCCCCGAGAGCTCTGCGTCTGCATGAGGGTGTGCCGGACCTGGAATCGGTGGTAAGGATTGGGGGGCCCTATGAGGAACGGGGGGGGCAGGTTTGAACTGGGTGTCAGGGGCCCCTTGGGAACTGCCACAGTTGTGGCTCTGGCCAGGATAAAGAGAGGCTAGAATTCAGTGAGGCTTAGAAAAGCTGGGTGTTGTCCTTCACTGGGGTCAGTGAAGAAGCCTGATTCCCTTAACAACTGAGGCAAGAAAAGTCATAAAACGGGGCAAATTCATTTAACAAATGTCTCACTTAACGACAGAAAATGTTGGGCTCAATTGTGGTAAGTCGAGGACTACCTGTATTTCAGGCCTTGTATTTTTCCCCAAGATGTGTCTGTCCTCTCTCCTTCAGGTGCTGTGATAAAAGACTGTGGACCAAAATAGACCTCAACCATTGTAAATCCATCACTCCCCTGATGCTGAGTGGCATCATCAGAAGACAGCCGGTCACGCTAGACCTGAGTTGGACAAATATATCGAAAAAGCAGCTGAGCTGGCTTATCACCCGCCTTCCAGGTAGGCTCCACCTTGGCGATTCCTGCCTTAGCAGATGAGGGAGGGAGCAGGACTGTCATGCAATTAGGGCCACTCTGCGGAGGGTGACATTCTTCCCTCTCCATAGGTCTCCGGGATCTGCTTTTGGCTGGGTGCTCGTGGATTGCCGTGTCCGCTCTCTGCAGCTCCAGCTGTCCCCTTCTTCGAACTCTGGACAGCCAATGGGTGGAAGGCCTGAAGGATGCTCAGATGAGAGACCTTTTGTCACCGCCAACTGACAACCGGCCAGGTGCCTATTCCCATTTTTTGACTCCTGCAGCAAGACTGGGAGAGAAAGCGGAGTATAACAACCAGTTTTCCCATATTTGGGGTCTCGTGATGGCCTCACGAGCGTAAGCCTAGAAGCTTGAAAAGTCTTGCATTTTGGTGTGTGGGGGGGGTCCCTCCAGGCGTGGCTGAGCCTGTTGAATCACAGCCTCTGCAGATGAAATAACAACAGACTTTGCTGCCTTTTTGTTGCTTGCGCAGGCCAGATTGACAACCGCAGCAAACTGCGCAACATCACAGATCTCCGCCTGTCCGGCTTGGACATCACGGATGCTTCTCTGCGTCTGATTATCCGGCACATGCCTCTCCTGTCCAGACTCAACCTCAGCTACTGCAATCACGTGACAGACCAGTCCATCAACTTGCTAACGGCGGTGGGGACCACCACGCGGGACTCCCTAACCGAGGTTATTTTGAAAGGTAGGCTGGGAGAGATTCGACAGGTAGAGTTATGGGAAAGATTTTTGCGCACCTTGATTTAGTGGTCCACCTGCAATCTTAAACAGTCCCAGAAGAGAATCCTGCTGGAGCGGCGAAGGTGGGGATGGAAAGAGCTGTAGAAGCAGTCACTTTCTGATTAATGCTGCCATGAACCTCGCATAATTCTTTTAATACAGGAAGCCCTCGACTTATAACCATTTGTTTAGTGACATTCACGAAACAAAGAAGTGCAAAGAAGGGACTTATAGCCTGGTCCTTGTACAGGCAACCATCGCAACATCCCCTCAATCAAGTGATCAAAATTTTGGTACTTGGAACTGGCCTGTGTTTACCATGGCTGCAGCATCCCCAGATTGCTCTTCGCAACTTTCCCAGCCAAATTTCAACAGGAGGGAAGCCAATTTGCTTAACAACGGTGCAATTCACTTAAAAGCTGCAATGATTTGCTTAACAACCACACCCCAAAAAATGGCAAAATTGCCCGGTTAGCCACAAAAAATCTGGTCCCAACGAGGGCCGTGATTCAAGGACTCCTTGAAATGTTTGGAGATGGACTGATTGCTTGCATTGACTTATGGTCAAACTCGGACCGCAGGTGTTCCTTACACCTTACAATGGAGCCCCAAATTTCTGTTGCTAATGAGACATTTGCTAAGTGAGTTTTGCCCCCATTTTACGGCCTTTCTTGCCACCGTTGTTAAGCTAAACGCTGCAGTTGTGAAGCTGGCAACGCAGCTGTTAATCTGGCTGTTTGTCAGAAGGTTGCAAACGGGGATCACATGATGCCGGGACACTGCGACCGTCATAAATGTGAGTCAGTTGCCAAGAGCAACTGAATTTTGATCAGATGGCCGCCGGGATGGTACAGTGGTCGTAAGTGTGGGAAACGGTTGTAAGTCCCTTTTTTCTGTGCCGTTGTAACTTCGAGGAGCAGCAGTCATGGTTCCTTGACATCCCTCCTCTCTTTGTGCTTCCAGACTGCAACAGGGTGACGGATCAGTGCCTGTCATACTTCAAGCGCTGCGGGAGCATCTGCCACATCGACCTCCGTTATTGCAAGCAGGTCAGCCGGGAAGGCTGCGAGCGCTTCATCGCCGAGATGTCGGTCAGCGTCCAGTTCAGCCAGGCAGAGGAGAAGCTGCTGAAGAAGCTGAGCTAGTATTGACAAGGACACAGTTTTCAAGGGAGGCGAAGAAGCAGGGCGAAAAAAAGGACCGAAGGAAGTCGGAGGGGTGTTTCCCCCACTCACCCACCCGACACGCGGCTTGGATGTCGTGCGAACAGACCCGACTGTGCAGGAATGTACGGCAGGCAGCCAGGTTAGGAATCTGGCGCTCTGGGGGGCCATCGGTGTTCCTTCCTGGGATTTTCACGTGCCGAGAAAGATACGGACGGGCCGACTCAGAACTGTGGCCGGAGCGCCTGTACATTTGGTTTAAGACTTTCTCCAGGCCTCCGAAGCGAAACGCTCGTTCTGCTCTGGTGAAGGTCCCCCTGCCTCTTCTTGCCTTCGGGACTGGTTGGTTTGTTTTTTTCCTTCCCGTTATATGTTGACCTTATGCAAAACTATTTTTGTACAAATCCCTTTAAAAAGTTATTTATGCAAAGTTCTCGGATGCATTTCCGGCGTTTTGACTTGGGTTTTGCGTTGCCAAATGTTTCTGGAGTAGGGGGAGCAGACTTCGGAAAAGAGACACAACCGATCGAAATGGATATTCCCCACTTTTGAAGGGGTGAAGGGAAAACAGGGGCATACTTTATGATGGGGGAGGGGGAAATAGCATGTTTTGTATGCCGCTTTGTATACTCAAGCAACACAGTAAGGCATGTTGTGGAAAAGAGGTGTACAGATGAAGGATGAAAGTGTTATTAAATTCTCCCCGTATAAAGTCCATTTTCCCTTTAATTTTGAAAGCTTTTCAGTGACAGCTAGTCTCCTGGAAAAGCATTAAGATATTGGGCCTTTGAAACCCATCTGCAAGTTAAGGAGTTCTGGTTTTTTAAAAAAATGAATTGTTATAATTTAACTTGGTTAACTATTTTTTTTTTAAAAGTGGGTGGGTGGGAATTCAATATACAGTACATTTAAGTGCCATTGTTGTAAAGTGGTCTCTCTCCGATTGATTTCCTTCCTCATGCATTTTTACCTCTGTTGAAATTTGTATAAATGATTGTACAAAAATAAGAGGCTAGGTGGGCAAACTGCTCGTTTGTATTATACATGTTGAACCTTTGTAATAATTTCCTGGAAAAGCCCCCCTGGCTTCAACCCCCCCCTCCGTTGTTTTCCAAGAGCAAACTCGGACAGTAAAGAGATTCCGCGTTCAGTTGTTCTTCGTTAATGGCACTTGTGATCCAGGGGAATCCAGTTGCTTTGTCCCTTGGGGAAAGTAAAAACTTTTCATAGAAGATCATCCTTTGCTTACCTGGTGGTGTGTTTTTCCCTTTTCACCAGCATCTCCAAGTCACAAACCCTTCAGGTGAAGCTGTCAAGCCTATAGGTTTAATACTGCCAGAGGGAAAAACAAGCGTCTCTGCTCGTCTGGGCTTTTTCGCAGCAAGGAGGCAGAGGAAAGCAGACCCAAAGCCAGTTAATGAAACGTTTATTAAGCCAGCCGTTACTCAGAATGTTATGGATATGCTACATTCTCGATTATGCACGTACCCCAAAAAACTCGCTTTTCTACACTATGTCCTCGTTAGAGACATTTTCAAAAAACAAAGCCATCATGTCTTGCTCCCTTCTGAAAAAAATGTCAACTTCAAGATTTGAAAAGTTACTTGAGCCAGACGCCGAATAGATACCAGGCTGCAAAGTTAGGACCTCTCCTAATTTTCACAGCCTTTCTACAAACCCTGAAATTCATACCAGGGGCCCGAGCTCCAAAATGCCTCTGCTTTCCCCCCACACACTGCGCATTTGAGGATTTTGCATGACTCCAGTGCAAGCTTTGGTGACCTTTCACTTGCCCCAGCTATTCTGGCAAATCTCTTAGAAACCGTTGGGGAGCTACTGCAATAAGTCTTGCTGAAGAGGAAAGATGATGGCAGAACTGATGACCTTTCAGGTCCCCCAAAGCAGCAGGGCTAAATAAGCAAGGTTGCAACTGTTTGCTCTGAGACCTGGCTCCCTTCCCTCCCCCTGCTGCTGGACTCCTTCATTACCTGGTTCCTTCCTGAACGTTTATACTTCTGTGGACATTGGGGTTTGGGAGTTAGGGGTCTGGCTGGGTGCAGGGTCAGATCCTGCCCTGATGACCAGGAGACATTCTGGTGCCTCTATCCACTGCAGGGAGGCTGGACCCACTAGATTGGTCCATCGCCAGTGCCCGATAGACCCAGTTTCAGGAGAAGTTGGGGTTATTCCTATAGGTGCGCAGTCCATCTAAATCCTTCTCTATCATAACACCTGTCCTAAGGAGCATTCCCCCCTCCCCAATAAAGTTAACTCTATCACTGTTACCATTCCAGAAGCCCCCCCCCCAAGACCTGGCTCGGTCACCAACTCTGGGGATCCCAGGGAACTACACATTCTTAGATGGCTCCGTTGCAGTTGGTTCTTTTACTGTCTCCATGTGATTTGCATATTCTAAATTTTTGCTGTGCTTTTTAAATATTCTTTAATACGTATGTTGTTTTAGTGATTGTTGCGTGCCACCCAGCATTGCTTTTGGTGACGGGAAGCCATATAAATGTGATAATTCCTGGTAAACCTTCTCAAATGAGAATGTAAACAGAACTATCTTGATTTGCCTGTTCTGAATCCGAGGATATTTCTAGGATCTCGGAACGGAAATATAAACTGGCTGACTGGCGCTCTCTGACGCAGACTCCAAAAGGCAGCTTTTAACTCTTTCCATTAAGGCTACTGTAGATCACCAGATATGCGTGGGCTGACACTCTGGAGGATTGGCACAAAAACCGGTCTGCCAGCCCACCCACAAAATCCCCCCCCCGGGCAAGAAACGCCCCCCCGAGAAGACTTCATCCCGTTGCTCTCTGAGGAAGTTAAGCGTGCTCCCCTTCGCCTTTTCTCAGCTTTCGGGCTGATTTTCAGAAGAGAGCAATCTGAAGCGTTCAATCTCTGGCTTCCAGTTCGACTCTACTCCAGTCTGCCTTTTTTTTTTTTTTCTTTAAAAAAAAAAAAAATGAAAAGGAAAAGAAATCCAGTTCACACAGCTCTATCTTTAAGAGGCATCTGACTTGCAAAGCAGAAATACAATCGGTCAAAGCTCCTAAGCTCCTGGTCAGGATGCTATGAATTAACTGGAACCGAGGCTTTCCAGAGCCTCCGCACGTGACCGTCTTGGGAGGAAATGTGTGCAGCAGGAAGCTTCCGGTGCTGGGCCCAGGCGCTCAGGACTTGAACACGTGCACGGCCCGCACCACGAACTGGCGGCAGATCGGACACTCGCTCATGCGCTTCCCGCATTTGGTGCAGGCGACCATGTGGCCGCATTCGAGCAGCACGCAATCGATCACCGCGTCCATGCAGATCCGGCAAAGGTTGTCGTCCTCGTCGGCCAGCGGAGGCTTCTCCCCTTCTGCCAAGGAGCAAACGGGCACAGTTAGAGAAGCCGCCACGGGACACGTCAGGTTTGTATGATTAAAACAGTGGTCCTCAGCCTCTGTCACTAAGCGGGGCATTTGGCATTCAAACACCTCGGAAGAGAAGCAGAGAGAGAGCACCTTCCCTCCCCCGAGCAAGCCCGTGGGAAGGAAATGAGGAAACCGGAAGACTCACGCAGCCGCTGATTCGTTTGGTTCTCCTTGTAGAGCCGGCTGACTTTTTCTACCAGTTCCCATTTTTCGCAACATCCCGAATAATTGACAAAGTTACAAGCCAGGATTTCTTTCAGCTGCCGGACGGTCAGCCCTTCCACGTCATCCAGGCTGGAAATATCGGACAGCGAGGCCCTGGCACGCTTCCTGGACTGGCCCGGAGTCTGAAAAGAGAGGTGTTTTCAATGGGCAAAGGAGGGAGAGAACGCTCCGTGTGCAATGAGCCCACAAGATCCTGTGAACTGGGCCAACCCCCCATGGGATCCCTTCCCCCCACCCCTAAAAGGGCATCTACCTTGTGTAGGAGACAAAGCCCATCGAGTGCAACAGGCATGCCACAATTATGATGCTGGCACTTCCTAGCCGGTGGGGATCCAACACAATTGATAAAAGATCCATTGCTGTCTTTAGGGACAGGATACCCAAGCAGGCACCCGATTATATTTTGAAATATTGTTTGGTTTACCTTAAACCAGGGATGTACAACCTCAGAACTTTTGAGACCGGTGGACTTCAACTCCCAGAATTCCAGGCTGGGGAGGATTCCACGCTGGCTGGGGAATTCTGGGCACTGAAGTCTCAAAAGTTCCTGAGGTTGCACATCTCTGCCTTAAACTGTATCAGAAAACTGAGAAGGGAGTGAACGCTTTGGTCAAATGTCCTGAGGCGCTTCGTTCCTTACTTCTTGTGCTGCCTGGTCTTCCTCTGCCCCCAGATCCGCCGAGAGTCTCTCGCTGGGCCCCTAAATGCACAAGAAGTGTTACTGCATGCTCATCCCTTTCATTCCGGTCATCTAGAAATGGCAGCTTCTGCTCCCCATTGGCCCAGCTGGGGAGGCAGAATCACAAAAGATCTTTCTCTCTGCCCCCCCCCCCTTTCTTCACAAACCTACCAGTAACTGTATTTCACTGCCCATATTCTCCTGCCGGCTGGCGAGGTCTCCCTGAGAAGTGGACACCAATCCAGACAGAGAAATGTGCTGGGTCGAAAAACTGGAAGCCTGCGACTGCGTCGAGTACAAGCTGCTAGTGTCCGTCTCCTCCTCGGAGGCCAATCCGTGATGGCACAGGATGAGGTCGACCAAGTCTTCCTTTTCGCGGCAGGTGTCCGTGGGGATGTTCCTAAGGAGCAGGTACTGGCGCAGATCCTTGACTTTCAAGCGGATCAGCTGCGGCCGCTGGAAGGCCGTCTCCTGCAGCAACTGGCAGGTGCAGCACCGGCGGAGGCTGTCTTGCAAGACGGAGCAGACGGAGCAGAAGTCTTTCTTGCACTCACAGCACACGTGCTGGAGAAGGAGGAGAGGAGATGGGGGGGGGAAGGAGTCACACACACCTTGCTGTGCACAAGGAAAAGGAAATAAGGAATATCCTATTTGATAGAGGTCGTCCTTGAGTTATGACCACAATTGAACCAAGAGGTTTGGGCCTCAGGTTTGACTCAAAAGGAGGACCTCCGGCTTGGCGTTTCTCACCTCCCGGCTACGAGGGCTTCCGAATGTCCCCATCTCCATTTTGTTGTCTTCCTATGTGACAAACAAGAGCCCGCAAGCAGAGCAGCGTTTAACCCTGGAGATTTATCGGAAGCCTCCTGCCCTCCAAGCCTGAGACGCTCACCTTTTTCCTGAATACGGAGAAGGAAAGGCCACAAGATTTGCAGACCGCGGGGTTCGCTCCCGTGGCTGCTGCCGAGGAGTAGACGGTGAAGTCCGTGCTTGGCGCAAACCGAAAGGGGTTTGCTCCGCTTCCGAATCCGGGCTGCTGGCCACGAACCGCTCCCGTCCCCATGACCTCATTCAGCAACCCACAGCAGGAAGCCCACATGGAGGTCGCCCCTGCCTGGAAGAAAGCAGCAGAAGCAAGTTCAGTTTTCCCAGACTGAAAGACCACGCAAAGACACACACACTCCCCGGTCTGTCTTCAGGACATCCTGCTGGTAAGCAGTCAATCTCCCAAAGCGATGGAGAAGGAAGACACACAACACCACCCGACAAAGAGATCTGGATTACTCCCCCTTGTCTGTCCACAACTGAAGTTGCAGGATGCTCCCCTTTCGGAAGAGGAGCTCGGTTCTCCAGTTATGGCGATGGCCTCAGGTGGTGTGCAAGCAGTTTTCAAGTCTAGGTTAAGGAATGACGACAACAAACACCCAGTCTTTCAGTAGGATGGAGAAGGGCATCTCCAAGAGATGCGGCTCTCCTGTTTCAGGAGTCCGCACCTCTTTTCGTTAAGGGAGCTCGGCCTTTCCCACCTCAATCCACTCAGACTCCAGGGCCTCTGCCACACCTGTCATTCTCTGATCTGTCACCAATCATTTAACCAAAGTAGGGAAATAAAGGAGAGCGTCCAAGGAGATTCCGAGCAAGCGACCAGCTCTCTAGTTGCAATATTCCCCATCCAAGCAGGCTGGCTGAGCTTCCTCTGAAGACTTTTCAGAAAGGGACCGGCCTCTTAGAAAAACTACAGAAGCCCTGGAATTTACACCGAAGGAAAAACAGAAAATGAGTCAGCAGGACAGGAACTGCAGATTTAACAGTCCCAGGATTCAGGTGCCATCTGTTTCAGGGATCAGCCTGTTTGATAATCAATCCAGCTTTAGATAATTGTTGATGCCGGAAGAGGCTAAAATCCCCACAACTAGGATTGCAGTTCACATGCCTTGACTTTGCCTCCTTGTTTTCTTATTTTTTTTCAAAGCTCATTTTTGCTCCTTCTTATTGTCTTCAGTTTATCTTACATATTTTTAATTCTGCTTGCTATCTTGTCAGTCACCCAGAGTTCTTCTGGAGTTGAATGGAATAAAAAAATTAATAAAATATAAGGTCACCCGAATAGTCTGCCAAGAAACACACCTTCCTCGGATTCTTCGAGTTGCAGTTAACTTTCAGGGAGTTTAACCAAAAATGTACACAAATACTTACATCATCATGCGGTCTCTTTGGAGAAGAAAACACAGCAACCAAAACAAGGAGCATTTTAACGGAGAAAAAAAACACGGTTCCCCTATTCTTCTGAAGAACATTCTAAATGTATTACTCCAAAAATCCTCACACCCTGAACACATCCTGTAAGGTTGCAACAGAGTACAAACTACCAGTAGCTAGGATTAGAATCTCTTTGCGTGCCTCGGGGCTGTGCTGACAATCCTATCCATAATTCATGCCCCAAATTAACCCTAATTCTTTGAAAGCATCTATCTAGGGATGTGGCTGTTGTCCTACAGGCTGTTTGTATACAGCAAAGCCTCAACAAAACATCAAGCGTAGAAACACCAAGAAAATGCAATTGTGCTACTTTCGATACAGCATTCACTGGAGAAGCTATCAAACGTGCCAAAAAACCTGGGTCTCCTCCTCCAAAAGGGGTCCAACATTTCCCACCCTGGAAATACTGGAATCAAGCAGGCACTTTGGTGGAGCAGTTTTTTCCAGCTAGTTTATTTTTGATTTCTATCGGCCTGTTTCTAGTTGCATTCTTCACTCGAGCATTGTGAACAATTTGAACTTGTAGTCAGGATGAATAAGAAAGCATTTGGGGGGAATTTAAGAACTCTGCCCTTACCACTTAGTCCCCAAAGTCCTTCTCTCCTTCCTGTCTTTAGCCAGTTTCATTTTCTCCCTAAAGCTCACATTTCTCTCACGGCCACTGCTGAACCGCACTGATCACCACCAAAGAGACAAATTCCTTTTATCAGTTTCAGCTCTGCTGCTTCCATTCTTCTTGAGGATTCTGTTTCTTTCAAAAACCCTTCACAACCGTACTTTCAGACAAAGACCGCAAGAGATAGCCAAAAAGATTTCATATAGAATCAATCCATAACCATGTACTTTCTAAAAACCTAAAACTACATAAAGACAGCATAAAGTCCCCAGCTAATTCCTACTACCCAGAAGATTTGTTTTTAAAAATATATCTGTTTATAAAGAGACACTAGGAAGAAATACATGTGGAATTCCGTGCAAGGAATGGGGCTACTGCAGAGAAGACCCTGTTGCTTGTAAATAAGACAAGTCAAGATCTGTGAATAGCTGCTCTTTTTTCCTTGCAGGAAGTGACCGTGACGAGGTGATGACATCCAGAAACATCTTTTCTCATTACAGAATCATACCTGTGTTACTGTTAGTCATATTCAATAAACTTAACCTTTTGTGGTTACAGAAGTCCCATCAGCAGGGTTTATTTTTATGCAAATGGCAGGATTGCAGCTAAAGATCTATTTAATCAGATGAAGAGTCTTTGTACGTGTAATTTATAGATATAAATGTCCCACATAAAAATGCAAAGCTAACATTTACCCAAAGCATTTTTTTTTGTCATAGACTTTGAACTGGCCCACCCAAGCATGGGTTTGATAGTCAAATTTCATGGACCTTTAATTTAAAATCCTGGACTAAGCAAGGAGTAGGATTTGATGTCCTTTCTCTCATTGTTACGACTGTAGAGTTATCATCTGCACTACAGTGAATATTATAACGCTCCATTCTACATTCTGGTTAGTTACTTATCACCGATAAAACAGCTGGCAATAAAGAAGAAATTGTAATGGGACACATCGCGCTGCTTCATGATATTTTCTAGTGCTTGTTACTTCCAAGAAACTGCACCCCAGGGCTGGGCTTCATCATCTTAGACACTCTTGCTGTCCAATAAACAAATGGCATTCCTGCACATATTCCTCCAAATAAGTCCACATGAAACCCAGGAGCCTTGTCCCCGAGGAGAGAAAATAACACCACAGTTGTTACTGAGCATGTCTTGTAAAGCACACTGTCTTCTGGAAGGAATTCTTGGAATAATTGATCATAGAAAAAAAGTTCCACCCAATTTTTGGAGTCCATTTTAGCTTTTCTGCTAGGGATGGGAGAAGAAGAGGCCATTAGGCAAAACTGTTTGTGTCCCACCTAGTGAACATGTGAACAGTGGTAGACAACAGGGTGTTTTATACCTGTTTTATTTCCTACATTTCATTTCCCCCACTGTCCAATCCCAACAACCGGTGTTGTACAAGGCTGTGTGTCTGTCTACATGCAAATTCAGGCACATTCCCATTCTGAAGTTACTCAACAACAGGCTTTTTGCAGGTGGCCCCAGCACTTGAGAATGCTCCCCCTCATCGCTGGCATTTGAATGACACTTTTTACAGCCTCTTTTATTAAGACTCCTGGAGATCTCCCTTGTCACTTCTCTCCAATGGCTTTTGTTTTCCTTCCATCCTTGTTTTAAATCAAAGCTCTTTTTCCAACCTCTCTTATGCTTGGCGGAAAACCAGAATGCCCCGAGGCCGGTACCGAGGCCAAGCAGTGTCCTTGTGCACTGTGTCTGTTTGCTATGCCAACAGCAAGCACATACTCCTTTCCCAAGATTGATTCAGCAAATAAACCCTAGCGATGGCTCGTTGAATTCCTGTTCTTCAGAAAAACGTCCCTCCAGACGGTGCCCCAACCCAAGATGAGGACTGGAGGGTTGCTGCTGCTGAGCCAGGGATGGTTTGAGGGGGGCAGCTCCAGGTCCAGAAATTATCATAAACATTTCACAATAATGATAACAATAATTCCCTGCAATTTGATCCTTCTGGAGCAGGATGGAAGTTTGTGGTCCAGTTTGAAGGTCTGTTTTGATGCCCTGCTGGGATTTAGGGGAGACCTGAAGAGTCTTTTTTTGGGGGGGGGGTCTCCATCAACCTCTCCGGGGAGCAGCAAGAGAAACAATAATAACTAATAATAATCACAATACATAATAATAAAAGCCCCGCCCCGGATGTTCAGACCCACCTCTTCTTTCAGGACGCCCAGAGACCCCTAGACCCAATTCCTCCCCCCTTTGGGGAACCCCTGCAGCCCCCCCTTTTAGCCCCCTTCCTCCCCCCCCCCCACTGGTTCACCTTCATGGCCGCTCCGAAGCTTCCTCCTGTCTTCGTCTCCACCGGGATAGGACCGGAAGTGGGGAGAAGGGGCTCCAACGGCTCAACCGTCTCCCGCTCGCGCCCCCGGCCCGCGCGTTCTCGCGCCACGGCCACTAGCCTTATCCCGCGCATGCGCGAAGCCGGTTTTTCCTTCCCCTTCGGGTTCACAGCTGGTAGGCGGGGCTAGCCGGGGGGCGGGGACCAGGAAAGAGGCCGCTTGTCGCCCCAGCCATCAGCTCTCTGCCTTCCCATTGGCTGTCCCCGACGGCCAATGACAGCGCCACAATCGTGGGAATTAGAGGGGGGGATTGGTGTAAATTGCCGAGTTCATGAGGGCGTCCTTGGGAAGGTGGGGGGAAAGTGTGACGTCACATAAATCTGTAAAGAATGGGGATCTTACGTCACATGTTACATTCTTTCTCTGGAAGTTCATGATTATAATGAAAGCATTTATTTGATTGGGATGATTTTATACTAAACATGCCTGTTGGAAATATTTTAGAAGAACTTGAAGACATACAGTAGCAATAATAAGTAGTGTTCATTTTTGGGTTCTTTCTCTCAGTTCCACTATTTTTTCAGCTGTTCCCAAGTTATTAATTATGAACTCATTAGTAATATAAAGTAATCTTTAAAATTCCCGCCCTGGAAAAATATTTTAGAAACACAGCTGTTGTTTGAAAAACGGAAACTCTTGTGTCAGCAAAACTTTGTGCATGATTACTCAGAAAAGCAATTTTTGAAATCACGTATTATGGAGAGAACTGAGCAGGAAGCTTTTCTGTTCAGGAGTTTTGTCTTTTCCCCTGCCTAATCCTGCATCTGCAAAACCTAAAGAGATTATGCTGCAGAAGTAAGCTATTCTTATCTGCTATTTTTATCTTTAAGTCCTTTTAAATTTACACCAAGGTCATTAGCATAGCAATTGGTAATATGACATACAGACCTTTGCTTAATTGTGGAATAAACCAACTTTTAGTATTAAAAGGTAAAATTTATTGACATGCGGTATATGCAAGATGATAGCATTATATATACATCCCTGTTTTGTAAGCCTAAAGCAAAATATGAGCAATGGGAATGAAGAGTATCCCTGCAAGCTGTCATGTTCTCCAGTAGAAGAGAATATTTGTAGCTCCAAGTAGAACTATGGGATTCCTGGTGCCTCTGAGCTTGATAATTTGCTTGCAAACATTTCATTATTATATTATGTAGCATTATTTGTCTTCGGTTATCAGGTCATCATCCAATTTCATACACAGAACTCCTCCTCTAGGGACAACTACAAAAAAGATACAGAATAATTTTTTTTAAAAAAAAGCCCTAGATATTTGCAATCTAGAACACTGAAGCTTTTCCTCTGAAATTCCACTTTTCTGGAGTGGCACAGGGTCTCCTGTCTGTGCAAGGGGCTGGAATAGAAAACCTCCCACATCCCTTCCAACTCTGTTATTCTGCTATTTTGCAAAAACCTCTATTTCTTTTAAGCCCAGCGGAACTCTGGGCACCGCGCCTTTTGTTTCCGTTCCTACCCTGACCGTGACTCCCCTCAAGCGTCGCTTTCATTGGCTCAGGCTCGGCCCTCGCGCGCTTACTCCCGCGTCAGCGATTGGCTACTCAGCGACTCAGCGGCGGTCGCCCGGGTGACGGCTGCGGGGTGCGCCTTCACATGCGGTCCCCCATCGCGCCGCGAAGGAGCCATGGCCAGCGTCCACGAGAGCCTCTACTTCAACCCCATGATGACCAACGGCGTGGTCCACGCCAACGTATTCGGCATCAAGGACTGGGTCACCCCCTACAAGATGGCGCTGCTGGTGCTGATCCGGGAGCTGGGCCGGACTGGGCCGCAACTCAGCCTGCTCGAAAAGCGGCGGCTCAACCGGCTACTGCTGCCCCTCTTGCAGGTCGGGGGTGCTGGAGGGGAGAAAGGGGCGGCCTGCATCCCTTTATTTATTATATGGTTCCATATTCTGTATGAATTCATCAGTTGGATTAATTCAGGAATTCATGTTTCAATGAATTGTGAGTTAATGGATTGTGTGAACACGGCCATTCTAAGTGTTAGTGTTACTTTTTTATTTAGGGTCCTGATATGACACTGTCTCGTTTGATTCGAAGTATTGATGAATGCTGCTCTGAAATAGCAAATTCTGTTCAAACAAGGTATGTCTTTTTCCTTCTGTTGCAAATGCCGGTTTGTTTTATTTGTGTTCACTCTTGTTTGCTTACCAAGAAGACTTGTTAGTGGACATAAATGTGCTTTGAAGGATGCAGTTAAGGCTTTAATAAATTTCTCCAGGTTTTTGGTACTTTATGTGAAAAGAAAATTTGTTTTACAAGTTTGAAAAGATTTCTTGGGTGAAGAAGCTAGTTAATCCTTTTTTGGGTGGAGTTGGTTCTACAATTTCAATTCTAATTTCAAAATTATTTTCTAACATTCATCGTTTGGGAGGGACTATTGTTCATATGCTTTGCATACACAACATTGCAGTATCCTCTGTTGGCTTCCCTTACAGAATCAAGCTGATGGCAGAAGGGGAATTGAAAGATATGGAACAATTCTTTGATGATCTTTCAGACTCATTCAGTGGAACAGAACCAGAAGTTCACAAAACAAGTGTTGTAGGTAAAAAATCTGTTGTAAGTCGAGCACTACCTGTACTGCAGTGTGATCCCTCTAGAGCTGATGAGGTAGGAGAAGAGGCAAGTCCACAATAATAGTGTACTCCTTGTCTCTGCAGGCTTGTTTCTGCGCCACATGATCCTGGCCTATAATAAGCTTTCATTCAGCCAAGTCTACAAGCTTTACACAGCTCTCCAGCAGTACTTCCAAGCTGATGCCAAGAAAGGGAGGGGAGATGAGAGTGAAATGGAGCTGACACGTTGCGGAGAACCGGATGAGGAAATGGAGAAAGAAGAACTTGACGGACCATTCAGGTTAGTATTTATTCATTTCTAGGAAATATAGGTAGTCCTCAACTTACAACAGTTCCTTTAGTGACCATTCAGAATTACAACGGCACTGAAAAAAGTGACTTATGACTGTTTTCCATAGTTATGACTTTTGAAGCATCCCCATGGTCATGTGATCAAAATTCAGGTCACCAGTCATATTTATGACCTTTGCTGTGTCCCCCAGGGTCACGTGATCCCCTTTTGTGACCTTCTGAGATGCAATATCAATGGGGAAGCCAGATTCACTTAACAACCGGATTAGTAACTTATCAACTGCAATAATTCACTTAACAACTGTGGCAAAAAAGTTGTAAAATGGGGCAAAACTCATGTCTCGCATAGTGACAGAAATTTTGAGCTCAGTTGTAGTCGTAAGTCAAGAGCTAGCTGTATTTAGGCAGCCCCAATCTAGGAGGACTCTGAGCAGCTTATTATTCAGACGATATTGTACATAATGTTAAAGGCACAAAGTCTGGAGAAACCAACAACCATCAAATAAGCCAAAACACACAGAAGGAGTGCTATTCTCTTTATCCCAAAACTGGGGGAATAGCCTGGTTTTTAGAGCCCATTTAAATCAGGAAGCGGTAGAAACTATGTACCCTGCTATACTTAAGAATATCTCAATTCTGGTTTCTGAATAAAAGCCAGGATTGATCCCAAGATTCCCTGGTTTGTGTGGCCAATTCAAACTCTTGGATAAATTTGACTGAAAGTTCTGAAATTGTTCTGTTGTGTACATTTCAGCAGGAGGGGGCCCATTATAAAGCTATCGCTTTATCTGTACCTAGGAAAATAGTTTGCAGGTTCTCAGAGCCTGTGACACCTGGTAGATTTCTGTCCTGATTTTTTTGCCCTTTTTGAAACAATTTGAAACTCTTTGCTACTTCTGTCCTTTCTAAGTTTCTGGTGAAATGTCATAATGGGTTCTCTCTTTGAAGGGAGGAAGAGATATCCTGCAATGGCCCACTCTCACAGAAGCAAGCGGAATACTTCCTCTCACAACAGGTATGTTAATTGTTAAGCTCAAGTCCGACTGAGTAGTTTGGTGTAATCTATTTCCCTTCACAGCATACTTAATATATCAGAAGATGAACAGTGGGATGTGGAAGAGATTCTGTAGCTTGAGGACTAAAGTCTGGATATATCTGCAATTCCAAAAGGCGAAGTGTTTTATTTAATAAATTTCCCGTTATCTCCCTAAAATAATATCTGCTGTCGACTGCACAAGAGGCATGCCACAATATAAGGGGGGCTTCTCAACCTTGGCACCTTGGAACATGCGTGGACTTCAATTCCCAGAATCCCTCAGCTAGCATGAAGTCCACATATCTTTAAGTTGCTAAAGTTGCAAAACACTTGATATGTGCAAAGTTCTGTTGCGGTGTTGACTGCAAAAAGGTTCAGTTTATATTGTTCCAGTAAATTTACACCTGTGATCAGAAACAAACGATTCTTTTTTGAAATTTAATTCTAGGCATCTTTGTTGAAAAATGATGAGACCAAAGCACTTTCTCCGGCATCTTTGCAAAAGGAGCTGAACAACTTGTTAAAATTTAACCCGGATTTTGCTGAAGCGGTAGGTTAGATTAATTTGTTTTCTTAGATCCCACCTTACTGGGTGTATCGCATTGCAATGGGCTAAGCAGCATGAGTGGCAGGGAGGCAAGGCTGACTTGGGAGCTGCATGGGTTGCTCTGGTGTTCTGATCCAGGTAGTCCTCGATTTAGAAGCACAATTAGGACCAGAACATCTGTTGTTAAGTGATGCGGTCCTTACGCGAGTCAGGCCATATTTTTATGTGTCCATCCAGCCATGGTTTGTAAATTGTACTCTGTGACTGGATGTCATGTAAGAGCCCACCATTATGAACCATGCTGGTGCAGTGGTTAAAATGTGGTGATGCAGGCTAATTCTGCTGACTGCCGGCTACCAGCAGTTCGATTTTCACTGGCTGAAGGTCGATTCAGCCTTCCATCCTTCCGAGGTCGATAAAATGAGGACCCATCTTCGTATATGGCTCTGGCAGTTTATACAAATTTGGTTGTTTCTTTCTAGCATTATCTGAGCTACTTAAACAGCCTTCGAGTCCAAGACGTCTTCAGCTCAACGCACAGTCTCCTTCATTACTTCGACCGCTTGATTCTCACTGGGGCAGAAAGCAAAAGTAACGGGGATGAAGGTTATGGGCGAAGCCTCAGATACGCTGCCCTTAATTTGGCTGCACTGCACTGCCGGTTCGGTCACTAGTGAGTTGTTTTTTATCTACTTTCAGAAGCCGACAGGTATCCACCCCCTTTCCTGCCTACTTGAGTCTCCTATCTTCTCAGATGTGGGTTGGGATCTGGGTCGAGTATATCTAATAACTCCTAACAATAAAATAATATAAATGGTAAAATGTTCTTTCTTTTGTGCCCCAAAGAAAATTGAATTTCTGCATCTTCCTCTAAGAAAACTAGGTTGAGTTGCCAACCTCCTTAGCGGCTGGTTCTATATTTATAAGAACATATATTACTTAACGGCCAGAATTGAGCCCCCCAAATTTCTGTTACTGAGACGTTTGTTAAGTGAGTTTTGCCCCATTTTACAACCTTTCTTGCCACAGTTGTTAAGTGAGTTCACTGCACTTGTTAAATTAGTAATACGGTTGTTAAGTGAATCTGGCTTCCCCATTGACTTTGTTCGTTGCAAGATTGCAAAAGGGGATCACATGACCCCGGGACACTGCGACCATCATAAATATGACTCGGTTACCAAGCATCTCAATTTTGATCATGTGACCACAGGGATGCTATAATGGTTGTAAGTGTGAAAACCGGTCATAAGTCACATTTTCTGTGATGTAACTTAGAACGGTTGTAAGTTGGGGACTACCTGCATGTTGTTAAGGGTCCACATATTAATAGAGCCTGAACAGGGGGTGTCTTTTCTCTCCGATTGCAGCCACCAGGCTGAGCTGGCCTTGCAGGAAGCCATCCGGATTGCCCAGGAATCGAACGATCACGTCTGCTTACAGCACTGCTTGGTAAGCTGGTGGAGGCTTCATAGGAGAAGATCTCAGATCCTTCTTACCACTGTTCTGTTCCAGTGCTTTGAGTCCAGATGGCAGTTGCCGTGAATCTAGGATCAAATAGGCCAAACACAGGATCCGACCAGTTTTGAGCTGGCTTTGAAAAGAAAAAAAAAAATGGCTCCTTGAGCTTCCTTTCATGGAATCAGTGAGAGCAAGCCAGGCGGCGTGCAAGGATGCTTCTGCTGACTCTGAAATCCCCAATACTGGGGTACATACTGGGGTGTCCATGGAGACCAGTCTTCTGAGTGAAGGGACTTCTCAGTCCTCAAGTAACAATCCTGTTTGTCTCCTGTCACTTTTTTATCAGAGCTGGCTGCACATCTTGGAACAGAAAAGATCGGATAGCTGCATACTTCTAGAGCATTCCGTGAAGAAAGCTGTATATTTTGGATTGCCAGTAGGTTGTCGATCACTTGGTCCATTTCTTTTCTTTTTTTTTTCCTGTTTTTAAAGTCCCTTTCCCCTGCTTGGCCTTTCTCTCTTTTGCTTGCGTTAGTAACAGCTTCCTCTTTTAAAACACCGTCTCTCCTCCTTTCCTAGTATTTAGCCTCTCTGGGGATCCAGTCTTTGGTCCAGCAAAGAGCTTTGGCAGGAAAGACAGCCAACAAGCTAATGGATGCTTTGAAAGACTCCGACCTCTTGCACTGGAAACACAGCTTGTCTGAACTGATCGATATTAGCATCGCCCAGAAGACGGCCATTTGGAGGCTGTACGGGCGCAGGTACGTCCCACGTTGGTCACGGCAGAAGGTCTGAGTCGCTGTTAGGGATTCTTAGGAAGCTCAGAAAATCTGAAATTGTCAGGAAGCCGCATTCAAACATATTTATTAGATTCATCTGAATGAAAATTACGAGCGCAAAAGTACGCCTGTAGTCTAGTAAATCCCAGGAACTGAATATGTCAGTGCGCCTGCAAACACGGGAAAAAGTACAGAATACATTGTACTGGTTTCCATAATGGCCACTGCAGGATTAAGCTCTTGAATGGCGCAGAGCCCTTTTCTTTTAAAAGGTACTGAGCGCCTCTGTTCAGAATGGAACAGAAGGAACGGGCCAAATGCCAAGGCTGTTATTCTCTGCCCATCAGTAGCCTGGGTTTTTTTTTCCTCTCGCCCCAGCACAATGGCGCTCCAGCAGGCCCAGATGCTCTTGAGCATGAACAGCCTGGAGGCCGTGAACGTGGGCGTTCAGCAAAACAACACAGAGTCTTTTGCCGTGGTGCTGTGCCACTTGGCGGAGCTGCATGCAGAGCAGGTGGGTGGCGCCTTTCTGTGGGCTGAGATTTCCCGCTATCTTGAATGATCTTTGCAATAGTCTTGGCAAGTGCCCTTCTTAAGGTTGAAGAAGAGAGTCGGTTTTGGGGGGATCACCCGGAGTCGCACTCCATCTGTCTCATCCAGATAGATCCCTTGCTGGTCCTGCTGCTATACTCAGCGCTCTGTCCCTATAAAGCAGCATTTCTCAATCCTGGCCGCTTTAAGAGGTGTGGACTTCAACTCCCAGGATTCCCCAGCCAGCATCTCTGCAGGTGTTTGTACAACTTGTACTTGGGAGGAGCTGTTTATATGACACTTCAGCATCTCATCTAAGTGATCCATGGTGCCCTAAAACAAAGCAATATCTTAACAAAGAACAAGACTCTTGAAAGTATTTAAAATAGTTCAGCTTTATTAAATGTATTTGATAATATGTTAAATCTTTTTTTCAGGAAGTATTTTTTTGTAAGCCGCCTAGAGTCACAGAAAAGTGAGATGGGTGGCCATATAAATTTAATGAATAAATAAATAAAAGCACTTCTTCGCACTGTGCATTTTTTATTTTTGAAACTAAGGATGAAAATCTCTTAGCTCTGACATACATTTCTACTCTGTTCTTTCCAATCTCACTTTTTATACATCAGGGTTATTTCACGGCGGCCTCTGAGATTCTGAAGCATCTTAAAGAGAGATTTCCCACCAACAGTCAGCACGCCCAGGTGAGCTTCAGCAGTAAACCCTGAGAGAACAATATTTTCTGACATTTATTTATGTGTTTGCTTACAAAATTCTGTGAGTTGAATTATTAACATTATGCTGGCTGCTTGTTTCTGGAAGTAACTTCTAAATAGTGCCAGATTTGGATTTTGTCATACAAAAATAATGTTAAAGAGAGCTAAAAAAAAGAAAAGAAAAGATTTAAATCTAAACCCAAAGTGTATTAATGCATAAACCAGACTATCGTAACCTGCTTCTTTTTGGATGTGTGGTGTTGCAAATCCCACAATCCTGGGGCAACAGGATCCATTGCCGAAATTGAGGTTGATGGGAGTCCCAACACATCTGGGATGTCATATACATTGGGACAAACTGGACAGACAACGATACGTGTGGGGTGTGCAAAACTTCGCAAGCAGGTAAAAATCCAGTTCTTTTTAAAGCTAGACTCTTGTCTGATCTTCTTGCGCAGCTGTGGATGCTGTTTGATCAGAAAATCCAGTTTGACCGAGCCATGAACGATGGCCGATACCATGTCGCCGACTCGTTGGTGGCCGGCATCACTGCTCTGAATAGCTGTGAAGGGGTTTACAGGTGAGAGATCACCCAACGGCAGAAAGAAATAAGCGCAAAGTGTGTTTGTGTTGCTTTCGAGTCGTGGGAGCTGCTTCCCTAGCACTTGAAATGCAGTCCTGGGATCACGGGGAAGGGACAGTGTTTGATGATGGCTGGAAGTGCTGGACAGGCCACAAAGCCCCTTTTTCAAGGCTACCGTAACTCTGAACGGCCATTAAACAAGTAGCCGTAAGTCAAGAACTGAACCTGTGGAAAGCCACATTAGTTTCTCACTTGATTTTTCTCCTGCGGGTGGGCTGGGGCTCATCAAATCCCTGGATGCTGGGTCCTGCTGTGAAAAAAAAAATGTTTATTTTTTTGTTAAAATTATTTGCCTACTATTTCACCATGGGCGGCTTGCAACAATAAAACAGAAAAAGAGGAAGAAAAATGTAAGCATAACAATAACAAAGGAATAAAACAATACAAATAAACCGTGGCACTAATACCTTTTCTGCTCTTCCGCGCTTGCCTTTGGTCTTTCAGGAAGGCAGCTTTGCTCAAAGCCCAGAATCAGATGTCCAAGGCACACAAACTCCTTGAGAAGCTCTTGATCCACTGCCATAAAGTCAAAAACACCGAGATGGTCATCAGGTAAGGCAAAGGATGCTCTTGCTTGCTTCTGTATTCGCAAGACCCACTGAGTGGCCAGCCACAATCACACGCTCCAGAAATGCACAGTGCTTAATCTGAACCTCCGGAGGCAGAGCTTAAAAGTCTCTTGGGAATGTAAGATCAAGAGGGCTGGTGTGTGAACTACTTTTTTTTCCAGGAGCTCATTCTGATCCCTCCTTTCTGTTTCTTCTCCCCTCCCTCGGGGGCAGTGTCCTGCTCTCCGTCGCCGAGCTGTATTGGCAGTCTCTGTGCCACACGATCGCTTTGCCCGTCCTGCTGCAGGCCCTGGCCCTGGCCAGGGAATACCGCCTGCAGTACTTGGCTTCGGAGACCATCCTCAATTTGGCTTTTGCCCAGGTACTGCTTTGCTCCTCCTTGCGCTTCTCTGTCTGCTGGATGGGGACCGAACCCCTTCCGGAAAACCTACAGCCCCCTGACATCCCCCACGAAGGGGGTTAAGCGGGTTGTTCATTGACTAAAGCACATTTGGCTGGCGTCATGAAATACTTAGCCACGAGGGGTCCTGGGTGCTTTCTGAGCTGGCTTGTTTTCTTGCAGACGTTTCATTACCCAAACTAGGGAATAATCATCAGTGCTAGAAGGGAGTGGGGTTTGCTGTCAGCTTATATTCTGGTGGCTTACCCTGTCAGTTTCTTTGGTTGGGTTGTTTACTGATGGCTTCTGTGGTGGTTCCTTGATTGGGGTGTTGTTTACTTGATTGTTGGTCTGATGTTAAGCTTGGAGTTAGTCTATGCTGACCTGGGTGCTGATTGCCAGTGGGGAGGTGCTGGGGTCTTTTTGTTCCCTTTTGGGCTGGTTGATCGTCTCTTTTGCATCTAGATGTTGTTAATAGGTGTTTCTAGATGGCTAATATGTCAGAGTGCCAGGCTTCTAGAAATTCCCTGGCGTTTTTGGATTTGCCTTGGGCTAGGATGGTCTAGGTTTACTTAGCCATAAACCATGCTTTATAAGCTACAAATAAATCTCCCTTTGATTTCATGTGAGGATGTACCGTCAGTTGCAAGGGTGTCCTGTCAGTCTTCCCGCCTCCTGCAGGGTCAAATTCTTCTAAAATAAGTTTGCCCCTGGGGAGTCGGCCAAAGAGGTAGAGAAGCGAGGAAGTGATGGTCGCCTTCGTGTTTGCTTCTTTTCCAGCTGATCCTGGGGATTCCCGAGCAAGCCCTCAGCATCCTGCATATGGCCATCGAGCCCATCCTGGCCCACGGGGCCGTGCTGGACAAAGGAGCTGCAATGTTTTTGGTGGCCAAGTGCCAGGTGGCTTCTGCAGCCTCTTACGACCCTGCAAAGAAGGCAGAAGGTAGCTCTCCACGCTGCAGGGGTCCTTGGAAGATCTCGGGGGAGATGCCCTTCGAGAAAACGGCAGACTTAAACGGGCATTTCCACCAGTGTGGGCCCCTTGATAGAAAGGCACCTCGCCTGGGGCTTCAGAAAGAGCCAAAATGAGTAGCCATTGGCTACTCTGAATCCCCGAATTTCCTGATTCCCACCCCCACTTCCCCCATTTTGTGTGTTTGTGCCTTCGAGTCAGTGTTGACTGCTGTCGACTGCCTCGACTAATCCCTGCCATTGCCTCCTTCTTAGGGCTAAGAGGAAGGGACTGGCCCAAGGTCACCCAGCTGCCTTCGAGGGTGGGACTCCCAGTTTGTAGCTTGGTGCTTTTAACCACTAGACCAAATTGCCCTCGACTATTTGGCTGGTTGGCGGGCATCTGTTAAAATATCCATTTTGAAAATAGGGCGGATCTAATTGAAAACTTCTGGGTTTTTTTTCCCTCTCTCTCCCTCCCTCCCTCTCTTTCTTTCTTTCTTTCTTTCTTTCTTTCTTTCTTTCTTTCTTTCTTTCTTTCTTTCTTTCTTTCTTTCTTTCTTTCTTTCTTTCTTTTTGTCCTGCAGCTCTGGAAGCAGCTATCCTGAACTTGAACGAAGCCAAAACCTACTTTGCAAAAGTGGAATGTAAAGAACAGCTGCGGGACATCGTCTATCTGCAAGCCAGGCTCTTCCACAGCCTGGGCAAGACCCAGGAGAGGAACCAGTGCGCCATGCTCTTCCGGCAGCTTCATCTGGAATTCCCCGCCCGGGGCGTCCCCCTGATCAGCACTTTCAAATGAGGCCTCTGATCAAAGGAATCCAGTCTTTGGGGAAGGCCAGTGGAGCCCCACAAGTGGAACGAGATCTGTAGATCCTTCCTCCACAGTCCCCCCCCCCCCCGTCTGTGTGTCTCTCCCTGCGCCCTGTTCGGTCTCTGCAAATGGCAATAAATTGCTCTCTGGGTGCCCAGATGTGGGCCTGTGTTCAGATGCCCTTCGTGCCCGGCTTGTCTGTTCTTGCAGATCGAGGCCCACTAACCGATCCTGGTTAAAGGTGGCCTGCGTGCCCCAGACTGCCTTTACCAATTGGGTCCCACTGCATGTGGTCCTCGATTTACGACCACGGTGGAGCCCAAAATTTCTGTTGCTAAGCGAGACCCTTGTTAAGTGAGTTTTGCCCCGTTTTACGACCTTTCTCGCCACCGTCGTTAAGTGACATTTGTGACCGTTGCAGTATCCCCACATCGCCTGATCAAAATTCAGACGCTTGGCAACTGACTCGTATTTGTGACCGTCACAGTGTCTCAGGGAGGGGTGTCACACGATCTTCTCTGGCCCCCTTCTGATGAGCAAATTCAATGGAGAAGCCAGATTCACCTCACAGCCGCAGCGACTCACTTAACAGCTGTGGTGAGAAAGGTCATAAAACGGGGCAAAACTGACGTAACGCCTTTCTCACTTAGCAACGTAAAGTTTTGGCCTGAGTTGCGGTGGTGAGTGGAGGGCTGGCCGTATCGATCTATCCGGCAATCTTTTTTTTTTTTTTTTCCGCAAAGTGCAGCGGCTCTTGGCCGGCGTAGCTGAGCTTTCAAAGCTGGACGTCCATCTTTGTCCCAAAGTCCATCGGAGACCGATCTGTTTTCCAAATGAGAAGCTCTCAGAGCCCATCATCCCCCTTCTTGCATTATTGAAGCCTCTCTGATGGAGGCAACATCCCCTCCCGTTGCTCAGGAGACGCTTTTAGCCTAGGTAAAGAGGCTCTTCTGGAGTTTCTCCTGGCCTCGCAGCGGCTCCGGGCGGCTAAGAGTCCCTCTCTCTGGGTGGGGGAACTTTTAAAAGCTTGGCAAGGCCTGGATGGGGGCAGCGCCAGTTGCAGGAGGTTCTGAAATGCTGCGTTTCTTCTCTCAGCCCTAGAGATTGTGCAGGTGAGGAAGGTGGAAAAAAGAACTCAAGATTTGCCCCACTGATGTCACGCACGGCGGGACTGTAATCCTAAGTACGGGCAGTCCTCGACTTGCAACAGTTCATTTAGTGACCAAACTTAACAACGGCACTGGAAAAAAAGGGGCTAAGTTTTTCCCACTTAGCGTCCCCGTAGTCATGTGATTTACATTCGGATGCTTGACAACTGACTCGCATTTATGACGGTGGCAGCGTCCTGGGGTCAGGTGGTTCCTTTCGCGACCGTCTGACACGCCAGATTCACTTAATGGCCGGGTTAGCGACAGAAATGTTGGGCTCGCTTGTGGTCGTAGGTTGAGGACTACCTGTGTATTTGGCCACCCAGGTGCGAATGCAAAGGAAGCGTGGAAAACACGGGCAACTCTTTTCCCATCCTTCTCCCTGAGGTTGGGGGGCTTTTAAGGCTGGGGGGGGACGCCCTCCCCTCCCTGAAAAGTTGGAGCTTTTTTTTCCTCCCCCCTCCCCCCCAAATCTCTGCAGTTTGCTCCTGGGGCAAAGGGAGAGGGGAAAGTTCTCCTGCCTGGATGCCTTTTCTGCTGCTCAGCCCAGGGGGGGGGAAAGGGGGGGGAGGGAGGAAGAGAGAAAAGGGGGGAGAAGAGCTTTGGGAGGTGGCCTGATAACAACCCCCTCCCCTCCCTTGCACCAATCAGAGCCGGTCTCGACAGCCCAGCTGAACCAATCAGCGGCCAGCTGCTTGAAGCCGACTCTCACTTTCTAGACAGGAAAAGCTGCGGGCACAGCCAATCGGGGTACAGCTGCCAGCATCTGGGGCGTCTGGCTGCCGTTGTCGTGCCATGGACACCTTCCTAGACAGGCTGCGGGAAGCGCTGGGTCTGTAGCTGCCTGGATCCCCCCCACCGGTTGGAGCCACAGGCAGGTAGGCTGGGATGACGGTGGAGGAAGAGGAGGCAGGAGGGGCCGCCTGGGCTTCGTAGCATCTTTCCTTCCCCTGCATACTTTCTTCCTGGGTGGGAGGGGGTGGCTTTGGCTCGGAGGGGGGGTGAAGGGAGGGAGGCAGCCCCTAGATTTGGGGCAAGGGGTCTTTGGGAAGGGGAGAGATGCTTTTTCTGCTCGCCTCCCACCTGCCACATCTGGGAAAAGGATGGCAGCACCGTGTCCATCTGGCTGCTTTCAGGGGAAAAAGGCATGGGGCGTTGGGAGTCCCCCTGGCAACTAACGTCTGTTTGGAGAAGCCAGGAAGGGCTGGGAGAGCTAGGAACGAATCCACCGGCAGGAGGACTCTCCCGTTCTGGGGGGAATAAAACCAGCCACTTCAAATGCCATCCCTACTCCTTTCAGTTGCCATGTAGAGCAAACCTACAGAAGGAGCGGAGAACTGATGCTCCAGATCCCTCTTTGGGTCTCGAAGGACTGTGTTGGGTTTTTGTTTTGTTTTTTTCAAAGTTTGGTTTTGGGGTTGAACTGCATGTTACGTGCAGAGCGTTCAGGACACGGCTGGGCAGGAGGGAACCGAGTGGAGGAATCCCCATCTGGAGCAGGGGCCGTTCTGCGGAAGACTAGCCAGGGCGATAGGAGGGATGGAGAGTTTACAGTGGACTCTCCGGAGGGCGGTTGAAATCCATGAGACAAGTGGGATGATTTATGGCCGATGGGAGGAGAAGGGGTTCTTTCTGGCTTCATAAATTAAACCCCTTGTCCTGAATGACCTGGGCAGGATTGGGACTTGCCAGGTATCTCAGAAGGAAATAGTCAAAGGTTTGTTTAATCCTTGGCAGACAAGCCAGCACAGAGCTATGCTGGTTGGGGAATTCTGGGAGCTGAGGTCCACACCTTTTCAAGTGGCCAACGTTGAGAAACGCTGATTTAGAACGTGGGTCTTTAGCAGGTGTGCTTTTACACGGTGAATCCTTTTGCCTAGAAATTTGGGTCAGAAATTAAACAGGCCAGCCAGCTCATATCTTCCCTCCTTCCCATTAGCTAACGTGCAACGAAGGGGAGGCGATGTGTGTCTGTGTGTCTTCCACACCCAGCTCTCATGTTCCAGTTGAACACGGAAAAACAGAAGTGCCCACTGAGGCAAATTATTAAGAGGGGGAACTCTCCTTTCCTCTCCTATCTGGGGTCAGGAGTGCAGATCTCCGTGTAAATCAGATCAGCTCCTGTCTTGTTAGGATGCAAGAAATAATTTAAAAGAAGTAGAGTGGAAGTTAATTTTGTGTTTGTTCAGGAAGCATATGGCTTCCAGCTCAATATCCTTCTCAATTTCAGAAATTCAGAAATAACTTCCTTCTCTTAGACTCACTCCTTGAATTCTGGGCTTCTTTTATGAGCTGAAGCTGCTGTTGTTATCGTTACTATTATTTTTGAACAGCCTTGAGGCTTGTTTCTTGCCTCACCACCGCTGATAGGCAAAATGCACCGTCTGTGCAGTTCTGCGTAGATCCACGCCTCCAGTCCAGGTCCCTGAGAGCTGCACAGTGTGGCCGGGGTGTTGTGGGGGTGGGGGCTCTGGAGCCACCTGGCTCTTTCTGAATTCTCCAGAACAAGATGGGTCTGCAGCAGGCATGTCAAGCGTGCCCTTGTGCACCCAGAAGCTGGACATTGGGATGAATAAATGGGAGAAGCAACAAGAGGGAGGGAGGGAGGAAGAGAAAGAAAGAAAGAAAGAAAGAAAGAAAGAAAGAAAGAAAGAAAGAAAGAAAGAAAGAAAGAAAGAAAAACTTCGGCAGAGGTCCTCCTGATGCTTTGCCTCCTTCCAGTTGCTTCTGTCTCTTTGTCCTTGTTCTCCTCTGTTTTATCTCCTGCCTCCCTTTTTCCAAGCTGCAAAGTGTTATCTCTACAGATTCCCCACATACCGTGGGCTGAGAGGGGGGGGGGGAGAGGGAGAGAGAGAGAGAGAAGGGAAGCAAAGCAAAGCAAAGCATGGCTTGGGCAAATGTGCCCTGAGTTGAAGGCTGGGGCTTTTGTTTCTCTTCCATCTCCCCCGCTTTTTTCAGACTTCATTGTTGCAAGGATGTATTTTCTCTCCAAGCGTGTGGGACTGAAAAGAGAGTCCTGGAATTAAGTTTCAGATGTGTGGGATTAGAGACGATCTGAAGGCTGAAACGTTCCCACGGAACCCAGCTTAGAGGGTGGTCAGACAAAGGAGGGCTTGGAAGCCACAAGGTGCCTGCAGCTCAGAAGGACAAATTCTGGCAGGTGCAGCCCGACCATTAAAGACCCAGGAACCTTCCCTTCTTTCACATTGGTGAATGTCATTTTCCCCATCCCCAGAAAACTGGTCCTATCGGACGACTGCATCCCTCAACCTGGCCTGCAGAGAAGGACTGATCTGGGTTGGATCAAACATCCAGATGGGAGTCCCGAAGGTGCTATTTCAACAGGTGAGCGGACTTTCTTTGTTTTTTCCTTGAAGATGTTTTGCTTCTTGTCCAAGAAGCTTCTTGAGTTCTGGACTTTGAACTGAAGAAGCGTCTTGGATGAGAAGCGAAACGTCTTCAAGGAAAAACAAAGAAAGTCCGCTCGCCTTTTGAAAAAACCCCTTTGGGACAACCATGACCTGGATGATGGAGAATCCCCATAGACATTTAAGATCGGAGGACCTCAGCGCCCAGAATTCCCAGCCGGCAAGGGTGGCCTTCAGAACCTGCTGATCGTGGTTAATTCCATGAATCGTGGTTAAGCCACCTGATTCGGTTCAATTCACCTGTAGGTTAATTGTAAAACATTCTCTGTTGCTTTAGCTTACATCTCAAAGCCATGCTGTGGTTTAATCTATCAATGCACGGGGTCATAATTGAAGCAAACTACGGTTTAGCACATTCCATCAAGCCAGCCTGTCTTTTCTCTCCAGCTTCTGATTTGTGACTGAATGTCAGCCTTAATTCAGCCTGGAGAAATCTTTTCATTATACTTCATTATCTCTGCTCTCTTTCTCTCTGAATTGCTTTTAAGCATCGGCCTAATGGCTTTGGGGAAATTTTAGAACGCCAAGGAGAGTGGAGAGAGCATTAGGATGGGATTCTGAGCTCATCCCAACTGGTTAAAATCAGTGCGGGAGGCTGTTTCGTTTAATGGTGGAAACAAAAAAACGGAAAAAATGGAAATTTTAAGTCTGGGATTAATTAGAAGAATGGGTCTGTTGCAAAGCTATTTTTAAAATGAATAGAATAGAATAGAATAGAATAGAATAGAATAGAATAGAATAGAATAGAATAGAATTAGAATAGTGATAAGGAATAGAAGACAATAGAAATAGAATAGAAATGGAATAGAATAGAATAGAATAGAATAGAATAACTTTATTGTCACTTTAAATGTACACTAACCAACATAGATTAAAATGAAATTTTGTTGCGTTCAGCTCTCAAAGGGTAAAAAATAGGGTTAGTTTACTGTTCAAGGCTTGTGTGCTATTGCTATAACCCAGCTTCTGTTTTAATTTCAGATCATTTTCCTACAAGCATTTTTTTTTCTAATTTTATTTTCTAAATTTCTAAATAATTCCCAAGCCTTCTTGCTAAATAGAGCAGAGAGGAAAAAAACTTTTCCCCCCTATGGAAACAGGGGGTCTAAAACCCATCTTGAGGTCTGAAATCCATGGGAAGCCCCGTCTCCTTCTGCCCCAACCTCAGCCTTCCTCTGGCCTTCAATGGCCCCTCTTAAACCTGATGTGGTCCGCCTGAAAAGCGAGGCCCTAATACCCAGCAATGTGTGTCTGCACAAAACTAAGAGATTTCTCTCTCTTTTTTATTGTTGTATTTGAAATTACTTTTTTTTTATTTAAGTTTGGGGGGGTGAGTGGTAAATCTGTCTGTTTTGAATGAGGAGGGAAAGGGGGTGTGCTTAGGGCATGTTATTTAGAAAGAAAAAAAGTGATGGTAAAAGAGTTATTGGCACCTGTCACTCACCTGCGAATCGCTTGGCCTGAGAGTGGAATTGGAGCAGGAATTTTAAGGAGGGTAGATTAATCGGCTCTAATTTTCTGGAGTCCTTTTTTTCTCTTCTCTTTTTGACTTAGCCTGTTGTCCTTCTCACGTTCAACTGCTTGGTCTCATTTCTCCTTTGTCCTGCTCCAGCGTCCAGGAGAGCGGCTGCCGCAGCATGGGGATTCAGCCGGTCAGCACATAATGCTCCCATGCGCCTCCATCGGCCCTGTCCCCGTGAAGCTCCTTCTCTGCCGTGACTTCCTTGGCCATGTGCAAGAGAAGACTTCCTGCTCGACGGATCTAAAATGTGACCTCCTGGAGCACCATGGAGTCCTGCGTGGTGGTAGCGGAGTGCGACTCTCCCCCCAGGTCCACAGCAGGCCAGCCGGAGGGGCTGGCGGATGAGGAACCCATGGAGCCGTGCGAGGAGCAGCGCCTTCTGGGCCCGGTTCCTGGAGGTCGTGAAGAACCAGGCCCGGCCGACCCTCCGAGGGCTTCCTCCAGAAAGACCAGGGAACCTTGGGTCAAAGTCAACCTTTCAAGTCGCAAGCTGTCTCTGCAAGAGAGGTCTCCCTCCGTCCAGTCCCCCAGCGGGAACATGGGGGTCAACGGGCGCTACATTTACCCTTCCCTCCCTTACTCCCCCGTCACCTCCCCACACTCTTCCCCACGTCTGCCCCGCAGGCCCACCATCGAATCCCACCGAGTTTCCATCACCGGATTGCAGGTAAGAGAAGCAACGTCCCTCCCGACTCAGTTTGGAGCCGAGGTTGCTTGTTTGCTCAGCGTTGTTAAAAGAAGGAGGAAAAAAGGAGAAAAAAAACAAAAACAAACAAGGGGAAGGAGAAAAGGTGGGGAAAAAAAGATGCAGAAATACGGTAAGTGGATGAAGGAATTAGGGAGACTGTATGGCTGTTTTTCCAGTATATTGTTGATAAGAAATGAACTGTAAAAAAAAAAAAGTACATTGAATTATTTTGGCAAGATGGGAAAGAATTTGATTCTCAGTGCCAAAATCTCCACATTTCTCCAGAAAGGAAAAGAAAAACCAATAATTATTGGAACTATTAGTACCGTTTTACACTTTTTTTGTGCTGTATACTTCTCAAGTCACTTCTTGTAAGAAGGGCAGCTATATAAATTGGATAGATAGTTAGATAGATAGATAGATAGATAGATAGATAGATAGATAGATAGATAGATAGATAGATAGAATGATGGGTGGATAAGATGGATTGATGGATAGATGGAAGGAAGAAAGAAAGAAAAAGAAAGAAAGAAAAAAAGGAAAGAAAGAAAGAAAGAAAGAAAGAAAGAAAGAAAGAAAGCATACTGACTGATGAATTCTGAAAGTCAGTCCACGCCTCTTAAAGTTACTGAGGTTGGCAAACATTGACTTAGAGAACTTGCAGGCAATTTGTCTTCTGCCATTAACCTCAGGGTGATGGTGAGTGGGGCCACACCTTGGATCACTGGGAGAATAAGTGCTTCGTGCTTTTTACGGCACTTACCTTCCAATTAACCCCACTGCATTTTAAGCAGAGAAAGGACGATCGAACGGTGCATTAAGCTCCGTTCCACGTCAAACCGAAGAGGAGCGTCCAATGGATTTCTGGACTTGGGGCTGTTTTTTGTTACTCCCGGGATTCTTAGGACTCCAGCGTCATTCTCAAAGACGGAAGGGTCTGGGGGCTCGGAAGCCCCTATTTCTGTCCCTTTTCCTGTTCTTGCAGAAGTCACTCTGGTTCCCCTGCCGTCCTTTTCGTGAGAAAAAGAGAGCCCCCCCCCCCGAATCCTCTTCCCCCAACTCTCGAAGGAGGAAATGAATAGAGCAAATGTATTCGCTCTATATTTATTTACTTAGCACGTTTACACAGCTGTCCGTCTGAAACAAGGGACTTGTGACTGTTTTTGATGCAACCATTGCAGCATTCCCCGTGGTCACTGGATCAAAATTCAGGCCCTTGGCAACCGACTCGTACTTACGACCGTTGCAATGTTTCGGGGGTCGTGTGATCCCCTTTTGCGACTTTCTGACCAGCAAAGTCCATGGGGGGAGGGGATCAGTCGTGGCCGTAAGCTGAGGACTACTGGTCCTAAAAGAAGGATGGGACTTTGTGCATCATTTAGTGTGTTTTGACCCAGCAAAGATTTTTTTTCCTTCTTTTTTTTTTTTTTTTGCCTCTTAGCAGAGCCTCTAAAATTGACCACATGGGCTCACAGTGGGACCTATCCTGTTTATTCAGAGAAAGGGGGAGGAAGAGAAATTAGGTGGGTTTTGGGTTTTTGTTTTTTTGCCATATATGTAGCTGAAGAGTTGCAGCGAAGCAGCTGGCTGATTAGAAACAAATGGGTGGGCTCCTGTGTTTTCATCCCCTTCTTTCCCAATTAAATATCAGAAAAAAAGATGCATTTATGCTAATACTCTCCCGCGCCCAGCGGGAATTCTAGGTGGTTCACTGCAGCAGATGGAGAAGGAAGCCAGTTGGCAAGACGAGGGGGAAAAAAAAAATTAAGAGAGGGTGGAATTAGCTTTCAGCTTCCTAATGTAAGGGAGCGCCCGATGGCTGGCCAGGTAAGAACTTGGCCTGCCTGGGTTTAGTTCTCTCTTTCAGATGCAGCTGGGGGCAAAAGCGTGTTTCGTAGAATCCCAGGGCTGGGGGGGACCTTGGAGGTGTTCTAGTCCAGCCCCCACCCCGAGGCAGGAGTCCTTATACCACCCCGGATAAAAGTTAGTCCAATCCTTTCTTGCAAACCTCCAGCACTCCCACCATTCTGGGAGGCCAGCTGTTCCGTGGATTTATCGTTCTCACTGATGCTGGTTTCCAGGAAACCGAAAACCTCTGGATTTTTCTAACTAGCAAACAAGCCAAGAATAGCCTGGAGTTCATACTTGGCCGTGGAAGGGAACCGTCAGAGATCCCAGCTCTGCTTTCTGCAGAGTTTCACTTAACAGCTGTGCAAGAAAGGTCGTGCAATGGCGCAAAGCTCACTTAACAATGTCTCACTTAGCAACAAAAACCTTGGACTCCATTGTGGCCGTAATTCAAGGACCACTTGTAAATATAAATAGCACAAATATCGGTATAAAATTATAAATAACCAGTTTATAAAAATGCATAAATAAATGCAACCGGCAACTGAATGTTTTCCAAGTGTTTTGAAGTCAAGGGTGGGGATAATGGTAGCCGAAGTCCCGGGCACCTCATCCCTGTCAGATGCTTCTCTGTTTGTATGTGTGCTTGTGTGTGTGTGTGTGTGTGTGTGTGTGTGTGTGTGTGTGTATTCCCACCCTCATGTTGGTGGCTTCTATGGAAACAATAACTTAACTGTGCGAATGGAGGAGGTTTTATGTTCCCAAAGGGGAGGAAGAGACACAGCTTAATGGCAGGTTGTTTGGCTATCGACTTTCGGTAATTCATTTTGCCTTTTCTCTTTCTCAGGATTGTGTGCAGCTCAATCAATACACTCTGAAGGATGAAATTGGAAAGGTAAATCACACACACACACACACACACACACAGTTCTTGCATAGTTGTTGCATATTGGGGATGGAAACTGACCTTCTGCCTTTGTAAATAAACATACAAATTAAAAGAACTTGTCAATCATTTCTGCAGCGTTTAGGACAACTGTTGTTTCCTTCCTGTTTTCTTCACCTACAGTTTGTGTGTGTGTGTTTGTGTGTGTTTCGCAGGGCTCCTATGGTGTTGTGAAGCTGGCATACAATGAAGATGACAACACTTACTATGTGAGTAAATGCTCATTGGCTGGGATGGATTGCTTCAGATTAACCAAAAAAAGAACTCGAAGGAGAGGGTGGAATTGGGTGATGAGTTTTGATAAGGGAGGATTCATATTCATATTCTTGCACAGCAAGTTAGGTGGGGACTTAATTTAATTTATTTAATCCACCTATCGGTTTTATCCCCAGAGCAGAGTTGAAACGGCATAAAAAGAACAGCAGCGTAGGACTCATTATGAAACCATTTTGAAGCAACCAGTAATTAATTTTTGTGTGGCGTTGCGAGTTGTTTTGTTCCCCGGCAACTCAACCTCCTTGTCTCCTGCAGGCAATGAAAGTGCTTTCCAAGAAGAAGCTGATGAGACAAGCGGGTTTCCCACGTAAGTTGGGGTGCGCAGGCCGCTGTCCTGGGCAGGTGGGTGGGGAGGAAGCAAAATGGTGGGACCCCAAAGGATGGAAGGGATCAAAGGTCAGCCTGTTTCCTCAGAAGGCCTCTGAGTCCCGGACCTGAGGGAATTAATGCAATGAAGGCCCACTTGGTTTGGACCTAGGTCAGGGGTAGGCAACCTTGGCTCTTTTATGGCTCATGGACTTCAACTCCCAGAATTCCTGAGCCAGCATGGCTCAGCTTGGAAACCTCTCTCTTTCCCCTCAGCATGGCTGGCTCAGGAATTCTGGGAGTTGAAGTCCTTGAATCATAAAAGAGCCAAGGTTGCCTACCCCTGACCTAAGTGGTTGGTTTTGTCTTGACTCCCAGCTTGAGTGCCCTCCATCCCTACGGACGTCATATGAAAAACATGAAGAAGGGTTGCAAGATTTTGTTACGATAAAGTAGAGTTGGCTCCGCTGGTCATCTTTCCTATCAGGCTGACCAAGCCATTTTCCACCAGCCTTCCAGGTTGATAACAGGTAGGTAATCTATATCTGTATTTTCTCCCTCAGGCCGCCCTCCTCCTCGGGGTGCCAAACTGCCCCTGGAAGGCTTCTGCCAACCCAGAGGACCCATTGAGCAGGTCTACCAAGAGATCGCCATCTTGAAGAAGCTGGACCACCCAAACATTGTCAAGCTGGTGGAGGTGAGGAGGATCTTGAACAAGAGGCACTTCTTAGGTCTGGACACATCTCTGGCCTGGGCAGATTGTCTGCCAGAGCCCAAGCCAGAAGCTGAAGTGGCATTCCCTGGAGAAGGTGTGAGCAGTTGGGTTTCCAATATGACCCACTTCAGTTGCCAGAAAGGCTGGCCAGAAGTTAGCGAGAGGTTTCTGCTTCCCACATGAAAATCTGAATTCATTCGGAGAATTTGGTATCGTGCGTATAGCTCAGATATAAAACCCCTTTTGTCTTTCTTGTTACTGGAAGGTACTTGATGACCCCACGGAAGATCACTTATACATGGGTAAGCCACCCTGCTCCCTTTCTTTTGATACCCAAAAAAGGGAGGGAGGGAATAAGGTTCCTCCTGCCCACACATGTTGCAGAGGCAGCCCTGCCAAGGGGTTGATTGACCCAGTCAGCTAGTTGGGACCCTTTTGTTACGCAAATGTTTCTCCTTGTAATTAACGGCCTGTGTCTTTTGCATTTCAGTGTTTGAACTTGTGAAAAAGGGGTGAGTTGATTATTGTTTTTACCTTTTTTAAATAATAGTGCACATGTTGCATTACAGAATAAGGGGAGAAATTGTTGCCCGAAGCATTTTACTCCCTACAGCAATATTTTTTTTCAATCTCTGTGACTTTAAGGTGTGTGGACTTCCAACCCCCAAAATTCCCTAGCCATGGGGAATTCTGGGAGTTGAATTTCATACATCTTAATGGCTGGCGAATTCTGGGAGCTAAAATTCACACATTTCTGAGTTGCTGAAGTTGAAAAACACCGCTGGATAGTATGGCAGTAGGTTTTCTGTTTTAAAATGTCTATTTCCGCACGTGGACTACAATATGACTCACAATTTTTAGTCACAGTGAAGAGTTGGCTCTGCTTGTTTGAGCCCTGAACTAACCACGTTTAAAATGTTAACTATGATTTGTACAAACCATAACGGCCCACACTTTGCACTGAGCCACAACGTGGTTTTTTTATGTTTAGCTCTGTGGGATGAGCAAATCCATGCTTTATCATTTAATACTATGCCAGTATTGCTTGTTTAGCAAATTGTTTTGCTCCTGAGAAATTAAAATGGTCACTTTCTTAGACTGCAGGTACCAGGTGTGCTGGACTCAAGGAACGGCTGCTAATCCCTCTTTTACTATCTCCTACCAGGAAAGTCCTCTTCCGTCCAACTGGTCTCTTTAAATTAATTTATTTTTCCCTTTGTAGGCCGGTGATGGAAGTTCCCAATCTGAAGCCTCTTACTGAAGACCAAGCACGATTTTATTTCCAAGACCTGATCAAAGGCATTGAATACTGTGAGTGTGTAGAAAAAAAACCATAACAAAGCTCAGAACCAGGTCTGGTTTGAGTCCCAAGGCTGGGCCTTGTAAGAAAATGTGGAGATGGTGTCTTTTGAACCCGTGCAGAGTAACATTTTTCCGCATAGCCTTTTCTTACAATAAATAGGAACTGCTCACCTGCCCTTATTTTGCAAGCCAGACAAAAGAAGTTAACATCTTGTCTCACATTTAACGTTTCTCCACAGTACACTACCAAAAAATTATCCACCGGGACATTAAACCTTCCAACCTTTTGGTGGGCGAAGACGGACACATCAAAATTGCCGATTTTGGCGTGAGTAATGAATTCAAAGGATCGGATGCCCTGTTGACCAACACGGTGGGCACACCAGCATTCATGGCCCCAGAGACGCTTTCCGAAACCAGAAAAATATTTTCAGGAAAGGTAAGAGGAGGGAAGGAAAAGCTTAATCTTGTTTTCCTGTCGTCTGGTAGGAAGGGAAAAGGTTTTAGAACCGACTCCTAATTCAAGCTGACGCGGTCTCTGAACCTGGCCTAAAGCAAACCAATGTAATCCGAGATTTGGGCCGAGAGTGTTGTATAAATCCTGACAATTTATTTATTTATTTATGAGACTTATATACCGCTTTAAGTGCGAGCACTCTCTAAACGGTGTACACCAGTACGCAATGTATATATATTTCCATTGCCCCCAACAATCTGGGTCCTCATTTTACCTACCCTGGAAGGATGGAAGGCTAAGTCAACCTTGAGCCGGTGAGATTTGAACTGCTGACCTGCTGAACACAGTCAGCTAAAGTGGCCTGCAGTACTGCACTCTTAACTGCTGCGCCACCAATCGTGGCTTAGTCAAGGTGTGGCTAAAACAAACCTTAAAATAGCACAATATGTGAACCTAGCCGGTTGGTGATTTAATGTTAGTCTGTGGCCTCAACTGTCCGTGCCTCAACTGTGAAGCTGTGTGATCTTAGGATGGACCATTACGTCTTAAGGCAGATCACTAGATCTTATGGCAGATCCCCTATTTCCCTATAGGACTGGCCTGATGTGTCAGTATAATAATAATTTATGCCAACCTTGGAAAGCGAATGGAATAGAGGCATTGCTGTATGAAGAGGCAAAATATCATCTAGCTGTTTCTCCCAGTGATAGAAGTATCAGTGATAATAATGCAAGGAGAAAGCATTTTTGAAAAGCTAATGTATATTTTCTCCCTCCCCCCCTCCCTCCCTCCCTCCCTCTCTCTCTAACCCTAACCCTTCTCTCCTCCCCTTTTTCCTCCCCTTCCTTCCTTCCTTCCTTCCTTCCTTCCTTCCTTCCTTCCTTCCTTCCTTCCTTCCTTCCTTCCTTCTTCTTCCTCCCTCCCATTTCTTCCTTCTTCCCTTTCTTCTCCCTCCCTCACTCCCTCCTTCCCTCCCATTTTTTCCTCCCTTTCTTCCCTCTCCTCCCTCCCTCCCTCCCTCCCTCCCTTCTTTTCCAAGGCTTTAGATGTCTGGGCAATGGGAATCACGCTGTATTGTTTTGTCTTCGGACAGGTAACAGAATGTCTTTTTCTATCTCTATGCCAGTTTTTTTCTTGGTCAGATGCCAGGCCAAAGAAAGCATTAAATTTACAGAATGCAAGCCTCTTAATAATGGCTATTAAGTCAAACAGAAATGAGAGGATCTCTCAGTTGTGGTTTATCATTTTTCCACTTCTTTGAGTGATCCAATTCCTCCGCTAGGGCTGAGATTCCTTTTTTTAAAAAAAAACAAAGTGCTAAAGCTCAAATGTGTTTCCGTGTATATTCTGCAACCAGGCAAGATTGCGGAATGTGTGTTTTTTAATCCGGTTTTGTTAACTCTGGAAAATATGCCCCTTTTCTACAATTTTGTGTGATTATGTTATGCCTGTTTTATGGAGTAGGTGGTGTTAAACCGTTTGTAGGTGACCCAATTCTGGGTCAGGTTGTCGTAGAACTGTTTTGTCACCCACGCAGTGCGATTCGAAGGGGAACTCATCCAGTTTCTCCTCTGTGCCAGCCATAACATCTCCCTGGATATTCTTATCCTTCCCAGTGTCCTTTTATGGATGAGCGGATCCTTAGTCTACACAGCAAAATCAAGAGCCAGATGCTGGAATTTCCGGACCAGTAAGTGAGAACACAGGTTGAGTCCTGTAGATGCGTAGATGCTTTTTAGAGGCATGACAAGTTCTCAGCCCCGCTGGGAGGAATCTAGCAGCTCAGATCTGGGGCGGGGGGGAGGGGGAAGCAGGGCCCGTGTTTCTGAGGCCGATCAAAATCACAACTCGGATTATTGGCCATGACTTCCTTTGAGGGGGAGGCAGAGACACTTTCGCTGCTGACCACCATAATTCTAACCAATCAACTCAAGAGGCAGCGTTCTTTCTTTTCTTTTTCTTTTTAATCATCCAAGACCAGACATTTCTGACGAACTGAAGGATCTAATAACCCAGATGCTGGACAAAAAACCCGAATCCAGGATCACCATCCCAGAAATTAAGGTAATTCACGGCCATCCTTTTAGTGAGAAAAAGAGACCCCCCCACCCACCCACAAAATCCTCTTCCCCAACTATTTTTTCTGAAACCCGCGGCCCAGCCTTGTCTCCTTCTCTTCCCCCAGCTGCATCCGTGGGTCACCAAGAACGGCATTGAGCCGCTGCCGACCGAGGATGAAAATTGCACGCTGATCGAGGTCACCGAAGAAGAGGTGGAGAATTCAGTCAAGCACATTCCCAGCTTAGCCACCGTGGTGAGTGGATTTTGGGCTCTGCACTTGAGCCGCTGCCAGGCTTTCGCGTCCGTGCCAGTTTCAGTAATGGCTTTGCCATTAAACCCTGTCAGTCTCTGCAGAGAGGCAGAGAGCTTCAAATGGACGGGGCTAGTTCAATTCTAGATTGCTCTGGGCAAGATTAGGAAGGTTGCCTGTGGTTTTAAGAAGACAAAGGGATCCTGGCTCACCATGGTTCACTTAGGGCAGGGGTAGGCCACCTTGGCTCTTTTATGACTCATGGACTTCAACTCCCAGAATTCCTGAGCCAGCCATGCTGAGGGGAAAGGGAGAGGTTTCCAAGCTGAGCCATGCTGGCTCAGGAATTCTGGGAGTTGAAGTCCACGAGTCATACAAGAGCCAAGGTGGCCTACCCCTGACTTAGGGACCAGGTTCCAGGTTATAAGGGCACTGAAAAAAGGGACTTGATCATCATTCTTCACAGCCACAATCTTTGCAGCATCCCCACAGTCGTGTGATCAAAATTCAGATCTTGGCAAATGGCTCGTACTTACGACCGTTGCCGTGTCCCAAGGTCACACAATCCCCTTTTACGAACTTCCAACAAGCAAAGTCCACAGGGAAGCCGGTTTTACTTCATAACCATGTTACCCGCTTAACGACTGCCGTGATTCATTTAACAACTGCGGCAAGAAAGACTCTGAAAAGGGGCAAAACTCCCTTAAGAGCTGTCTCGCTTAGCAACGTAAATTGTGGGCTCAGTTGTGCCCGTTCTGTTCTCAGATCCTGGTAAAGTCCATGATCAGGAAAAGATCCTTTGGGAATCCGTTTGAGGGGAGTAGAAGAGAAGAAAGATTTCTTTCCGCACCAGACCGCCAGACATACTTGATGTAAGTGCCTCAGAGGGGGCTATGGATGAACCATAGCCTCCCTCCCCTTCCCTTCCCTTCCCTTCCCTCTCTCCCTCCCTCCCTCCCTCTCTCCCTGCCTTATATCTTGAGATTGTACATCTCTTAAAACTTGAAAAAGTGGGTTTGGGGAAAATTCCCCCCAATTTTCCTTCTGTTCCTGCAGAGAGCAAGCTATCTAAACGAAATAAAAATGGTCATTGCACCATCGTCTCCCCCCTGCCCCCCCCCCAAGCATTGCAATCGTTCTCATGCCTTCCTTTGAGTTAAGGACAAAAAACCTTTGGCTTTTAACCATCTTTGTCTTCCTTCCAAAGCAGAAAACAGAGCAGCGAAGAGGCATTCCACACCATGAACGATCTGCCAAACGTGAGCGAAGACGAACTGCTTTCTTGAAAAAAGAAAAAAAACCTGGCCCTTCCTGTAAGAGAGATCCTGCTTAGCTCACCGTGCCTGGTCTGCGAAAAGAAGGCGTCCTGCAGACGGTTGAGCCGGCTTGCCTTGCAGGACGTCGGTCCATTGTTTAAATACCAAATGTAAAGATTTTCGTGACAGCATGCTGTACAGATCAGAATCCATTCTATAACCATCCAAAAAGATCTCTGCTGATTAAAGACAGGATGTGGAACCCAGAAGAATGGTCTTCAGGCTCGCTGGTGGTCATCCCCCAGCGGTGAAGCATCGTGCCGACTTTCCAGAAAAAAAGAAGAAGCAAAGAACTCACCAAAATAAAACCAAGTTTGGGAAGAAACCTATGTCTGCTCAGGCCAAATCCTTTGCAAAAAAAAAACCCGATCCAATTTTTTTTATCAGTGGATGGCTAAACCATGGTGCTTCTTGCCAAATGAGGATCGAGAAAGCGCTTGCTTTTGGGTGGGTTTTTTTGTTTTGTTAATAATTATTATTGTTATCCCTTTTTACTGCATGGAAACCAAACCAATGTAACACTGAGGAAGTATTTGCGGAATGCTTAGCTTTTTGTGAGCAGGCGATTGAGTTTTAAGAGCGGGTTTTTTGAAAACTCTTTGAGTTTTTCCTGAGTCCGAAGAGAAAGGCGGAAGGGACGCACACTGGCAAAGGGCAAGAATGGTGCATTTGAAGATGGGTTGTGCAGTTGCGTTCAAGCACAAATTGCCAACATGCATTTGTTTTGATGCAGCAGTCTGCTTGGCTGGCAAAGCACAGGTTCGTATTTACTGATCATAATTCTACTTTATATCTGTGTTATTGTATGGCTATGTACACAAAATTCAGGGTTTTATAAATAGTAGCCATCCGGTGCTTGCTGGCATGTTTCAAATAAGTCAAATTACTTTCAAGGATGGGCGTAGAGATTCCGCAGTTTTTCAAGACTCCAAGGATTTAAACCAAAACCAGATTTTTGATGTTGAGCACTTTTCCAACTTATTAAGTTCCTCCAGACTTCTGGATAGAAAGCAGTCAGCATCGTGTGTTCCAGTAGAGTCACAGCTCCTAAAGGATGGAATTGTTGTGGCAAGCCTAGGGGATCCCGACGTATTCTGAACCTCACCTGTAATCCTTTTCACAGATTAACCTTGCTCGGAAGTAATAAGGCTCATTAAACTCTTTGCATCTGCTTTTTTTTAAAAGCAGCCAAGAATTTACGCATGGAAAGGCTGCTATGGTTTTTTTTTTTTTAAAGAAAAACATGTTTTAAAAAAAGATAAAAAAGCTCTCATTCCATTAAAAAGAAAAAAAAAAGGAGCATCAGAATATTTCTGGCAGGTTCCCTTCTGTGCAGGCCAGGTAATTTTGACTATAGCTTTCATATCTTATTCTAACATGGCAGGATTGTGAGACGGTAACATTCGTTGCTGTAAAAGCAAATGAAAAGGGGTAAGGCTGTATATTTTCCTGAGTTACTCTCCCCAACATTAGGAATACTGGTCAAGAGTGATGGGAATTGTGGTCAAAGAAATGTTGAGAGTGAGATTAAGGAGGCATTGGATGGAGTAATTTTGACTTGTGTTTGCCGTGTATCTATTTAGCCATTTGTGATCGTACTTTAAATATCAGGAATATTAGTCTTTTAAGGCATCTTTTGTAGAAAGCTGGCTAGTTTGGCTGCTGAGTAATCCCTGACAGCTGCTAATTTTATATCAGCAATGAATGCCTCAGGTTTGTACTATATTACAGCCTTCAAAGCTTCCTTCCTTCCTTCCTTCCTTCCTTCCTTCCTTCCTTCCTTCCTTCCTTCCTTCCTTCCTTCCTTCCTTCCTTCCTTCCCTCCCTCCCTCCCTCCCTCCCTCCCTCTCGAATTTTGTTGATACTGTATTTTCAACTCAACCATTCATTAACATGAAGAAAAAAAGTGATATAAATCATATTTCCCAATCTTTATTTTCTCTTGCAAAATAGATAATTCTCATTGATACTGCCTTACATTCATCTCCTAAAACAGGGAAAGTGCCATTATCTTTTCATTTATATATTAAATTTCCGTGGATATAAGCAGGGCAGTAGGAACACAGTAGTAGAAGCTGGAGGTTGACACGCCTGCATGTCACATTTATTTAATATCCTGGCAATTTCCAGAGTGGAATTGTACTTGAGAGGGAATTCTCAAGGTCTGTTGAATTCCAGCAATAGAGGCTACTAATTGCCCCAAGTGGCACTTTTTAAAAGGGTGACTATGGAAGACAAGTGTCCAAACAAGTAAGTGCAAGGCAAATCTTTCCACCCTTTCCAAAGAGTGAAAAAAGGAAGCACACCAGAAACTGGCAAGTCTAGAAATATCAAAGAAGTATCTTGGTCCCACCACCTCTCCCTGCATCCCATCTGTCCATGAACTGAACGGTGGGAAAGGCACATAGAAGATCTGATTCGGAATTATCTCGGACTACTCAAAGCTCGGCAGACCCTACATCCCAAAAGCATTGAGGATTTGCAGGAGAACGTTGCTTTCCTTGGGAGAATCTCTAGGTGGATCCAGGATGCCGCCAACAGAAGCGAAGGTGGACAGAACTGCTCTTTTCCAGGGAGGAAACAAAATGAGCAGGATCTGTTTGTGAAGAATCATCGCATTGTGGAGCAGTCTTGAACTTCTGTCTGGGATCCATACGTTTCATGGTCCCCCTGCTAAAATAAAGGTAACATTCAGGATGGGAGAAACCAAATAGAACAGGGGTATAACATACCATAGCTGGCTGGGGGGTTCTGGGAGTTGAAGTCCACAAGTCTTAAAAGTTTCCAAGGTTGGACACCCCTAATTAAGACTGACATTTTCCTCCCAAGTTGACAGATGAGCAACTAATAGTAAATAGATCACTCGTTCAGAGAAAATATTTTAGGTTCTTTGTTTAACAAGCTACCTAGATCCATTCAACATTCTCTCTTTCTCTCTCACACACACGGAGATTATAATTCTCAGACTATCTGGAGAGATCACAACCAATTCCACCGCCAAGTTTGCACTTAACTTTCTCTCCTTCTGGAGTCCAGAGCTAAAACCTCTTAAGTAGGAGAAAAGAGTTTTTAATTTAGTGGTTTGGATACAAACTGTCAGCCGTATAAAAGTGATGGGAGGTGGCAAACTTACCAGTTCATAGTCTTCCACATATTTGTATTTCTTTTCTCTGTAGTAGTACCTTTTCTTCATAAAATACAGGACGATGATATCGCACAGGACAGTGGTCTAGATGAGATTTCAAGGAATTTATTTTGAGAAATGAAATCTTCTAAAGTCCAGGAACATTTCCAAAAACCGCTCGGGAAAAAGAAAAAAAGGCTCTTACCACGCCGAACAGGGCCAAGCCGGATCCAATATTGATCATCGTGGGGATGATATCAAACTTTCCAGCCTAAGACATATGAACGGAAGCAAATTATTCTGACATATCTCCTTAAGAACACGGCGAAGATCGTCTATAAACTGCTGCCGATTCAGACAATCTGCTAAAGCCGTAGACTGACTTGTTTCCATGTGTGACTATTGATTGTGGTTTATGGGTCATGATTAATGGCTTAGAGTAACATTTTTCAACTGAACCGCTTCCAAGAGTAGAGGCAAGTGACAAAATGTCATACAATTTCCCAAAAACTTACCTCGCCAAATACCATAATGTCGAAACGTATGCCATAGGCCTTGGTGAGGGTCCGGTACTCGATGTTGGGAGATGTCCGGTAGTATTTGGCAAACCTGAACCGGAGGAAAAAAGCAACATCCAATCCAATGATTAGGACACCATCACAGTAACATTTCTATGCTAGAAATATGGCCAAATATATTGAATATTTTAAACCTCACTGCCCTTCCAAGATTTGTGGGCCGTTCATAGCTACCACCAAGGCTTCATAGTTATCACAAAATAACATCCTTCTCAGTAAAAGTTTAGTCAATTATAGTCATCTGTTACATTCACACAAAATCAAAATAGCACTTCAAGTAGTTATAACAAACTCATAAATAAATTTTACACATTATCTAGCAGCACTTCACCAACTTTGGCATAAAAATCACCAGGGGAAAATCATAAAACAAAAAGGACAAAACAAAATACTTCTTTGGCATAAAACAGTAAAAATCACTAGGGGAAACTATGTCAGATCTAAAATTCTCCGGGGATAAAACGAAATCAGCCTCTGGAGCCATCAGGTCACCAGCTCCAGGTGAGATGGCCCACCACCAGCTTCCAGCTTTGGCTACTCGGACAGCCTTACCTGAAGTTGTATCCTGGGGAAACGGAATGAGGAGAATCCTTGTTGTCAATTCGCCGAAAGGAATACTTTGGCACGCAACGAGAAGCTGGGAAATCTAAGTTGCAGTCCCATCGGATCTGCAGTCCCATCACGCCACCCTGCAAAAGGACATACCAAACAGGTGCAAAGGCTGCTACCGCCATCCTTGAGCAATACTTATCCAATGTGGTAAGCTTCCGGTTTTCGCTGGAACTGATTGCTCCACATTTCATAATTTGGTGGTCAGCTCTGAATTCCCTTCAATGCACCAAGCCATTTAAGAGCTGCCTTTGGCAGAAGCAAGGAAAACACAAGTCTAATTGCTCTTCCTTTCCTGGCCCAAGGCATTTTTGGACCCACCTCAATGGCCATCTCTTGGAAGTTCTGGCCAGCAGCTTCAACTATGTCCCCGAGGCGAAAAATTGGGCAAAAAGGGTCAGTCTTGGCGTTGTATTTGCAGTCCTTGAGGTAGGTGTGATTGATGGTAGGAAGAATGTTTCTCCTAGAAGAGAAAAAAAGCCTCTGGGTTTATGCTCTCTGAAGGAGCCCATGTTCCGCTGCTTAAGTAACCCCCAAGTAGACCTTCCATACTTTGGTGGCTATGTTGAGGGTTATCTGTATAGACTTGTCTGTCTCACTGCCTCAAATATCTGCCCTTTTCATCAAAACAGCACCAGTGTTTGATGGAGCCATTTTGTGTAAACTACCAAACCCCACCTAGCCCAAATTTCTTCCCCTATCTAGCCCCACTCCAGCCAAAAGAGGTGAAAAAAGTACACATACTTTGTAAAGTTGAACTTTGGGTACCAAATGCTGTTCTTCACGAGAAGGGTAAACTCCTCAGCATCCCGCAGGAAAGCTGGCCTGGAGGAGATTGAGCAAGAGACAGAGGCGAAAGAAAAAAGGCCTTTCTGAAAAGATTTAGTTTCTTATAGCCCAGGTTTAAACACCCTGATTTCAAACCGATCATCACCCCTTCAAAAAAGGATGTTAAGATCAAATGAGACATGAGGGCAGAATTTGCATGTAACACTAAACCAAGATCTGCTTTAGTTCAGTTTTCCTGAACAAGCCATAATTAATCTCGCAAAATACACGATTTGGGCAGTTCTTTATTTGCTCTCCATTTTGTTTTCCTATTAGAAAGCCAGGATTGTGATTTCAGACACAAAGACAAGGATCTGGCATCAACTCTTGAAAGGTAACTCGGCAAGATGCCATTTCTAGAAAGAGTTGCCTTCCACACCCTTCCTCCCCGTCCTCCTTCCTCTTTCCCTCAGATGCTCACTTGGGGACGTTGTCATCATTCTCCACCGGACACCAAGCAAAGACCTCGCAAGTCTTGATGGAGGGATCTGTAAGGTTGTACACTCTGCACTTTCCGGTCTGAATACCTGAAAGGGTACAGAAAGGGCATCGTGGACGGAAGCTGGGATCCTCTCAAGACAGCAAATATGAAGTGAGAAGGGGAAAGAAAGCCTTAAGCTTCACCCCAGGGTGGGTCACTAAACAGGCCTCCCCATACAGATGTTTTCCAGGCCATCACTTCTGAAACTCAAACAGCAGCTTCTGTTCTGCTTCACATTTCACAATGTTGTTAGCAGCATTTCTGCCGGAAATGTTGTCACCTCCTCTCTAAAGAGGCTTCCAAGGTCGAAAGCATGACCCCTACCGTTGCTGTGGGTGCTGACGTAGCCTTTTCTGCAGTCTGCCTCGGAGTTGCATGTGGTGGTCTTATCTGGGAACTGGATAGGAAGAGCAGCAAAGAGAGAAAGAAAGAATCTCTTATCTGTTCTGCAGTTCAAAGATCCCTTCGAATGTACTGCAGACTTCGGCTACCAGGGCCTTGGAGATACGGATAGTCCTCGACTTACAACAAGCATTTCCATTTCTAAGCAAGGCAGTTGCCAAGTGAATTGCACCTAGGTTTTCTTTGGGTCATGGTCGTTAAGCAGAACACTTAAGTTGTTAAGTGAATGCTGAATGCCAAATTTTAATCACTTGACTGTGGAGATGCTGAACAATTTTGAAGATTGGTTATAAATTGGTTTTTTTGGTGCCGTTGTACCTTGGAGTATCATTAACTGCATAGTTGTAAATTGAGGATTGCATGTAACTGCATAAAAGGCACACAAAAAAAGCAAAGAACGGAAAGTTCACCTGCTAAGCAGCCAAAGAAAGTGAAGAGAGGGTCCTCAGAAAAGGATCCATATTCTGCAACTTATGGAGATTATGCAATTATCCATTTATCTCAGTGTTTCCCAAACTTGACAATTTTAAGGCATGTGGACTTCAACTCCCAGAATTCCACAGCCAGCATTGCTGGCTGTGGAATTCTGGGAGTTGAAGTCCACATGCCTTAAAATTGTCAAGTTTGGGAAACACTGATTTATCTTATACCTCTGCATATTGCTCCGGGTACACACAGGGCAAATTACACCTGAGACCAGTTACGATCTGCCCCTTTCCGAACAATACTCCCAATTTCACATCCTTGCTTTAGTTTTTCAGAGGAAAGGTACCCCAAACCTGATGATGAGCCATTGTCGCCGAGCCTACCTCTGGACAAAGCCCTTGGGTCTGATTCAGCGTGATGATCATATTTGTCATGATGAAAACCGAATTCTCAGCCTAAAGAGAGGAAAGAAGCAGAGTGGAAAAATGAGTTGAAATAGAGAAGACGTTTGATCTGATTAAAGGCCTGAAAATGCAGCATTCTAAAGGAGTTCCTTCCTTTAGAAACAAAGCACATGTTGAATTTCGCCGCTCCTTATTTACAAGTCTACATTTTTTCAGCCACTGTACCATCCTTTAGACAGGACTATCAGTTTCCATGAGAAGAGAAAGATTAATTTAAATATACTTCTCCTGGGGTTAGGTGCAGGATGAGTTACATGTTGTAGGCAGAAAAATACGGACCAGATAAGGAATTCTGGAGCAAGTGCAACTATGAGCTTGCAGAGAGTTTGGAGACAGATGGAGAAACATTTCACTCATCGTTGCTACCATGGAAGCTAAAAACATCAGTGCCTTCCCACAGAAACCAAACGCCATCATCCGAAGTTGCTCACAACAAGAACTAGAGGTTGCAAACCACAAATCCATTGTTCTCTGTTAGCGGAGATTAAGGAAAGGAATCCCCCTAAATCTGTCAAAAACCACAGCATTGATCTCCAATGGACCCACCTGGGGGGGAATCACGTAATCAGCCGCATCCCAAACCCTGGGACCCAAGTCAGAGGTGTTGGTCATGGTGACGCCTTTCACCTTGGTGGTTACTGAGCTCACCACTGAGTCGGTTTCTTGGTAACCTTTTTTCCACACAAAGACCCAACTGCAAGGAAGAGGAAAAAATTCTCAAAATGGCTGCCTCAGGTCTCAGGGAGAAAGAAAATGGATTTAAATACCACGTGTGTCTATTTTACTTTAATTTCTTAGTGCTTAGTTCATACATAGATAGATAGATAGATAGATAGATAGATAGATAGATAGATAGATAGATAGATAGATAGATAGATGACAGACAGACAGGGCTTGGCTCTTGTTCTTTATCTCACCATCTATTTTAATTGTGTATTGTGTATTTTTCATTTAAAGGAAGATCAACTAGCTTGCGAGAGTGACCTTGCTGACTCTATGACGAGAAAGTTTTTTTATTTATTTGTCAAAAATTACAAACTCAAATGAACAAAATGAAAAAAACTAAAATGGGACTAAAATGGGAGGCCATCTAAGAAAACTGGGGCTGTATGGGTGGGTGAAGAGCCAATGAAACACGGAGTCCCCCAAACTGGGCAACCAATAGGCTGTTTTGGTGGGAAAAGAACGGCTATAAAAGGGGCAGCAGCCCGAGGGCACCTCTCAGAGAGCTGAAGAGGACTGAAGAGGCAAGAAGGAGGCAGAGCAGCCCTGAGGGGCAAAAGAGCCAAAGTCCCCAGAAAGATCTCCAGGGTGGAGGCCAGAACAGCAGCCCAGAGGGTGGGCGAAGGGGCAGAAGTCACTCCCTGCTGAGTCACTGAGCACCTGGGGCAGCTGAAGCCCCTCCAGGCTGATCTTGGAGAGGCCAGAAGGTCCCACAGAGCTGAAGCCCCTCCAGAGGCGTCTGGGCTGGAGGCTGAAGAGGCCAGAAGGGTCGGAAGAGGCCAGAGCAGCAGTCCTGAGAGTGGGTGAAGGGGCAGAAGTCACTCCTGGCTGAGTCACTGAGCACCTGGGGCAGCCAAAGCCCCTCCAGGCTGAAGTCCTGAAGAGGCCGGAAGGCCTGGAGGAGCCAAAGTGCTGGAGGACCAAAGAAGCCAGAGCAGCCCTGAGGGGGCTGAAGGGATGGAAGTCACTCCCCACTGAGCTGATTGACAAGACTGAAGGGCAGGGGGGCTCTGAGTGGCCAAAGAGCTGGAGGTCCATAGAGGCCAGAAGGGCCAAACGAGCAAACCCCAGAGGTGAGCGCTGCCCTCCGCCTTAACGAGGCGCCTCCAGAGCCAGCTGGGCTTGAGGAGCAGGGTCTGAGGGGCAAAGGGGCTGGAGCCCCCCTGCAGAAGGACCCGCCATGACTTGGAGGAAGAGGAAGGCCAAGGACACCCAGCTTGTGTGAATCCGACCCTCCCTTGACCTGGGAGCGAGAGCTGAATCCCCCTAGCATTTTGCGTATTGCTAACTAGCCGGGGAATCGAAGCTCCGAGGAACAAACAAAAGCCAGCCCAAATCTCCCCTTCGTTACTTTCGCTTTGAGCTGCCCTTTGAAACCTGTAAAAGCGGCTCTGAAGGCTACCTGGAAGGGAGCCACTCACACCGGGGGAAGCCCCCTTCGGACGTTGTCACTTAAGCGAATAGCTGAACGCCAGTTCCGAAAGAAGGCAAGGATTGCATGCCGGCCCGTGACGAGCAAACCGCGCCCAGGCAGCTGTTCAACGGGTGCCACTTTCCCCGGCTGGGCAAAACTCATTTCCGGGGGGAGGGTGGGGGTTTCAATAGACCCTCCAGGCAAATCGGCAGATACAGGCTGGGGATCCTGGGCGAGGGAGTCCCAGCCCGGCTGGAGGGCGCTGGGTTGGGGATACGGCATCGCCCTCGACACCCGTTTGAAACTGCGAAGGAGCGAGAGCCAAGGCGCTAGTCCCTAAGGAACGCACGCGCGCGCGCAAAAAAAGAAGCGAAGCTGACGCCTTCCTTACCCGATGACGTAGGCCAAAATTGCCAGCTGGACCAGCCGGTTCATGAGCCCCACTTTGCGGCTCTTGATGGAGACGATCCGCGGGGTGTCGTACTCGAAGAGGAAGCCGCGGAGGGCCCCGCAGCACGCCCCGGGGCTGCCCATGGCTGCCGTCCGCTCGGCCGAAGCGACTGGAGAAGCGCGGGGTCAGCCAGTCGGAGGCGCCCGCTTCCTGCCGCTGCCCCCCCGCCCCGCCGCCGCCGCATGTTGCAAGAGACGCCGGGCCGGGCTTCGGGTTTGCAGCCGAGGCGTGTCCTTCGCCTCCGATTGGCCGCAGGTGGAGAAGCGGCTCCCAAGTTGGTCTGCGGGCCGGAGACGGTGGGAAGCCAGCCGGATCCCCGAAGCGCCTCCGCGCAAACCTCGCTTAGCACCTCGGAAGACCAACGCGCGCAATGCCTTCCGACCGCGATTGCAGCCGGATTGGGGACGATGGGAACTGGAGTCCCCTTTTCCGGGGGGGGGGACTAGGGGACGCTGTAGGCGGCCAGGGAGATAATTCCTCCGCCCCTCGCTTCTAAAGCAGAATTCTCTTCGAGGGAAACCACAAGGGCGATGAAACAAGATCTTGCCTCGCACGCAGAATCCTTGCCAAAATAAAACTGGTACCCCAAATACAAGGCCAGGCTTCTGAGCTTAAATCCAATTTTGAGTAACTCTCCGACCCTTCACTGTAGCTCAGCAGTTCATTAGATAATTTAAGATATCACACAAGGTGCTAAGCCCGGGCCACCACATAAATCAATAACTTAATGAGGCTGTAAATCTTATGCACGTGCTAATTGCAAAATAATTATTCAGCCTGAATTTCTATGCATATTTGCCTGGTGGTTCAGCCTGACTATGCTGCTAATTTTAATCAGGAATTGATATGGATCAAGACAGCGATTCAGATCCCAGATATATTACAGGAAAGCTATGTAGATAGGGCCTTCTCTGATAGCAAAACAACTGGACTAATTGCCAAACCTTTAGTTGCCTTTTTTATAATTAAGTCTACATAACCCTATGAAAATGCCAACTGGAATTGCTGGTTCACAACCAGAAGATAGTTAATCTTTCTTGGGATTTTTTTCCCAGGCAATTTCCATCATGCTTTACAATATCTTGTTAGTTGAGATTAAGCACACGCAGAATCTTTTATTTGTTCTTATAAATTTAATTTCATCTGTACAGAGAATTCACATGAGCGTATTGTAAAAAAAAGTATAAATTCTGCAACAATATATAAAAATGAGATCAAAAGAAAATTGCAGAAAAATTGCTAAGAAATAGATTTTATTTTGCAACAAGTAAGTAGATGAGCGTGGAAAGGTTAGTGGCTACTTAAATGTTAGGTTTGCTCCCTTGCTTCTGATAAAGAGAACCCACTTGAAATAACTTGCTAGACCAGCTTGTGGACTACAAGAGAGCTATCCTTTGCCAACAGGCCACCAAATGATTAAAAAAGAAAGCATAGCACAGCAATTCGTGAAAAGTATGTGGGGCCAAGTCTCTTTTTGTGTAGACTTTTTAGGTACTAAAGTTCAGTAATGACACTGAATGGAAAAGTTATTTCCAGGCAGAAATTCCCCAGATACGGCATCCCTGCAATTCACAGAATTCCTAGGCAGCGAAAAAGCATCTCCCAGCCCTATTCTGTGCACTAAGAGCATTTCTGCGCTGCCCTCCTTGTCCTTTGTGTCTCCCTCCCTTTTAAATGGAGAGGCTGGAGCTGAACCTGAGGCATTTTGCGCAGAAAATATCCAGGCTTTCCTTGAAGGATATTTAAAATGGGAAGATTCCCTCTGGTTTATCAATGTTGAAAACAAAAGGGATTTTCCCCATTTCCTGAGAAATGAGTTACGGGAAAAGAAAGTTGAAAAGGTAGCTGAGTTACGGGAAAAGAATAGTGCAGGTAGCTTCAGGACAAAATAAAGAAAGGATTCTTTTTAAAATAAACAAAGGGACGTTTTTAAACAAAGGTGGCTCTGTGTTGGGATCAGCCAACCAAAACGACCTGATTTCACACGGGTAAACCACTGCTAGGTTTCTGGGGAAAAACAAGCAGGCTCATTCCATAGTTTGGCTGCCTAAATGTGAGAAATCTGAGCCCTGTAAATTGACTTTTCCAATCCTGGTTCTCTCCGGATATCCCAATGAGGTAGACAAGGCTGAGTGAGAGAAACGAGGCACAAAGCCTTCCAGGGATTTTCATGGCTAAGCTGGGATCGAAACTCTGCTGTCCTCTGATCTTATCCAATAGTCTAAAAACATCGTCCAGTTAAAGAGCAAAGATGATGGCAGGGCCACAAATGGCCATTTTTGAAAAGCAGGAGGCAAAGCTGATTAATTGGCACGTGTGTGTATCCACCCTTAAGGCCGCAACGCAGAGGTGCAACCGGTGGTTACTTCTTCTTCTCAAAACCGCTGTATTCGCCGTTCTCACTCGGAAAAGCATCTCTGATTCTCCATCTGCAACAGTTGGGGATCACAGCCCTGGCACCCAAGTCACCCTCGCCAAAGCGCCAGTGAATATACCGCTCGTAAGCACAGTGTCGAAAAGGCTTGTTGGCAACCCCAGCCTTCAGATCCAACAAGGGGTTCCTGTAGAGCAGAACAAACTCCAGCCCGGGTCGGGAGAGGACAAGTTGCTCAAACAGAGGGGAGGTGGCGATGCAGGCCCCGTCCGTTTTTCGGCAGCAGAGCTGTTCCCAAAAGGCGTCTGCCGTCCGGCACTTTCCACAGCAGCACCAAGAGGGACATTCACGGAAGCAAGGACCTTCCCTTCGGATTTGGAGGAGCTGCATCTCTTCTGAGTTTTGGGGAGAGGCCTTGCGGTCCGAATATGGAAATTGGGAAGACTGCGTGAAATCGCTTTGGCATTTCTGTAGGTAAAAAACATCACATTGGTGGGTGATGGTTTGTTTTTCTCCCAAGGGAGACGCTTTGAAAGGAAGGGAGTGTGATCCTGTACCATTAAAAATGAAACCCTTCCATGTAACGCAAGACTGCCTTTTCAGAGATCTGGGAAGATCTTTGGCTGGTCTAAAGTTGCAGGAAGGCCAAATGGAGTCCTGTTCCAAATTACTGATGCTCTGGTTATCATCGTCAGCGTGAGCCACACAGAGCCTTGTAAGTTGTAGTTTAACCCCAATTGTGTGTCATCCAGATCTAAATTCAGATTCATCTCAAGCCTCATTAGTTGCCACAAGCCAACTCTTTATAAAACATGGCTGAAGCTGGTTTCTTTAAATTAAGATTATCTGCAACATTTAGCTTGGAACAACATAGAAGGAGTAGTTCATTGAAAATAAGAAACACAACCACGAAAATCCAAGTTTTGAGTGTGATACTAAACTGTCTTCCAGCCTTGGGGGGCATTTAGTCTGTTCACAAATCTCTAGGCAGGCACCCCAGCCGATACCTGTGCACACCCCAATAAAAGCAGATTCCAAACTCACGTCCATGATCCTGCCCTTGATGTTCTGTAAACTGGTCTTCAAATATTCGTCGATCATTAGGATGTTGCACTCATCAACAAAGGTCACGTAAAACAAAGTCTGTCCAGTCAAAGAAAAACCAAAGAAATTAAGACTTAGCATTTTACTGGATCAGTATGATATTCCATAATTATTAACGGCTCAAGATTTCACCTCGCACCAATGCAAGAAAACTATTTCTCAGGATGGCAAAAACAGAGAAGGAGGGAAGGATATTCTGCATATATATCATATCGTGTTATATCTGCATGTATATCGTATCACTTCCTTCTGGCACTGATGATGTTGCCTAGCTGGGTCAGGAAATGTCTGCAAGAAAATCACCAAGCTCAGAGAGCCCCAGGGACCCCACAGTCCCCTTCTCCTCCTCCTCCTCCTCCTCTTCCTCGCCTTGAATCCATTAGTGGAGATATAGGGACCACCCGCCTCTCTAGTAAGTTATAGGCCACCACGGATGGGTCTCCATGGAATATTAAAACCGTAACATGGTCTGATCATTTTGTAATGGAAGAGTTTAGATCCCCTAATGCTATGTGGGATCCTTTTCCTGCACTGAAAGATCCATAAGGAATGACAGCGTATCACATTTCGTTATATCGCTTACCCATCTTGGTCCCAGCACCGTCTGACACTTTTTATTGGAATAATACTCCTTCACTGGTTGAGATTTGGACGTATAGGAAGTGAGCACACAATCCACAGCTAGCTGAGCCTGTAAAGACAACACCGTGTGCAGGATTGTGCAGGCCATTCTTCTAACAAATATAATCAATTCATAGGATGATTTTGAAATTGTGAAACCGGGAATTAGAACCGTACGAAAGCCCGACCGCCAGCAGGGTTCAACAAAAGCGTCCAAAGCCCCCTTTCGAGACGGCTGAGCTGGGCGTCCAAATACCAGCACAAAGACCCCCATTTTTAAAACCCAAAGACAGAGAGAGATGATTCCATCCAGGGCAGACGTCCACCTCTGAACTCGCCCGGGGACCCTGCGGGAGAAAATTATCTTACCAGGCCGAAGTAGGACAGCGCTGAGCCAATGTACACCACCAAGTCAATGAAGCTGAACTTCCCAGCCTTTGGGGAAAGAGAAGAAAAGCGAGGAAGGGTACCACGTTAGGGAAATCTGCTAGGGCTTTTGTGTTGCCTCCATGGGATTACAGGTAGTCGTCAATTTACGACAGTTCCCTTAGTGACCGTTCAAAGTTACAAGGGCACTTATGCACACGTTTCACAACCATTGCAGTATCCTCATGGTCAGCTGATCAAAATTCAGGCACTTGACAACTGACTCCTATTTCTCCTTTGCCATCTGTCAGGCCCCTCAGAGTTACTTCTGGGTAGTTCATTTTTTCTTCTTCTTCACTTATAAACACAAATCTTTAGCCAAACTAAAGCAGACTATTTGCGTCATTAAAAATATTCTGAGAACTTCAGGGGGGGGGGGGGAAATGAGTCTTAACTCTCTTCCTCCCAACCAATCTAAGCTTCCCTGTCTCGTGGTCTTCTGGAACGCAGCCCCTCCCTCCCTCCCTCCCTCCCTCCCCCCTTTTGGGAACCCAGACTACATTCCACTACAATCATCCCATCAAGGAAAGTCTTCCGTCCCCTCTGAACAGCAAGGAGAGGGAGTATGTTCAGGATCAAAACCAACAAGGAGGGCAGGATTTAACTTCTCCACATGGACTGCTAGAGACACACCCCAGTCGGGATCTCTGCACCAACGAACTGACAGCCCCACCTGAAACTGAGCTGCCCGTGGAGGGATATTTCTCATTTGAATTATGTGGGGTTTTCTCATCTACATTTAAAGACCCAGGGAAGAAAGCCAAGTCGCATTTACCGTGCCAAAGATGAGGATGTCGAAACGGATGCCGTACGCTTTGATCAGGGTCCTTTCCTCCCGTCCACCCGGCTGCTTGTAATACCTGGCAAATCTAGAACGAGCAGACAGGAAGGGCTGAGAGGTTCTGGGGCCTCCAGGTTCAACTCTTAGGTGTTCTCTGAGTGGGACAGTTTCCCTGCAGGCGTCTTAACCCCAGGCTAGGTAGCATCATCAGCACGATGCCCCAAGCGCACTCCAAAGAAGAGATAAGGCAGGACTATGACATCCACCTGCTGTCTGTAGGGAAGCTAGGATGGTCAAAAGTGCGAGGACCAGTCATACATCATTTTCTCAAAGTTTTGAGCCACTTCTCAAAACAAATGGCTGAAAGTTGAGCACTGCCGACATTTAAGTTTCCACCACACTTCAAGAAAAGTGGAAAGTGAAAAAGGAAAAAGGATGACCACTGGGTCCTCACATGCACCTGGCAGGACTAGAATCAATAGGAACAGAATCACAAGGAACATTGCAACAGAAGCCAGAAATGAAAACAGGAGGTCCAACATGCTGTAATAACACAACTCTAATGACTTTAAAGAAGGACTAGGGGAGACATGAGAGCAGTCTTCCAATACTTGAGGGGCTGCCCCAAAGAAGAGGAGATCAGCCTATTCTCCGAAGCATCTGAAGGCAGGACAAGAAGCAACGGATGAAAACTAATCAAGGAGAGAAGCAACCTAGAACTAAGGAGAAATTTCCTGACAATTAGAACAATTAATCAGGAACAACCTGCCTCCAGAAGTTGCGGATGCTCCAACACTGGAAGTTTTTAAGAAGAGATTGGACACCCATTTGTCTGAAAAGGTATAGGCTTTCCTGCCTAAGCAGGGGGTTGGACTAGAAGACCTCCAAAGCCCCTTCCAACTCTGTTATTATGACCATCACATGGAAAAGTAAAACAGAACCTGGAAGGTCCTCCCTCTTGATCTGTGACATCCCCTAAAAGGAACCTCAAAAACCACAAGTACTTGAATATCCATTACCTAAAGTTGTAGCCTGGGTACAAGGCCTCATTGGTTCGTTTGTCATCCAGGCGCCGGAAACTGTAGTTGGGACTACAACGGTGCATCCATTTATCTAGATTGCAATCCCAGTTAATTTCGATGCCGATGATGCCTCCCTTGGAGAGAAGACCACCAGAGAAGTAAGTTTGCAAGATGGATTGAGCAGGCGCGAGAGCTTGTAGCAGGCACTCCTGATTTCCCCCGCTTTCTGCCTATGACCCAAAACTGCATTTGTACAAGGAGCTGTTGCAGGAGCTCTGCCACTTTCTCTTGTCAATTTCTCAAAAAGAAAGAAAGAAAGAAAAGAAAGAAAGAAAGGAAAAGAAAACTTTAAATTTGGTTTGAATTCTCCTTTTTGCAATCAAATTCAACATTTGCCCTTCTTAACTCAGTCCTTCCAACTAACAGCAGCCAAAAAGTCGACAAGACCTCTGGCCATTTTCAAAGTGACACCCACCTGAATGGCCAGCTCTGAAAACTTCTCTCCTGCCTCTTTAAGAATATCTCCCAGACGGAAAATTGGGCAAAGTGAGGCTTTGTGTTTGCTGTATACACAGGAAATATTGAATTCCGGGGGAATATTTCTTCTGCAAGGAACAGTGAGAACAATTAATCAGTGGAATGGCTTCCCTCCAGAAGTTGTAGGTGCTCCAACACTGGAGGTCTTTGTCTGGAATGGTATAGGGCAGGGGTAGGCAGCCTTGGCTCTTTTATGACTGGTGGACTTCAACTCCCAGAATTCCTGAGCCAGCCACGCTGAGGGGAAAGGGGGAGGTTTTCTAGCTGAGCCATACTGGCTCAGGAATTCTGGGAGTTGAAGTCCATGAGTCATAAAAGAGCCAAGGTTGCCTACCCCTGGTATAGGGTCTCCTGCTTGAGCAGGGGGTTGGACTAGAAGACCTCCAAGGTCCCTTCCAACTCTATTATTCTATTATTCAGAAGAGGAGCAGTTTTATCAGCCTAGCCACACAAATGCATATTTAACAAAGTGCCGGCTCTCGGAAGACCAAGCATAGATGCTCTTTCGGGAATTTAACAGTTAACACTTCTTTCTATTTTGTTGAAGCCCAGCCACGCAAACACAGATTTTAGAAGCTCTGACACTTCTTAGCAAACAATCCCCATCAGGGGTTGATTTCCCAGGGAGGAAGCAGGAGGAACCCTCCCTTTAAACACAGCCATCCCAAGCCAAGAGCCCACTTACGTTGTATAATTAAATTGTGGGAAGTGGATGTTGTTTTTTATAAGCACGGTGAAATTCTCAGCGCTGTCCAGAACAGCTGGCCTGGAAGGATGAAAATATCCAGGTCAGTTCTCACTTCACTAAATAGTCACAACCATCGTTAGACAACTTAATCATCTTAGCTGGGGGCCTGTTCAAGAGGCTGTAAAATTGGGGCCTGTAAAATGCATGCCAGAAAGTTGCTGTGGTTTTCACAGATTGGTTTCTCTGAACAGTCTTCAAGGATGGCCCTCAAAGATGCCTTGTAGTTACTGATGCAGGAAGCCATTAAGGCAGGGATGTCCAACCTTGACAATTCTAAGACTTATGGACTTCAAGTCCTAGAACTCCCCAGTCAACATGGCTGGCTGGGGAATTCTGGGAGTTGAAGTCCAGAGATCTTAAAGTTCCCAAGGCGGGACACCCTTGCATTAATTCAAAATGGAAGGGGACACCTTGGGTCAAAATGCAGAACAGAGTAAAACAGGATACAGGAGCAGCTAAGAAAAACACCTACGTTGGGGCAGTTTTGGTCGACTCCACGGGACACCAAGCGGAGACTTCGCACGTGTTGACGGTGCTGTTGTAATTCACACACTTGCCCGTCTGGATGCCTAGCGAGGGAAGAGACCCCCATCTCATTCAAGGACCCTCACTGGGAGACCAAACAGCTTCTCGGGAAAGGAATTTCAAACGGAAACTCTCCTACCATTACCCTGTGGATCTACACGTCCTTTCATACAGCTTTTGTTTGTAGTACACACTGCTTTGGGGAGAGGAAACTGAAAGGATAAAAAGGGAAATACATCTAGCACAAAATTCCATTTCAGTCTCCCAAAAGCACAGCCTCCATTTCGAGGCTTATCAGTCTCTCTCTCCTAACAAGTTGCATCTGGATAATATTTTGCTATTATCCCTTTTTTTCCATGACACTGTTTTTTCCTCCAGGACAGTTCCTCGGGAGTAGCTCATCACAAGAGATCCCTTCCCACCTTGGTCTTTGTCCAATTCCCCTGCAATTCACAAAACGCCCCTGCTTTCCACAGCCACCTTGTAAACAGGTAGAAACAGACACAGCCCAGAGCCTACTTGCCAATTTTCTAGCAGATGGGAAGGGAATAAATAAATAAATAAAACCTTGCCTAGAAGAATGTTGGACTAGTCATAACCTGCTTCACGTTGTTTGAAAACCAGGGATATGGGTGGGACACACAAACCAGTACATTACTGTATCCATAGAAAACAGTTTAAATTAAATATAAATATGTTTGCCAAAATAAATCGCAATCTTTCACCCCACTCTGTAAATATTAAGGTCAGGTATGAAATTTTGACTTTGGGTTTTGTTGATTGGATGAGTTTGTTGCTATAGAAATGGGTAGTACCTATTAGTACGTAACAGGTTAAAGCTAAAGTTTGCCTTAAAAGTAAAAAGTTTGCCTTCATTCATAAAATGTTATGCTTGTAATGTTGCTGTCTGCGCTAAAAAGACTCACTTTTACTTTCTTTTTCCCCCTCTCTAGATTACACTTCTTTCTCTTCCCTTTTTTCTGCCCCATTTCCCCACTATTTTCATTGCCTTTTATATTTTAGCTCTTGGTAACCTTAATAAAATTATTTTTAAAAAAACAACAACATAGAGCACGTATGAGACGCTGGTACCTCGGCGCAAAGTCCTTGGACCTGATTTTCAGTTCTGATGATGTTAGTCAGTACAAAAAAGGAATTCACACCCTACATGAGCGAAAGAGAGGGAGAAAAAAACAGATTCACTTAGCTGGTCTCCTGAAAAATAAATCTGTTGCAACGACTTTAAGATCTCACATGGATTCCTTTGAAAAGAAGCCCAGGAGAATGAGGACATTAAAATCACGAAGAGGGTGGAGGGTTTTTTCTAACTACAATTTAGGGGAAGAGAAAGAGGGGGGCCCTCCAAGAATTCTAGCATAAATTTGGGGTCACAGTTATCGTAGCAGGAGAGTCTTTCCTAATACATCCCTGTATTCTGAGGCTCAACTCTTTGCTTCACTGGGAACCTGACTGTTTTCTCCTTTTGCTTCCCCCAGAAGGACTCACCTGCCCAGGGATGGTGTATTCGGCTGTATCCCAAACCCTTCTGTCAGTCTGGGACACCCCCTTTACCTTCACGTGCACCGAGCTGATGACCGAATCTCTCTTCTGATAGCGCCGATCAACCAGCAGGGTGATACTGAAGAAACACAGCGGAAAAGTTTGACCCGGAGGGTTTATTTTGTGCCCATTTCACAGAGGGGAGAACTGAGGTTTAGAAAACTCTCAGCTGTCCGTTCAGAATGTAATCGATCTTGCTTCAGCAAAATACTTTTAAGCAAAACATGGCTGAAAAGAATACGCAAGGTTGTGGAGTCTTTAGTGTCCCCTGGACTTGGTTGCTTTCTTGCAGACATCCGAAGAGGCGACCTAGTTGGCTCATGAAAATGTCTGCAAGAAAGCCACCCAGCTCAGCGAGCACCAGGGACCCCACCATTCAACCCTCAGCTACAAATATTCTTTTCTATTGATTAACATACAAGATTCCTAGGTTTGTGGATTGTTACTTATTCAGCTGAACTGCCCTAAGAGTCAGAAGCTGGGTCTTTCAGAGTGGCTGGTTACATCAGAATATTTATTCCGTGTGGGTGGAAAGTTCATTTGCCAAAGTCACAAAGCTGCACTTGTCTGGATGAAAACAGCTTCTTCCATTGAGCGATGTGCTTTGGAACCAGGGATCTTGTAAAAAGGTCTCTAGAGAATTCCAGCCCTCTTTTGTTCAACTCAAGTGAAAAAGTGTCTCCGTTCTGGGAATCAACTGCTTTCGATGGTGATTCTTCTTGAAAATCCATTCTTGTATGTTCAGTTCAGCCCACGTCCATCAGAGATCATAACAACAATACAAGCGTATAATGTGACAAGGTTTGGACAAGGCTCTTTCAATAAATATTTTTCCACTGCAAGAGATTCCCAACCCCAGACTCGGTTATTCTGTATTCTATATCCTATATTCATGACATCTGATGTTGGTGGATCAGATGAACACGAAATTGGTCGATGGAAAGTTCCCGTCAAGACGGTAGCATTTACAGTCTGTTTTTGAGAGCAAACACGTGCTGTGGTTATTATTTCAGATCTTGATACCCACAGCCCAGGTCTCCCCCTATGCCTCTCTTCCCCACTGATTTAACGAAATCTTCCCTTTCCAACTTACCTAACATAGAAGAAAACCAGAAAATGGATTGTCCACTTTAGGCTCCCCAACCGAAAGCTGTAGATGCGTAATACTTTGTTGGTTTCGAATTCACACACGCTCTCCAAGCTGCAGCAGGCTGCCATCCTGGAAGGAGAAAAAAAAAAATCTGTCTTCTGGCTTTCAGTATCACACAGAAAAACCATGCAGCTCCTCAGCCGGGAGCCAGAAACAACAATTAAAAACCACAACCCCACAAATCTTAAAGACACAGGGGGAGGAAATTTCTTTCTTTCTCCAAAGGGACTTTTGGCTCCCAGTCTCTCTCCCTCTCTCTCTCTCTTTTGCCATGAGTTCCTCAGAGGAAGCCTCTTTGTGCATGTCTTATCTATCACCATCTAATTTTCTGCTAACAAAGCTCAGCTCCTATAGTTATTTCTATATTTTCTTGGCTTGCAGTTTCAATTAGCCAGCAACTTCTGTTTTTCTTATTTGTATATAGTTAATTTGTCTGAGTTTATGACTTTCAGGTGGCTTCTCCTACAGACCTTTAGACTCATTAGAACTTTCTTCATGATAATCTATTCCTTTCAATTCTTTGAATAAAAACCCAGATGGCTTAAAGAAGTTTTCATGGCAGCCACAGAGCAGCTTTTCGCCCTTCTTTTTTTTTGCAGGATTTCCTCGTGGTCTCCCATCCAGAGATCATCCAAGCATTTTAGTTTTTGGCAAATCGCCCCGAGGGATTCAATGGATCCGACCATCCCCATTCTTGGGGAGCAGCCCCTTCCAGAGGCGAGGCATTCCCATGCAACTGCCCAAACCCTCCGCCAACGGGCTGTGGATTCTAGGCGTTGTAGTCCTACCCCTCCCGAGGGCCAGAAAAAGGGGAGGCCGAGCTCATTCACCATTCGGCCGCGAGTCCATCCTCTTTTGCCCCTTCATTTTTTTAAGAAAGACTTTTGCTTTTTTCCTCCTTTCTTTTTTCGCTTCCTCGCGTCGCGCAGGCGCGATCGGAGCTTTTCCCTCCTTCCCGCGAGCGCGCCTTGCCCCGCCCCTCTCCGCGTCGTCGCCTGGAAGGGGCGTGGCTTCCTTCGCCTGACCAAGCCGCGCCTCCTCCTCTCCGCCCCCTCCCTCCAGCTCCGCCATGCCAGTCACGTGATCGGAACTGGAGCCCTGTCGCCTAGCAACCGTCGCCACAGGCCTGGGCGCTTCCGAGGTGGGGAAGGGGCGCGAGGGGAAGCGGGTGGTCGGGGGTCCTGGGGCCTGCTTAACATTTCGGGGGAGGGGGGGAACTGAGGGGCTTCGTTTCCTCCCAGCCTGAATGGGGAAGGCTGCGCTGGGCCCCCCAGGAGGATGCAGTGTGGAGCCCAGGGAGGACGGAGTGGTCCTGGGCCCAGATTTGGAGCGGGGGAGGAAAACTGGTCTTTATTTTTTCTGAGAGGGAGGCGGGAGTCACCCAAATAAGTCAGTTCCCCACTTCAAGAAGGGTGAACTACAACTCCCAGACTTCCCCAGCCAGCTTGTCTGGCTGGGGAATTCTGGGAGTTGTAGTTCACCCCCTCTTGAAATTGCCCAGATTGGGAAACACTAAGAAACTGAGGGGACTCCTTTTTCTGGGTCTAAACCCCAGAAACCCACACATTTTTCTGGCTGCCAGAAATGCCCCATAGCACCGGCAACTTCTTCCTCAACCTTTCAATCTCTTTCTCTTTTTTCTCTCATGCAGATCCTTTTCTAGACACCATCATGAGTGACCAGCTGAAATTCATCGTGGAGAAGCTCAACAAAGAGCCGTTCAAAAAGAATTTCAACTTAATCACTTTTGATTCCCTGGAGTCAATGCAGCTCTTACAGTTGCTCAGCGATGTTTTGGGCGAGATTGACCCCAAGGTACGTCGGACTTTACCAGGTCAAAAATCTCTGTTTGGAAAAACTTGTTGATGCCTTATTAGCTGGAAGTGTCTGCTCTGTTTTTTTCTGTATCTTACAGAGGGTTGGACTAGATGACCCTGGGGATCTTTTTTCAGCTTTGGGGTGATGATTCAGTCTGATGGCTTGATCCTTTAAAGTAGTCTTATCCAAACTGGGCCCAGATCTGGCAAAGGCTGGGCTGATAGGGAGCTGTGGATGTTTTGACGAACTTATCTACAGGGTGTCAGACTGGGCAAGGCTGATATACCAAAAGCAGATCTGGCTGGCTTAGTGGCTTGAAATGGGACCCTTAATAGAGTTAGATGTGCTAAGACTGTGCCCATAGAAGGGAAAAGCACATCTGACTGCATTCCTAATGTTTTCACTTACGGGAAATTGCATAGAACAACCCCAGGCTGTTAATATTCATTATATTTGATCCATGTAAGCTGCATACAGTAATGAATTTCATTATGTCAGTTGTACCTCAACTACGATTAAACCTTTCAGCACATCGTTGACATTAGAGAAGAGCTACCAGAACACACAGCAAAACGAATGTTGACCCTGCTTGGCATTCTTAAATACAAACCTCCAGGAGGTACCTGTGACTTGTAAGTAGTAGTAGTAATAATAATAAAAATAATGTATTAAATGTATATACTGCCCAACTCTCAGTGACTCTGAATAGTTTACAAACTACTAAAAACATTTAAAAAAACAAAGGAAAAACACAACCCTTTTCACAAAACACACTTGGGATTGTTGTAAAATCAACTGTTGTTGAATGCAATGCTATCTCTTATAGAGCCACCGGTTTGCTAATTTACGTGTCACATAATACTTTACTGTTGTTGTTGTTTATTAGATCATCTGAATTTTGAGGACTGTGTTGAGGCGTTGAATGTAAGGATGGGGACAATCATGATGATCTTAGAAAGTTTGTTTTGTATTTATCTTTCCACATCAGCAATAGTTTATGAATATATGTGGGAATAAGTCTCAATAAAATCAGTTGGACTCCGCTTCCAAACGACCATTATTGATTTTCAGATTGATTTTGTTCAGGCTGGATTGGACCGATGCTGCATATATTGTATTTATTTCAGCTCCCTTTATTCATTCTACTTAACGCTAGAGGGTGCTACTGTTTTAACACAAAGCACCAGAATCTTTTTTTTTTTCTCCCCAAGAGCTTACAATATAAAATGGGACAGTGCAGCTTCAGTTGATTAATGGCAAATCGGTAGCTGCTTATTAGTTCATTTCTCTGAACTGCAGCCATGATTGTATAGTGGAATTTGCCAGGTTTATCTGAAGAGAATGGCATTTAGCAGGGTTCCAGGGCTAAATTAAATCGGGCATGCGTTGTGGCCAGCTTTTACAGGCAGCCTCTCAGACACAGTTGCCGAGAAAGGGAGGTTTTAATTCATTGGTCTGAATAGAGGAAGTTGGGCCTTCATCAAGGCACAGTCTGTGAGGGCAGCTGGGGATGAAAACCGAAAGCATAGAAATTAGCAGCCTGTTGGAAAATTTAGAAAAAAGCTGACCAAAACTGGGAGACTGACTGATGAAGAATCACACAAGAAACTGGTGTCCTTGATGTTGAAAAACTGATTCCACTGACCCTCAACCTTTTGATAGCCATGGAAGAAACTGCTAATTCTTGGCTGCCATTATTCTTAATCTTTGAACAATTTTATTCCTGTTATTGCAGGAGCGCCTTCCGTCAAGGCTTAGTTACAGGAAGCAAGCCTGTCATTCACCCGGTCCTGCATTGGCTCCTTCAGAGGACCTCTGAGCTCAAGAAAAGGGCCTACTTGGCCCGCTTTCTGATCAAGGTCGATGTGCCAACTGAGTTCCTCCAGGACGACACAGTGGCTGATACGAACAGACAGGTAGCCCTGACCGTATATTTCTCATGCCATGTGCAAGGAAGCTAGGCACCAAAGAATCCATTCAGTGGTGGCTTGTAAGACAGGCAAACCAAAGGCAGAGCATGGACAGACCTCTTTGGGTTTGTTTAAATGTGTCATAATTTCAGCATTAGAGATCATCTTTTTCTTTCTGACAGTATGAAGAACTGATGGAAGCTTTCAAAAGCTTGCATAAAGAATGTGAACAGCTCAAGACATCTGGCTTCTCAACGACAGAAATAAGAAGGGTAACGAAATGTTGAGATTTCTGAACAGCTGTTTGAGCGTAGAAGCCCCAGGGCCATCGGCTTTGCCATCATCTCAATCAGGAAATATTATAATTTGCATCCACTATAATATATCATGACATTATTTTGCAGTACATCATTATGTCATGACAGGTATGATGTCACTTGCCCCCCTCGCCTCTCCCCACAAGTGTCCACATTTCTCAAGGTTTTTTTAAAAAAACTTCAACTCCCAGAATTACTCATTCATAGCCAGCTGGCTGGCTGAGGAATTCTGGGAACTGAAGTCCATGGGTCTTAAAGTTGCCAAGGTTGGACATTCCTGCTGTTAAGGAAGACCTAATTCCCCCTTTGAACATGTTGACGTGATTCTAATTAGTGCACTTATAATAACACAATCGGAATCCTGAGCTGAATTCACTAATATTTTCTTTGTAGGGGTTTCTGGTTTGCGGGGCTGACTGTCCCTTCACGCTTCCAATATGCCACTGATTTGTGTCTGTGTTACTACCAGGATATCACGGCAATGGAAGAGGAGAAGGACCAGCTGATGAAGCGAGTGGAGCGGCTGAGGAAGCGGGTAAGTGGGCGGAGGGAGACACCCTCACCCTCGGCTTGCAAGTTTCACCCGGGAATGCAAACAGGCATTAAGGTTTACAAGCTGTGAGTCTGGAGAAGGCATCCGGTGTCTGGGGGGGGGGGGGAGGCAATCTTCTCCAGGCAGGCCTCCAGAAGGTCTAAAGATCTCCAGCCTGAGGAGACACAGCTCCTCAGAGCCCTGAGGACAGGAAGGAAGCATGGCGCGAACCTGTGAGACACACGATCCCTCAGATGGCTTTCTCCGCTCACTGGCGCGGCTTGCCCCCTTTCTCCCAAGGTGGAGACGGTGCAAAACCACCAACGGATGCTTGAAATGGCCCGGCAGCTCCGCGTGGAGAAAGAGCGGGAGGAAAACCTGGCCCAGCAGAAACAAGAGCAGAAGAACCAGGTATTGGCCTCCCTCTTCTCCTCGGCCTCCTGGGTTTCCTCAGAGATGCCAGCGTTCTTATTGGTTCGGCACGGGTAGCCCTTGACTTACAACAGCGACCGTTCGAAATTACAAGGGCCCTTTTCACACTCGCGACCCGTTGTGGCATCCCCGTGGTCCCATGGTCAAAATTCAGGCGCTTGGCAATTGACTCGCATTTACGACGGTCACAGTGTCCCGGGATCTCGTGAGCCCTTTTGTGACCTTCCGACAAGCAAAGTCAAACGGGCTGACCAGATTCACTTAACAACCGTGCTATTAACAATGGCGGCGATTCATTAACAACTGTGGCAAGGAGAGTCGTAAAATGGGGCAAAATTCACTTAACGAATGTTTCACTTAGCGACAGAAATTTGGGGGCTCAGTTGTGGTCGTACATTGGGGACGATCTGTATTCCTTTTTTTTCCTTTACTGGTTCCAAAGCTCCCAAGTCGTGGAGAAATCGGGGTTCGCGTGAATTCCCTGCCTGCTTCCCCATCGCAGACCTTGGGGTGCAGGGGGCCTTCCTTGCCAGCCTCTGCTGTCTTCCTCTGAGTTGACAGACGAATCCCCTGAGATTTTCTCCCCTGTGCTTCACCAGCACAATGTTAACCGGGTCCATTTTAAAAAGAAAGAAAAGTTGCGCAGAGTTGGCACAACAGGTGGACAGTTTGTCTTGCCAAATCTGCCATTTCAATGTCCCCTGATTCCTGGGAGGGAACAGAGAGCGCTCTGTCTGTGTTCTCCATCTATTTAGCCGCTCTTTCATAGAGGTTTTTGTTTGGCATGAAGCTAATATTTCCAAAGAATCGGGTGGCTGAATAACCCCCTGCTTATTTCCCCCCCCCCCAGCTTTTTCACGCAGAGCAGCGGCTACACCGAGTCCGGCGTCAGCTCAAGGATATGCGTCATGCAGCCGTGGATTCAAAGCCAGAAAGTAAGTGGGAGTCTTTCGTATCCCCCCCCCCCATACACACACGCACTCTGCCTTCTGGTCTTCTGCCAAAAACACTCACTTAAACAACACTGCACTAAAAAGCAAAAGCTATAATTTTTTTCCCGCCTCTCCGAATTTATGTGTTTTCATTTTCAGGGTTTGGCTTGGTCCAGTTTCACAGCTTCCTAATTTCTGGAGAATGCTATCGCAGTGAAGGGTTAGTAGGGTCTTTTTTAAGAAAACCAGACTGATCTGCTCAAAGACAGCCCCTTACCCTATTTTTAAAGCTGAAGCTTGCCTTGCCTCTTGGCTTCTAGCAGGCCTGCATGGTTTTCCCCTGCGTAAGCTGGACTAAGATACACTCAGGTCTTTCCTGCTAAGAACTGATGACATCAGCTGTTGACAGAGCTGAATAACACTGAATGATGGCTGTCTCGGATTAAGTACTTTAAAGACAGCCGGATTTTCAGTTGGAGTGCTTTAAGTTATCGCTGTGGATAGGCAGAAGGTCTGGAAGCCTGGTTGAGATCCCAATTAGCCTCTGAGCTTGCTAAGGAGCTACTTTACACCAGCAGAAGGACTTTGCAGTCTTCACCCTGTTTGTTTATTTATTTTGTTTTTTGGTAAGCCCAGAATATATAAACTGCTTTGCTGGAGAATCATTTTGAAGAATGCAATCAGAAGCCCCAAATCTTGCAATAGGCCTCATTCTGCCATAGAATTTTTTTTTTCCCCTGACGGAAATGAAAACCACTGGTGTTTATAGTGTCAACAGAACGACTTAAATCTTTGGTCCTTGTCTCTGTTGTCATCAACACGAGGATTAAAAAAATTAGATTTAAGAATGTCAAAGCTGAAAAAATCAACAACAGCTCCCACTTATTTTTACAGATGATTGACAGGAGCTTTCCAAATGTCGCCAACAAGTATTCCGACTTCTGCTTTTGAAATCGGCGTAAACAGCCGGGGCCTCTTCTGTGTAAAAAGAGAGTTTCAGCGTAAGGGTCCTTTTAAAGAGGACCTAGAGAATTTGTGATTTAATCTTCCCTAGCGTTTGAAGCATCGCTTGTTTTTTTCAATAACTTGAACAGGCCGTCCTCGATTTACAACAGTTCATTTAGTGACTGTTCAGAGTTACAATGGCACTGAAAAAAATGACAGTTTTTCACAGTTCCAACCTTTGAAGCATCCCCACGATCATGTGATCAAACTTCAGCCACTTGGCAACTGACTCATACTTATGGCAGTTGTAGCATCCCGGGTCACAGGATTCCCTTTTGTGACTTTACGACAAGTCAAGTCAATGGGGAAGCTGGATTCGCTTAGCAACCATATCGTAAAATGGGGCAAAAGTCCCTTAACAAATGTCTCCATTGCGGTTGTAAGTCAAGGATAACCTGTAATATGTTTGTAGCAGCCCAAAAAATCAGGTACAGTTGCTGACTGGCTGGGGAATTTTGGGAACTGAAGTCCAGACAATCTTAAAGGAGCCAAGGTTGAGAAATGCTGGCCCAAAGAACTTCCTAGTTCTGGTCCAGCATCTTAGCCCCCATTCTGTGCTGGCTCTCCAATATAGCAATGGGGCAGGTTTTCCCCTGGATGATGCATCGGTGACTGTCTGTTTTGTTTTGCAAACAAAGTGCCAGCCTCGTCAAGGGCCTTAAGTCTCAAGAGAGAAGCGCTATTCCTCGTGAACTGAGCCACAGGCAATTTGATGGAGATGGCTGCATCTTCCTCTCTCCTTCGCGCACGTTCCTTAGCACAGCCTCACAAAAACAACCTGTCTCTTTTCCCCCCTGTGTGGGCAGATCGCTTTTTCTTTTTTTCTTCTAAGAAGAGGTGGAAAAAAGCGACTCTGGATGAATACGAACTCACGGCTTTTCGCACGTAATGATGCCGCTGGCAAAATGGCCCTCAAGGGACCAGAAGCCCTGGGCAGGGTCTGGCCTTAGACGCTCCACAAAGAAACATTGGAAAAAAGAGATGATGAAGGATAAAAGAAAACCCTAAAGTACACTTTATTATTTTTTTTCTCCTCTAGCCTCCTTGCGAAAGTTGAGATTCTTTGAAGACGCTCAGTCAAACTCGGGGAGAATTAGGACAGCTTTCGATCCCCAAGGGGCTAATCTCACAGTCTGAAGTGGGCAGTTTTCAAAGTAGGGAACAGTTGGGAACAGTCGCTGAATGGCAGGATTTGCTGGGTGACTCATGATCGGTTGCAGTCACCTATTACATCATCATCATTATTATTATTATTATTAGTATTTATCACAAAGCCACAACATACAAAAGCTGGAAAGAGCTGCTGTGTCTGCTCTAAGAGGTGGAGCAGAGCTTGACTGATGTTTCTCGATGTTGATGTCTTAAAGATGTGTGGACTTCAACTCCCAGAATTCCCCAGCCTTCTTCCAGTTGCCAAGATTGAGAAACACTGGCCTAGGCTGAAAATTCTTCTTCCATTTTCCATCCCTGTTCAGGAAATGGGGAAAAATGACATCTCTTTCCACAAAAATCTATGTGCTTTGGGGTTTCTCCAGCTTATTTTTTATATGCTAACATGCCGTATATTTATCTCTGCAAATTGAAACACAGGGGAGCTCCCTCCTTATTGGTTCCCACAGAAATTAATGCAATCTGCCGCTAAATAGCTGGGTCTAAATTACAGTTATTACAGCCTGACGCTAAATGGCCCTTCTCCTCCCTTTGTTTAGACACATGTGGATGTGAGGGTTTTTGTTCTGCTTTGTTGTTCAGGCTTAATGAAGAGTCTAGAAGAAGAGACAAAGTTCAACACTTATTTGGTCTCTGAGAAATTTCCTAGAGAGCTGGAAACGAAGAAACAGTCCTTGCTGCTCTTGCAGAAAGTGGTGGTTGAGCCAGCCATGGGCCAGTCCGATCTCAACGAGCTGGAATCCAAAGTAGGTGGGCAGGAAGATAAAATGTCTGCAAAAAATCAGAGGGCAACAAGGACCTCTCATTTCAATCCTGAGCTGCAGATATTCTCCTTAATAGGGAAGTAACACACACACACACACACACAGAGCCGAACCAACTAACAAACCTGCCCTTTTGAAAGCTACTTTAGACCAGGGCTGAGGATAATTGTCCGCAGTAGCAAATGGCTTTTTCCAAGTGATTTGACAGGATGGTCGACTTTGAATTAGTTTGGACCATAAACCCCATCGTCCCCAGACAGCCTGAATAAGAGCTGTTGCTCAACATGGCATGCGGAGGTACAGGTTTGTCCTTACCACCACAGTTGAGCCCCAAATTTCTGTTTGCTGAGCGAGACAAATGCATTTTGCCCTGTTTTACGACCTTCCTTGCCACAGCTGTGGTTGTTAAGTTAGTAACACGGTTGTGAAGTGACTCTGGCTTCCCCCATTTGCTTGCCAGAAGGTGGCAAAGACCGTTCTAAATATTAGGGGGGGGGAGCCTCTGGCCAGATGGCCTTGGGGAGCCTCTCAGTAAGAAGGAAGCATAAGAATGGACATATTCGGAGCCATCCAAGCCGGTGTCACGCTGGCTGGGAAGCATGGGAGCTGTAATCCACTCCCTTGCGAAGGCACCGGGATAGTCTAAGATGGCTTAACATTCACCCTCTGTTGCAACTGCCCAGGCATTGTCTACATGCCCTGAAATAGATGGTGGGGGTCACCTCAGGATAACCTTGGCCTCCCTGGGGATTATAACAGGAGACCCTTTTCAACATTCAGGAGCTGGAACGACAAAACGTTCCTTTGACTCAACGTCCTCATTCATGAAATGCCAGAAGATTGCAAAGTCAGTTTTCTCCCTCTGGGCAATAGAATCAATATCCATTTCCTTATTAGCACAAGCCCCAAAGAAGCCTTGGTAGTTAAGGTGCTATCAGGTTGTTTATTTTTAGTAAAATATCACCTTGAGTGAGGAGCCGAGAAACAGGTGTTGGTGAGTGTCTCTTTCATTGTTTGACCGGCTGAGAAACAGGACAGTGAGCTGGAGGGAAATCAAGAGATTTACGGAGAAATAGATTTAAATAGGTTTACAGGTGCAGCTTTATGCCCAATGAAATGCCTTGACTTATACAGTATAATTCTGACAAGTAGGAATGAAAGAGAAGGTGGTGAAAGAAAAATCACAGCAGTCAGTTTGGGGAAACTGAGACTTTAAAAGTATGGATTTGGCTGTAAAACTGGAGACGGCCTTGAAACCAATCTCAGTATTTTAAGTAGGAAATATAATAGCTGTAGTTTAGATCCGCAGTCCTAGTGCAGCCTCCTCACCCTGTATTTTCTCAATCACCAGTTTCAGCATAGTTAATAACGAATCACTGTTCCAGATATACATTCACCTTCATAAGACTCATCATTAGCTGGTTTTTGATAGAATATAGGCAAGTTTAAGCCACGAATGCCTGCCCGTTCGCTGAATTTGTGTAAGCAGAGGCTGAACTGCACCTGTTACGGGATTTTAATTGGGATTCCTGAACTGAGCAAGTCGTTGGACTCTGTAGCCTAACAACCCCCTTCCGGCTCTAGAATTTTGGCTGGACTCGCTCGCTCGCTGACAAGCGGTTTTAACCGCTGAAAAGGACACCAAAATGAAAAACAGACGCTTGCCATTTCCTATTTTAGAACTCGCGGCGTAATTTTAGAAGAGTTCACTCAAAAATCCAGAAACTGTAGCGCCACCTCATACAAATCCACTATTGAGAAGTTAGCCTATTTCTGGAGCCTGATTTCTGCCTGCAAACTTGGTTTGCCTTAATTGCCCTGCACTGTCATTCCAGATAAAGGAGGTCAATGCCCAAATCAATCAATTAATTGAGAAGAGGATGATGAAGTACGAACCGATTGACAGTAAATTTTCGATGTACCGGCAACAGGTAAGAGACATTTGTTAAGTGAGTTTTGCCCCATTTTACGACCTTTCTTGCCACAATGGGAGAAGCCAAATTCGCCGCAATTAGTAACATGGCGAATCCAGCTTCCTGGACTTTGCTTGTCAGAAGTTTGCAAAAGGGGATCACGCGATCTTGGGGCACCATAGGTCCAGTTGGGAGAAGCAAAGGGCTTGGATAACACCCAGACTGAATGATTTCAGCCAGATGTTGGAAGGTACCATCAAAATTACCAGTGGCAAAAATCTGCCTTTTGAATGACTGAAAACACCAGGCTTGGCTTTCATTTGAAGACATTTGTCACATAAGTGGCGGCGTGTTTTCCCTGTGATATTTTAGATGTAATGTGTAGTTCTGCCTTGAATATTATTTGTTCTTATGTTAGATGTTACCTATCAGTAGGCTGTGTAGAAAAACTGGCCTCCTTGAGCTTCTAGAGTCCAACAAGACCTAAACCAAATGAAATCCACAAGTCTTTAAAGTTGCCACCCCTGATTTAAATGATAACGTGCAATGTGTCTAGCATAGTGCTTCCCAGGCAATTTTTAAGATGTGTGGACTTCAACTCCCAGAATACTGAATACTAAATTCCCTAATACTAAACCCCCGCAGGCCTCTATCATTTCGCGGAAGAAAACAGCGAAGGCGGAGGAACTTCAGACCACCAAGGAAGAGCTTGCCAACGTGGAGAGGCAAATGTTCCAGAAGTCAAGCCAGGCTCGGGAGCTGGACGGGACAGAAGTCTTGAAAGGTGACGAGGTAAGGACTCTTCAGTGAGGAAAACAGCCAGTTTAGAAAAAAGTGGGTTGGGGGGCTCCCAAGGTGGCTTCCCTTGTTATCTGGGAGAATCATGAGTGCAGGACCTACTCCACAATCTTGGCGTCTGTAGGTCTCCTTTTAAAGGACCGTAGTAGATGTGTTTCAAGCCAACCGTTTGTAGGAGCAAAACCTCAGGAAGGCTCTGTGCTTTGTGAGCCTTGTTACTACATAGCAGCAACATGTTCTACCACAAAGGCAAAGGATCTTATCTGTTGCGTGTCCGTGAGGTTTTAAGTACATCACAAAAAAATTCCACGTTGTCAACACATCTAGTGAGAACGATTAGTTGAGTAGCTTAATGTGAAAATAAATTACAGTGCTTATCGCAGCATGGAAATGGAGAATTAGCTGTTGAGTTTATGGCCGGATTACTAGATGGAATGAAGAAAAGATGAAGACCAGCAGACCTGCGTAAACAACTTGCAGGCTCAGTTCACACGATAGCCATGGATTCTCACTCATGGCCCCTTTTCCGAAGCCATCTGAGCTACGTGTCTTCGCCACCTTTTGGACTGGAGTTCCATCAAAGAACAGGGCTGCCTATGAGAGTCACTAATGCTGAATAACCCCCTGAATTTCAGGCTTGGTCCTATACTGTTGTATACAGTATTTAAATCCCCCTCTTCCTCTCTCTTTCTACCCAATGGGTGATTTTTTTTTAATCTCCTGACCCTAACAAAGGTATTTAGAGCAGAGAACCTCATGGCTGAGTTTGACCTTAGTGCAACTTATTTTGATTTAGCACAATTTGATTTCGCCCTCCTTGTTTTTTTTTTAACCTTCTTAGGGATCTTAAAGGCTGCAAGCCACAAAGCAGCAATTTCTTTCCAAGGAATCAAGGATGCTGAACCCAGGTTTTAAGTCATGATGTGAATGTCCCCTTGCTGGTTTTGGGGCTTCCCTGGGATTCCTTCCCAGCTGTGAGAAAGCTGCAAAGTGCCAGCCTAAAGGCCCACTTGCTTTGAGATAGGCCATCCTTATCGGTTCGCAGACGAGGTGCCAAGTCTGGAACCTTCATTAATACTTTAGACATGAAGTTAGAGCCCTTAATGACTTGTGATGAGGCTTCAGTGGCTTCCAGCCTACATCTCCCGCCCCAGGGGCTTGAATTGCTGGCCTGCCTCTCGCTAAGTTTGGTGCCCAATGAATCAAGGCCTTTTCTGCCTGGACTTCTGCATGCCGGCAATTGTATCCTCAGCTGAGGTCTTAACACCTCCTCGCCAGAAAGGTCAGCTCAGGCTTATGGTTTTCCCTGTTGGGGAGGAGCAAAGACCAACCTTTGTGCAAGCAGCAGAACAGAACAGTGGGTGGATTTATTTAAGAGTGGATTTTTTTTAGGGGAAACTGGGAAAGATGTGCAAGGGCTGAAGTGGGCTCTTGCAGAAGGGACGACATCGTTAATAGGAAATCCAGGCCAGGCTGGCCAGCTTCTCCCTGCAGCTATCGAACCGTAAAAATTAGGGAATTGCATGCCTGCACGAGAGAGAAGGGGAGATGGTTCAATTTACAAGCGATCTTAGGTAAACCAGGGATAATTTTAGCTCCCTTTCACGGTACATTGTACTCTTCGTAGTTGGACACCAGTTCCCGGGAGCTGGGATTCCTGGTAGGGTGGTTGTTTTCTTCCATGTAGTAATTAGGTCTTTATCCCATTTTTATAAGCAACAGAGGGTGACGAACATACATAATACTGCTTCTTCCTCCTATTTTCCCTACAACAACCACCCTGTGAGGTAGCCCAGAATCACCCAGCCAGCTTTCGCACCTATGGCAGGACCAGAACTCACCGTCTCTTGGTGATTGGCCATCATGGCGAACGATAAAAGAATGGACCGGCAGACTTAGTCAAAAGAGCCTTAGATGTGGCCGGCATGAGTGTACCTTCGGCATTTGTGTCTCTCCTTTGTCCTTCCTTCGGTGTCTTGTTAGCCAAAATTAGGAAGGGAAAAAAAATGGACAGATTAGGCTTTTGGGTCACTCTGAAAACTGAAGAAAGATCAGCAGGTTTATTGTCAGCGACCTGAGCGTGTTCTATCACGGCAGTTGGGTGCCAGAAGATTGTTATTTAAAGCCCGCCTGGCCTTGCCAGTTGAAAACCCAAATGTTTCCCAGATGTTTCCATTTATCCAGAACTGGGGTCTCCAAGAAGACCTCCCGCTAAATTGAGAGCGAAGCCTTTAAAATAAGGCAAACAGCAGAACGAACCAGAAGTGGCAATTACTCTTAAGAATTGCCTGCCTGGCCCATCTAAAGAACGCATCCCATTTTTCTTCCATCAGAGTAGGATGGAGTCAGGCACATGGGTGTGGGTGTGCTTTTCCAGTTGTTGTCCTCTTTCCCCTTTCTGGTAGACATTGAGGGGGGGCTTATCTTCTGTCACCGAGAAGGGAAGGGACCCTTAAAGTGACGCTCCCCTACAGCTAGCTGAGCCTCGTCCTTGAGTGAGCGATTGGTCCAGAGCTTGTCACGGCCAGCAGTTTGCTCAGGCTAAATTCTCTTAATTGCCTGCCGAGCCCTTATTGCATTAATTGGACGATCAATAAAACTGCTCCACTGTTTTTAGTGTGCCGGCTTCTGCAAACATTATTTTAGGGCTTCCCGCTGAGATAATGAAGGAGAGTCTCTTTTCATCTCATTGAGATGGTGGTTGGGAGTTTAATTTTTTTTTCTTTTTTCTTTTTTTTACTTCTCCCTTTGTCTTCCAGAGTTGGGTGGGTGGGTGGGAAAGGAAACTAAAGCAAGTGTTGATTCTCTGGTTTTATTTACCTCTTTCACCAAGTGAGAAGGCTGAAAGGAAGAATGCTTTACACAGCGCCATGAGAGTGACTGATGGAAACCTGGTTTTATGCAGCTTGGGCAGGCGTGCCCCAATCAAGATACAGAAGAGTCCCTTTTCATGGCAATGTTCCCTATTTCACCCCAAATCCAGGGGATTTTCCCGCTCCCCATTTTATTTCTTCTGTACTTGTTCTACAGAACTCCTGCTGAAAAATCTCTAACCTCTCAGCCTGGTTGGGGAGAGGAATGCAGTCTGTTCAAGCAGGATTTGGGGAGTTAAAGGAAGGCAAGGATTGGGGGGGGGGCATTCTGCAGGAGTGAATTCGCATCCCAGCCAAGCAAAAGAACAGCAGTTTAGGCTCATGGTTGAAAGCTTGAAGTATTTCCGGTTTTCTGCTGGATGCAACAGCACAGTGGTATTTTCCCCAGTATTTCTCCCGGCTTTTCTGTTAGGCCGAATTGCCAAGCAGATTGGGAAACAGTTTGCATGGCCACCTGGAATGAACTGGAAGCTCCTCAGGCGACCAGACATAGCAGCTTCCGGAAATTGGGACTGAGATTTTGCTTTTTAAAGGGATTTGTGGGGGGGGGGGCAGGCTTCTTTTCTGGAAGGCCATCCATCCTTGTAAATCTCCACAATCAAACAGAGACATTTTTCCTCCAAAAAGGTGTTGCATAAAAATACCTTTTGGGGACCCAACCTGCTTGGGTTCCCCTTGAATATGCACCCTAACCCCCGACGAGGAGTTTGCGTCGTGCCATTCCCCGCTTACATCTAAACACGCATGATTTTCCCTCATCCCGTTGCTTTGTTACCTTGTGCAATTCCCATGGCCTTCCCCAGCAATGTTCTGAGTGGTGTGGGCAGTAAATAACAGTTGTTCTCCAAGCAGTCAGGACCTCGTCTTTTTAAAATATGAGACAGTTAAAATACAAAACCTGGCTTTGCTCTCTCCCTGCAAAGTTTTATACAGCTTTTGGTTTAAAAATAGCTGCAGGAGCCCAGGGAAGTGGATGAGACCTTGGCAAAAGGTGGCAGATGAACTGGCATGATTTTAAGATGGGCTCTTTGCCCGGGAGACTTTTAATAGCGCATACAGTTATTGGCGTGTGGGATTCTCACACAAGGTTCATCTCGGACTGTAAGAATTTGTTCTTCAAAAGGGACGCTATGTTTTACGCTGGGGAGGGCTCTGTGCACCCCAGATCTGGGTTTTTTTTTTTTTTTAAGTTTTCCTTGATTTAAGAAAACTTTGAAAAGCCAAACCCAGAAATGCAAATCCTTTAGTTTTGGGGAGGTATATAAAACCCACAAATGTATCTAAACACCCATCTTTTAAGGGTGAGCTTCTTATTTCTACCCAGGAGAACTTAATCCCTTGATTTCTCTCCCTTTTGAAAGAGAAGGGAGGGGCTACTTCTGTCGTAAGGGCGGGAGCTGGACCCAACGTCTTCGAGTGGCTGAGGATTGCAACCCTTCTCATTTCAGTTTAAGCGGTACGTTAACAAGCTCCGAAGCAAGAACACCCTTTACAAGAAGAAGCGCCTGGAAATAGCAGAGATCTCGGCCGAGTACGGCATCCTGCAGAGGACGGAAGAGCTGCTGAAAGAGCGGCACCAAGACATTCAGCAGCAGTTGGTAATTGTCCCTCCCGTCCCTAAAGCTGGGCTGCCTGGGGGGGGGGGGTTTGATGGCAATGATCAGCGGGAGATTCTGAGCCCATCTCAAATTCCAGAGAGGATCCTGGGGAGCTCTGTCACGGGAGATGACAAAGAAGCTAGGTCTATGCAACGTGGCTTGTTTGGTTCGTGCGTGGTGGAAATCCAGCCAGTTGCGGCTTAGTGAATAATTGGGAATTAAACAAACCATGGTCTAGCTGGCGTGAATCCAGTCGTGCTGTCACAGGCTGAAAGTTAATTGCAGACAGCCAGGTTACCATGGCATTTCACGTCCCATTGGCCACTTCTGTGATTATTCTTTGCAAATCAGCCAAGGATTGTAGTTGGTCCAGTATTTAAAGCTTTTTATCTTTTAAAGCAGGTTGTCTAACCTCGGCAGTGTTTGAGACCTGTGGGCTTCAGCTCTCAGAATCCACCCTGTATCCCCAGGGAGATAAGAGTGATCCCCACTTTGACACTCTCCTTCGCCAGGCCAGGCCTGAGACGTTTTGCCTGGGGACCCCAGTGTGGGATGCCCCCCCCCAATGGCTCATTTGATTGTCTGATTGTCGCCGGGGGGGGGTAGTCCTGCTTTTGATTGCTTGTTATATTGGATTTTTATCTTTGTAATCCACCAAGCGTCCCTGATGCTGAGTTGGGAAGCCATTAATTTTTCTCAAATAAATAAATTAGAGTTAGATCCTGGAGCTTCTAGAGAACCTCTGGAGCTTGATCCCTCCTGACAGTCCTGTCTCTCTCCTTGTTCTCCAGCAAGCCATCGAAGACAAGAAAGGAATCTCCGGGTACAGCTACACCCAGGAGGAGCTGGAGAGGGTGTCGGCCGTCAAGAGCGAAATGGATGAAATGAAGGGCCGGACTCTGGACAACATGTCCGATATGGTACAGTCCAGAGGCTTTACAAGGGGCGGGGGAGAAGGAGCTGGCCTAACCCTCCCCACCCTCTCCCAACCCTTACAAGAGCCCTGGTGGCGCAGCGGTTAGAACGCAGTACTGCAGGCTCACTCAGCCGACTGCCAGGAGTTCGATCCTGACCGGCTCAAGGTTGACTCAGCCTTCCCTCCTTCCGAGGTCGGTAAAATGAGGACCCAGATTATTTGGGGCAGGAGGCTGACTCTTTAAACCGCCCAGAGGGGGCTGTAAAGCATGGTGAAGCGGTATATACCGGTAAGTCTAAGGGCTATTGCTACCCCCAGAACGTTGCAAGCTGGCTTTCTTCTAAATGTGGTAAGTCCTTCCTAGTCTACTTCAGCTTCCCTTGAGCAGGTTCTCTCCTTTCCATCAGGTGAAAAAACTGAACACTATGGTAGCCGATAAAAAGTCGAGCTTGGCCCCAATCATCAAAGACCTCAGGCAGCTGCGACAGAGGTGCCAGGTGAGTGCAGCCAGTGCTCGGGACGAGGCTGGAACTTCCCCACTTTCCCATAGTGCACTGGGTTGCTTTCAGGAAAGGGGGGGGGGGCTCAGAAATACGAACGGAGGTCTAGCCTTCCCAATTTTACTTCAAATGCAGCTCAGTCAAAAACCTCCCTGTTGCACTACGAGCACCGTAGGGAATTCCCCCATCACGGCCTTAAGCGCGCTGAGTGGCAGTCTGCTCTAGCAGGCACCAAGGAAGCTAGGAGTCTTTAGGCTTCTCCCACACAGCAAGGCTCACGGGTCTCTTGGAATTAGGTAGGGGCCTCTGTGCAGCAATTGCAAGACTGAGCAACAGGCCACCTGCCAGGGCCCACCTGTTCTATCCACACACCTTTTCTCCTCTCCAGGAATTAACCCAGGAATGTGAAGAGAAGAAATCCCAGTACGACAGCTGCGCCGCTGGTTTGGAGAGCAAGCGTTCGTCCCTGGAGCAGGTAGGCAAGCAGGAGAGAGAGGGAGAATTCCTCTCCATCTTGCCCCTCCTGTTCCCCCCTCCCCCCCAAAAAAGATAACGGGCTGGATTTATACTAAGGGATGCTCAGGTTTGGAGTTGAGCCAAAGAGATTTATTTGATGGAACCCTACGTTCCGAAACGGAGCCTTTGCTCAGAGTTGTGACTGTAAGATAAAATAGTGACATCTGATCCGTGCGTAGACCAATTAACTCTCCCAGCCACTGTTTGAGGTTTTGTTTTATCCTCTTTGGTCAAAAAGGGAAGTGGAATACTTTAGGAGTGAGAAGCTCACATCCTTCCATTATTGTTGGTCTCCAAATCGGTCAAGGACGATGGGAGCGTTGGCCCAACGGCATCTGGGGGGAGGGGGCTTCCAGGAATCCTGTCTTTCACCTCCACCACGATCTGGCCTGCAGCTCTCCCTTCTTCAAAATGTCCCTTTTCTCTTATCAGGAGGTGAAAAGCCTTCGGGAGGAGTGTTTACGGGGAGAGAGCAACTATCACCAGGTCAACTGCATGAAAATGGTACCCTGGTGAAAGAAACTCAGATTTTGTCCGGGCAGGAAGGAGGGCCAGTTGAGGCCTAAATCCAGATGTTTCTTTTTAGATTCTCGAAACCCAACTGCAGCGCGTCAAAGATGAGGTGAAAATGTATGTTTCTTCAGATCAACAGGAAAGAAAGAAGGCTGTCAGGTAGCCGGCATCGCTGTTAAATCCATAATAATGACATCATCGGCATCCCCAAAATCCCGATCGGTCAGTTGCAAAAAGCAGCTTGACTCGGAACAGTTTGCGCCCTGCGATGATATTTTTGACACCATCAAATAACTGCCTCTCCCAGCTCCCTGGGAAGGATAAGATAGGTGGATCAAAATGCCACATCCCGTGCGAATGTCTGGCTGAGTGGGTGGCACACCGTAAAAGCAGTGGGATGGTGTCATGTCATCGCAGGACACGCTTTGTCACGCATGCATGGCGTGGAGACGCCCGTGGCCTCCCAGAGAAATATCGGCTGCAAAATACCGCTTGTGTCACTTGGCTGCTTCCTAGAGCTCTCCGTTTATGGTGCTTAAATAGAAGGGCAGCCAGGGACAAGGAGCAGATTAAATCTCCAAATATTTGCAGTGGATTTATTATCTGTCTGAAGGAAGGAAAAGAAGCTGAGATGGAGGAGGAGGAACAGGCTGGGCAAGAGGACAGCGGAGTGGACGTTAGCGAATGAATTCCGAGGAGCTCCTGTGTGTGTGTCAGCTTAGTGGTTGTGTGTTTTGTTTTGTTTAGGATTTGGCTTGGCATGTGGCATTCTTGAGACACATCTGCTTAGCAGTCTTAGGCAGTTTAGAACAATGTTTCTCAGCCTGGACCACTTGAAGATGTGTAGACTTCAACTCCCAGAATCCCCCAGCTGGCACAGCACAGAATATTGGGAGTGGAAATCCACACACCTTCAAGTGGCTCAGGTTGACAAACACTGCTTTAGAGGGATTGCTTTGTAGATATTTAAAAAAAAAACAAAACTTTGTCAGGGTACCTAAAGATAACCTTCTAAGTTCTTGGAGCCAGTAAGAGTCCGGAGGAAGAGCAGAACTTGTTGATGGAAGTCCAAACTGACCATGTTGCTCCTCAGCCTCCTCTCTTGGCCCAGTTCCACCCAGAGAATTGAAAGTCGGAGAAGCACTCGCCCATCGCAAGGGGAAAGCCTCCGTGTTTCACATACCTGCCGTGTCCAGCTGTAGCATTCCTGCATTTCTGTGAAATTTACCACCCCATTAACGAAGGCTATCCTATTAGGGCTGAGCGTGTGAGCCCAAAAATTCCCAAACCATCCAACTTCTCTTCGTCAGAGGGCTTGGACAAGCCAACAACCTGTGCAGCCCAGCAAATGACTTTCTCAAAATCCTTCGGTAAGCCCTGGAATGGAAGCTGCATTCCGACAACCCATAAACATCGGCCCTGCAGTTGGGAACCAGAAGTTCCCTCGTTCTCCTGATCCTTTCCCCATCTCTGTTCCATGGAGTCAGCCGTCAGGAATGCAAAAAGTTAATTTGACTCTCTAAAAATAGCCTTCACTTTTAAAATTAAGTGGCATTCCTTCCAAGCATCATTTAAATAGCCAGGAAAAGAAAATAATCTGGTTTCAGGAGCTGGCAGAAAAACAAACCGATCTGTGAATCCTTGGAGGGATCAGAAGGTCATGGTCTTGAAGGTGAGGATCTTCCTGTTGCCAACAGAAGCAAAGAGAAGACCCTGACCTCTGAGTGGAGAATCGTGCCGTGGGAGGGGGGACACGAGTGGGGACGGCCTGGAACGTGAGAATAGAGTGAAGGTCTGCGTGTCTTGGTAGTAGAAGGGAAAGAAAAAGGGTCCAGATCTGGAGTTTAGTCTAGAAAAAAAAATATTAGAGGCAGCCGATTTTGATTATCACGCTATATTCCAAAAGAGGTGGGCTCTCCGTAATTCCAAAGACCGTATTGTTGTTAGCCTGTGAGCTGTCCTGTCTATAACCTGCCTGAAGGAACTCTTGCCAAATGACACAGCCAAAGGGCTGCCAACAGTCTAAAATTGTGATACGACTCTTGTCCTTAAATTGCTTATTTTCCGTAGGGATCAGTATTCCAAGATGATCACAGAACAGGAGAACCTTGGAAAGGTAGGAGTGGATGAACAATATTGATTCCTGTTTTGTTTCCTCTGTTTAAGCCAGGGGTGTCCAGCCTTGGCCACTTTAGGATGTGTGGACTTCAACTCCCAGAATTCCCCAGCCAGCCACGGGGGGAATTGAAGTCCACAAGTCTTACAGTGCCATGGTTGGACATCCCTATTTTATACAGTGCCTAGTGGGCACAGCTCCTAAAAACCATTCATTTTTAGACTCCGAGAAATTGCCTTCTTAAAATAAACTATACAGTCCTAAAATCAGCTTCCTACAGATAATGCCCGAGCTACTGGACTATCACTTACAAAAGGCCTCTTCTGCAGAGACCTCAGAAAGGAGACATTGCTTTGCCAGATCAGTGGCCCACACAGCAGTTGGCTTCAGATAAACCCAGTATTTAGTGGCGCGCTGTCCTATTTTTACAAAAAGGACCTACAATCCATTTTCTATCCCTCTGTTGGCAGTTGGCTTTGGAGCAGTATGTAGAAAGAACTAATTTTTCAAAACAACTGTCTTTGATGTTCTTATAAACCGGTCTTGTTGCTCTTCCCAAGGAGATCCGTCTTGTAACTTTAAGACAGTCTCAAATTTCCAAAATGCGATTTTAATCCGCTGTGCAGTCTTGAGCTGAGGCATTATCTAAACTTTTTCTGATGTTGTTTAATGCAATCGTATAAACATTTTAAAAATGATAAACAAGAAAGGAAAGCCAACAAGAAAAAGGAATGAAGGTATTTGGAAGCCCTTATATACTTTAAAACTCTATTTTGGCTCTGGAGTTGGTTAGCTGAGGGATTGCTTTCTCTTTCTTTTCTTCTCCTGCCTTCCAACTATACACTGAATTATATCATTGATTCTATCTATCTATTTATGTCTGTCTGCCTGCCTGCCCGCCCATCCATCCATCCACCTCTAGAGAAAGTACTAATATATAGCACTGAGTTTTATATGCATTTGTAGTAGTATTTCATTTCATTTTGAACCAAAATAATTGGCTCAATGGAGGCACACGGGGACAGTAAGTAAATAAACCAATGGATCAGGACTCCTCCTGAAACAGCATCTCTCTCTCTCTCTCTCTCTTTCTTTCTCTCTCTCTCTCTCTCTCTCTCTCTTTTTTTTTTTAATATCAGAAACTACGAGAGAAGCAGAAAGCTGTCCGGGAAAGTCATGGCCCCAACCTGAAACAAGTCAAAATGTGGCGAGATCTCCAGCTTCTGATGGAGTGCAAAAAAGAATGTTTTCTCAAGCAACAGAACCCGGCCTCGGTGGGCCAAGTCATCCAGGAAGGCGGAGAAGACCGCCTGGTCTTGTGAAAGATACCTTGCCTGGTATCTAGGTCATCCCAAAGAGCCACTCTTCCTCCAGCGAGTCTGTTGCAAATGTTGGCTGGGGTTTGCGAGTGTTCCCATGCAAATGAGATGTCTAATTTGCCATGCTTCAGGAGTTTAGCTAAAAGGTTCTTGACTCAATTAGAACATAGTTCGAGGTGGGGGGCTTCATTTGTTCCTTCCTAGAAGGAGAAGAAAAATCTCTTATTCTGCTGATGGATGGAGCACCCTTCCTTCTCTTAGTTCAGGGGTAGGCAACCTTGGCTACCCCTGCCTTAGCTAAAAATCAGTTGAGTGGTTAAAATATTGAGAAGGTACGCAGATAAAATTCCATTCAAGTTTTAAGAGGCATTCTAGAGAAGCAGACAGACAAAAAAATCAGGATTAGGATAGTTTTGACATCTGGGGTTGTAGATGATTTGATATCAAGCCAGGTTCAAGTCACACAGGTCCTCACCAACAATTTTCACCACCTGGCTTCCTTTTGGCCCAAAACAGTGGGACCACTTGACTTCTTAAATCCCCTTTCACAATTCCAGTCACCAAGTGGAGGAAGGACTTTTGAATTTTTGAAGGAAAAAAAAAATGCATGCACAAAATACAAGGACATTGTGGACTGAGCTTCTTGTAGCCCACAAATAGGTAAACCCCGATGACCTTTGCGGACCTGGATTCTCCTCAGAGCTGCCGAAAGAGCAAAATACAGAAGACTCAATTTCCTTAATTCTCCTGGATCCAAACTAAAGCTTCCGCACCGAAGAATCTGAAATTCTTCTGCCTTTTCTCATTTTTGCTTGATCTGTAGCGAGCAGACTTTGAAGCCTTTATTTTTGTGTTGATTTTTTTTTAAAGATTCCCCTCTTGGGTTTATTACGGGGTGAAATTGCCGACTTCCTTGTGACATTCTACATGGGTGCCCTGTCTCTTTTCAAACTGGCTGACCCTTGTTCCTCCTTCGACTCAAAGACAATAAAGTTATTGGTAGTGTGACTCTCTTTCCAAGCTGTCTCTGGGAGTTCATTAAATCTAATCTCTGTTCCGGGGAAACCAAACGTTTTGTTTTCTGCCTAGAACTCATCAAACTGGTCTTGCTGAGCAATTCAGATGAATCATATAATGTCCATTTGCATTTTTTTAGATGCCCCGTTAAAGGAAGGAAAATGGAAGAGGTTGTGCCTAAATAAATGTAACGTGAAAAGCAGCCTTCAGGGACTGGATTCAGATCTCGCCTGTGCTAAGCATCACGGTCAGGACTGGGCAAATGCCCTCTTCTGGAAAGCACTGCTGTGAGTGAGCGAACGCAGGTCTAATGGCAGTCATGAATGCTGTACATTGCAGAAGTCCAGAAGCAAAACCAGCAGAAGCCACTACGGGAGGGTTAACCTCATTTTAGGAAACGTCAGTGATTGCAGAATCATGAGCCTCTATTCGGGTGTCTTTTGTCCCTTGCTTTTCACAAATGGAGCAACCATCAAACATTGCAGGAGCCTTTTTTAAAGCCTCATAGCCCCCCCAGGGAGGATAAATTTAAACCTGGTCTAATTCGATTGACTGGGGAAAGGAGCAGGAAGGCTTTGCACGCTCCCAAGGTGTGAAAAAACGTATGTTGGCAAAGGGGCAGCAAATATAAATAGATTGGGGAGGGGTCCCAGCAGAAAGTAGCTCTGCTTCTGCACCTCAAATAATTGTTGCAGCCTCGATGGCAGTTTAATGGGACTTGGAAGGTTCACTGACTTCTGAAAATCTTACCCCAGGAGACGCTAAATCACATTTATTCTCCACTAAATCATTTAGCTATAACAGCCTGCAGGCTGCAGCAGCTGCATTTCGGAAGCAGATTGATGATTAGGGTTAGGTCTAAAAACATATTGCTCCCTTCTTAGGTTTTACCTTAGGGATGGACTATTGGAGATATATTTTTTTTTCTTCTCTGTTAGTGTAAAACACATGGTTGAAATAATGATCTTGACCCCTGACAGGCAAAAATGTCATTTAGACTTAATACATTTGAATTGCACTATAATGTGATGCAGTTGTTTTGTTTCCCAGTTTCATATCTTATTTTGATCTTCACAACAGCCCTAACAAATGTATTTGAGAGGCCCAATTTGGCCAAATTCAAAACAAATACTGCATCCAGGTTTGGTCGCCACAATGTAAAAAAATTGTTGAGACTCTAGAAAAAATGCAGAGAAGAGCAGCAAAGATGATTAGGTGGCTGGAGGCTAAAACATAAAGAACAGTTGCTGGAATTGGAGATCTCTAGTTTAATGGGGGAAAAACAGATTAGGGGTGACATGATAGAAATATTCCAATATTTGAGGGGCTGCCCCAAAGAAGAGGAGGGTCAACCTGTTTTCCAAAGCCACCTGAGAGCAGGACAAGAAACAACGGATGGAGACTCATCAAGGAGAGAAACAACCTAGAACTAAGGAGGAATTTCCTGACGGTGAGAACAATTAATCAGCGAAACAACCTGCCTCCAGAACATTCCCAACACTGGAGGTTTTTAAGAAGAGACTGAACAATCCTTGGTCTGAAATATAAGGTCTGCTTATGCAAAGGGTTGGACTAGAAGACCTCCAAGGTCCCTTCCAACTCTGTTATGCTGTTTAATGGAATTCAGGTAAAATGGGCAATTTTTGTGCAGCAGCAATACTGGGTCTCCTGGAACCCCGCTCCTGCAAAGCCCCCCCTTTTGCAAGCCTGTTTCAAGTGCTGCCTCATTCCTGTTGCCCTTCCCAGGAGCCAGGCCATTACACACTTCATCAGCATGCAAAAATTACTTTCTCATCTCAGCTGAAGCAGAAAATTATAATGAACCCCCCCCACCCCCAATGGGAAGCCAAGAATTCTGGAGAAACAGATAAAGTGGCTATCTTTAGCTCTTACGAAAAATGACACTCAATGATGCGACTTTAATTCACTGCCCTCCACCTTCCTGCCTTCTTAATTTGGTCGGGACGCCTTGGGAGGAAGCCGGCTTTTGAGCAACCTAGCGTTAAAATTCTGGCTTGATAATGACAAAGCCAATCAAGCAAGCCTCCTCAAATTATATTGTCTCTTTGCTTAAATCCTTGATGAGTTTGCCGGGAGTGTCCAGGGGCATCTTGGCTGTCCGTTGCTTAGAATGAACAGGGGTCTAAATGAATAACAGTAGGAAGGGACCTTGGAGGTCTTCTAGTCCAACCCCCTGCTCAAGCAGGAGACCCTACACCACTTCAGACAAGTGGCTGTCTAATCTCTTCTAAAAAAAAACCCTCCAATGATGGAGCACCCACCATTTCTGAAGACAAGCTGTTCCACTGATTAATTGTCCTCACTGTTAGAAAGTTTCCCCTTAATTCCAGGTTGCTTCTCTCCTTGATTAGTTTCCATCCGTTGTTTCTTGTCTTGCCTTCTGGGGCTTTGAAAAATAGCTTGTCCTCCTCTCTCCATGAAAGCCCCTCAAATATTGGAAGACTGCTATCCTGTCGCCCCTGCTTCTTCTCTTCACTAGACTAGCAGTGCCCAGTTCCTGCAACCGTTCTTCCTATGTTTTAGCTTCCAGGCCCCTAATCATAGTTGTGGCTCTCCTCTGCAGGGTTCCTGCCTCTTTTTTAGAGTGGTTCTAGATGCAAGGGTCGGGTTAAAGATCAGTGCAGTATACAGCCATAAAAAGAGCTGTGCTTTAGGCAAAGTCTTTTCACAAACCCACCGTGTAATTGTATTGATCTGAGATGGCTTAGCGGTTAGGGAAGATAAACATCTCCAAAAGATTGGACTTTCCAAGTTACGGCTTTTCCCATTGTAAGGAATACCCTGAAGAAATCTGGCAAGCGAAAAATTCTTAAAGCTGTAAATTGGCCAAACGAGAGACTCGCTTTGCCTGACTGCAGGTTTATCTGAGCAATAAAAGAGCACTTTGGGACAATTCTTGGCCACTGCAAATAAAAAAAGAGTTAGGATCACACAACAAAAAGAAAAAACATTAAGCGAGTCGGGAAATCAATGCTAGATTGCTGAACTATTATGCGGGCTACCCCCCTTGTTTGTTGAACTAAATGCAGAATATATTATGAGAAATGCTGGGATAGAAAAACTAAACATTGGAATTAAAATTGCAGGGGGAAAGAAACGATCTACTACTCAGTTTGGGGAGGGGGAACCCTGCCAGGTTTCTTCTGGCTGTTTCTTCTACATCAAAACAGCCCCTTAAAACTAGCCAGCCAGAAAACCATTGCAATTACAACAAAATGCAATTAAATTAAAACAGAACTGGAAAAACACTATGGTGGAGTCTTCAAGCTTCAGGGTCTGTTTTTTTCCCCAAACTAAGCTTTAGAAGAAATATGAGCGGGTTCCCCCTCCCCTTCCCCCCCCCCATGACTCAGGGATGTCAAAACAAGTGGCCAGCTTTTACTCTAACACTTCTTGAAGAATTTGATTGAAACTCTGTATGTCCAGATAACGTCTGACAAAGTGGCCCTCTTGCGGGTTTTTTTTTTTGTTTTGTTTTTTTTTTTGTTTGTTTCAAGATATTTTTGGAAACAGCACAAGTGACCTTGGCACAATGGAGCGGCTTTTTCCAATTTAGGATTTTGCAGCTGACCCAAAGGGAAATCAGAATATTGTTGAAAGATTTTTGAATTGGTGCACAAACAACAGCAATGGGTATTGATGTGGGCAAGGTATGAGAAGTGTTGCTACTCTGTGTGTAAGAGGTGTGTGATTTAGGCATCCGTCAACAAAGGACTGGGTGTCCTTTTTTTTTACTCTTTTATAGCTAGCCTTTTATAACTTCCATTATGTCATTTGAATGGAATACTGTTTTGTTTATACTGCTTTTGTTTCTTTGGGGCTACCAACTTCAGGGGCCAGACTCGATCTGAAGTCCAAATGACAGGAGCCTGTAATTTCGGTTTGGTGTCCCATTTTTGGTTTGGCTCCTCTCCTGCGAGAGCTAAATTCCTTAGTGGATGATGAATGATATAATTCCTCATCTTGAAGAATGGCAAGATTTGTACCAGATCTAATGAAACGAAAGAGAGCCGTGCCAAACATTTATCTTCAGCTTGGGGTTTGAATTTCATAGGACGACTCTCGGATTACAGAAATATAATAGCGTATGGCCTGGTGCTTATTTGTATTACGCTTCTAGTTAATACTTCTACTCCGAAGTGCCAGCCTTTATTTTTAACTTAGAAAGGAAAACTCTAAATAGTAATACCGAAGAACGCCATACTTTTTTTTTTTTTTTTTGAAGAAAGGGAATGGATTAGATCAACTAGATTCCGCTGTTCCAGTCACCCTGGTGAAGAAGACCTTCGGTGGAGTTTCCAGTTGGTGGTAGAGATGAATTTGATGGTTATCACTGGAGGTTTTCAAGAAAAGGTTATTGGACAACCGTTTGTCTGGGATGGTAGAAGGCAGGGCTCTCCAAACTTCGCAACTTTAAGACTTGTGGACTTCAACTCCCAGAATTCCCCAGCCAGCCAGCCTGAACATCTGCAACGACAGCCTCTTCTCTTCCCTTTTGGAGAGATTCATGCAGCAAATTTCATGTCCAACTTAACACAGAGAGAAGATGGAGGGAGGGAGGTCACAATATGCTATACCTGGAGATACAACTTGGCATCCTCAGATCTTCTTAATTCAATTAAACACTGGTCTCAAAATGCTAGTGGATTTAGCCCTTAAAAGCATCTAAAAGGATGAGCCGTTCTCTAACTGGGGAAGATTCCAGCAAAGACTGAGTCACAGACACCCCTTTCCCTATCATATAATAGAACTGCACAGAGGAGGAGGAGAAAGAGGGTGATGAGGGTGATCTAATTGCATCGTTGTTCCTCGGACCGGCTTTCTACTTCTGAGGCAAAGCCGAGAGTTGAAGCTGCCAACTTTTCCAAGGAGCGTAACAGAAGATCCATTTGTAGCAATCTGCCTAAGTGGACGTTGAACGGCATTCACACACTTCTTAATCCACAGAGGCAAAACTGAATGTTTATTAGTTGCATTTT